GTGATACGAGGATTTCAAGAACATACATTCTTTTTTTGCTTCTGCTGCTGCCACTCTGCCCTCACCTCCTCCAGAGCCGCATTTACTGACAGCTCTAACAGCAGCTGTGAGTGGCATCACAAATTCAGGCTACAGGTACTGAATTGCTGTGTTTGTTGTGCTTTTTATTTTCAGTCTTTCCATTCAGATAACTATTTAGAAAAGATCTGTCCTGTAGGCTACAAAAACCATGCAGATAACATATAAGAATGATTTGCAGGCAACAATTGAAATGAACTCAGGAAGAGGGTGAGATTAAATCATAAAGAAAGAGCCGACAGGAATGTGTAGGTATGCAGAAGTGGGAGGGGTGACCACTACACTAACACCTGTCCACTTGGCACTCAGAACTGTTGTTGAGAGATTTGGTTTTAATCGTGAGCACCACTGAAGCTACTTCCTTTCTTTTGACTGTGTTGTTGTTTTGCTTCTGCTCTAATCCTGTAAAACATTTGCTGAAGAAAGCAGAAAGCCAAATAGTTTCTGAATTAAAAAAAAATAACATGTAAACACGGATACTTTTCTTATATTATTTTCTCTCTTCCTTATCTGTAATGGGTTGTAATAGGAGTGAAGAAGAAAGACATAAAAAAGGAATGAATGGACTTTTGAATGTTTTTTGTGAAAACTAGATGCAGACCTCCATTAAGAGGGCCCACCTCCACTGAGTGGACCAGAAGTTGTTTGAAGCCTTTCAAAAGGGTCCTCTTAGTGGTGGTCTGCAGCCAGATCCCACTTTAAGCAGCTATTCTAGATTCAGTCTAAGTTTTGGTCTCTTGACTGAAATGCCTTTTAATTTGACTCAAATTTTAATTTGTATCCATAATGGATTTAGGCTAGGTGCAAAGGCTTTCAAATCAGTACAAAGACATGGTAGTTTTAGGAGTAACATTGTTTGAAGTATGTTAACACTAAATTAGAGTAAATTATGCTCCATGTAAACAGAATCTACTGAATTTTGGATTACAGAGATGTAAATTGGGATGGCAGATGTGGTCATGTAAACCCATATAGCTTCTGTTGGTATTCACCTTTGATTAACATGACAGCAACAATGTTCATTTCTGTTAGCATGCTACATTGGTGGGCTAAACAACATGAATATGTTAACGATGGATCTTGTCCTGCAATCTAGGCAGCAGAAGAGCTAGTGCATGCTAAGGGTCAAGTTTACTTCTGGATAACAATAATCCAGTTATTAAAAATTTATTGGTTTAAACAAAACATACAAACAAACATAAAAGAGTCAAATGCTACCTTTGGTAGTGGGCTCCAGTCCCAAGAAAACCAAGAAACAGCCTGTCAAAATACTGCCAAACCATTAGCAGCGTCTTGTGAGTGGTGTGCCATGTACTTTAAGCCTGAAGAAGGATTTTCTTCTTTCAACATCACCAAACTATAAAGAGTTTGAAGATTCTGGGAATGAAACAGCTGAGGATTTGCCTGGTAAACACTGGGGAGCAGTTTACCTCAGAAGTCCTCCACTGAAAATCGTCATCTGAAGGAGCTCAGCACTGTGGACTCTTATCGTCCCTCAGTTTGCTTTCTCTGAATCATGGTAACATCACGTAGTGGAAAGAAGAAAAGCAAACAGCTGTATGTTTGATAGGAACAATTGTTTTTATGTGTGTGTGGAAGTATGCTTGTGTATGTGCAGGCAACGATAAAATATCACCTTGCACTAATTAAGTCTTGAATCATAATTACATTTTCCTGTCTACTAGTACATGGAAATACAATATATTTTTTACACTTATTGTGTTTTTTGGTACTCATCTAAAAATGACAAATGTTGCTCTTCATTTTTTTTTCTTGGAGAGTTTTCTTCTCTAAATCAAACCCTGAGCCCACAGTTTTACAGTCCAAGTTAAGTGAAGTCACCAGGGGTAAAATCAAGTCTAGTTCCCATTTTCTGAGGATTTATAAAGATGGCCTCCAAAAGTTTGACTGTAAGAATCAGGACTGCTTCACAAAGTTTGAATCGGGACTGTGAGACTGTTAGGATGTGAGGAAACACATTTCATTTATTAACATAGATTCAGGCTTATGGCATGTCAAAGTGTTTGTAAAGTGTAAAGTTATGGTGCTGTGTGTCTTCGGTACCACATGTCTTTTGATGGGAGATGCACTCATTGTTTCTGCTTTGATGGGCTCGCTGAAGGGGTCACATAAACTAGCAACCTAAGCCAGACTCCCCCCTGATAGCACTCAAAAGTTGTTCATTCATATTATCTTCTCAATGTCTTTTTTCACATATCAAACATGTTCATGTTTTCAGCACAATTATAGCCTGATCTGTCAGGATATGGAGCCTTTTGGAACAAAATCAATAGTTTTATTTCATTCAGTCATTGTGAACAACCATTGAGACCACGGTTTGGACCAAGGGCAGATCTTTCACTTTATCATCATGGGAACAACAAACAAGAAATTTCTCTGGCGAATGTTATATTTTACTTCGGATATTTTAAACACAGCATCATAACTAAAAATTACAACTCAGGGGGATTCAGTAGACGATTAAACTCCTACTGCTCTGGACAAAATGTACAAAGAGTTGCAACTGCTATATGTTACATAACTGCCATGTTGATGCAGAAGATTTAATCCTGTGTAAGGGGATTAAACATGATATGGTACGATAGTAATCATCGTAATGTTGATCCTGTTCTGATCTAATCTATTCTGTGTCACAAGTGAATAAAGTTGTTGGCCCTTCTTGGACTTTAACTTTTGACAAACACGTACCTACTGAAGGTTGGGCAGCACTTTCTCATCACTGCTCCACTGACAGGCAAAAGAGTTTGGTATGCAGCGCACCGAACATTTGTAAAACATATGAAGGAACCTATTTTTCAAATTATTCAGGAACTGAAAGTATGGCATTTATAGACAAATAAATAATACAAATTTCTCCTGTTATGTTTAGCTTTACTACCAAATACTACCAAATTTAACAAGCTGGGTTTTCCTTAGAAAGATTTGTTGCATGTGTTTAATATCTAATAGCTCGATGTTTATTGTAATTTCATGGGACATAAGGGGTTGAGCATCTGTCTAAGTGTGTGTGTGTGTGCCATACTGGGCACTTACTTTTGTAAGGGCTGTATTAAGAACTGACAATGACATTCAGAAGTTAAAATGTGTGACTGTTACAGAACAACATCTCCACCTGACCCTTTGTAATAACAGGTCACATAGTAAACAGTGTGTCAAAACTAACCATGTGTCTTTAGTTGGTAAAATCAACAACAGGATTCTTTCAAATTCAAGGTAATGAGATTTTTCTTGGTATGTTGAGCCCCAAAGCTACCTTTTTATAAATTGAACAAAACTTTTAAACCACATTTCTAAAGTTTACAGATAAACACTGTTTATCTGCCCAATTCAATCTGAACATAAAGCAAGTTGTAATGAAGCCAACAGACCATCAGCAGAGTTCAGAAAGTCACTGCATGCATTCCCAAGTTTCAGATTTCCTTCTCTCACCATTTTCTACACAAGAGCAAAAGATGAAACATGACAGAGTGGTGACCTCTGGATTTAAAAAATGAATCTAGTGTAAAAGTGCTAACCACAGCAGTTCCTTGAGTGTCCGCTCACAACAAGTCCCAAAAGCTACACATCTACCTCCAGGGTCTGTTAACTGCAGTCGGTTACGGACCCGGTATGCTTAGTTCCTTTCCAAAGCTCTTTATGCAGCACAGAGAACATGGGAGAGAGGATAGAGGAGGGAAATTGGAGAAGTGATAAGAGAGGATTCATGAGATTCATGAGAGACTTCACGCCACCAGAGTGCCTGTTTTAAGACAGACTTGGGAGAACCTTCAAGCATTTCCCTTTTATTCAACAGTCAGCATGTGATGAGCTGAGATTAAAAATGTCTGATATCATAAATCTGTGAAATGCTTTTGGCTTTCGTAAATGAAAGTTAGGCTGAGTCAGCATTTTCAACATGCTTAGTCTGTGAGTTACAACCAGGTGTAACATAAACAGGACATAAGTCTAGCAGGTGCACAGAGTTTAACTTTCAGTGGGCTGAAACTTTCAGCCCAAAGTGGACACAAGGTTGCAGGCGTCCGCCCAGCTGCCGCGACTGTAGGAGTTTAGAGGAATGTGTGAAAACAGCAACGGTCTTTGATCTTTCTGGCTTGTTGTGTACCTAAAAAGTTAAAGAACTACATAACAGTTTCTAAAAAAAGGGAACCTCTCTATTGAAAAAGTTGTTTGTACTTCTTTTGTTATTCAGACCCACGAGTAACACTTTTTCATCCAGACAGTGAATCAGAAAACAACTTTAAAAGTTTGGGCGATACATTAAAGTTTAATCTCCTATATGTCTGTACTGTGGTATTAAAGTCAAGTGTTGTTGTGATGAATCAGGTCTGCTGAAACAGCAGCAGCTTTTATAAGTAATTGATATCCAATAAGAGGTTGTATTGGCCAAATTTCCACATCTCCTCTGTATCTTTAATAAGAAAAAAGATGCTTGTAGCCGCCCAAAAGAGGATTTATCCAGTAAAACTTCTAGCTGACAGAGGTTCAAGGAGGCATACAACAACAACGGCACTTTAGACATGTCGACTGACTCATACAGAGTACGACCAAATCTGTGCGTGACATTTGCAGCCAGTTTTGAAGGAGAAAGTGGAAAATATGTATGTAACCCTGTGGGAAATACAATACTTAAAATTTAGGAGGATTTCAAGAAGGTTTAATATTTGCCATTCTGCTTATTATTATTATTATCATCAGAGCATTGTTTTGATTTGTTTCATGTTGTTCTGTATTGTTTTGGGTGTCATGAAAGTAATTTATATTTTCTTTCAAGAAGAGAAACTTGAAGAAACGTCAACATGTATTAAATACACTAATGGGTTATTTGGGGTTTTGACCAGCAGGGGGAGCAAGCGGCCGGGTAGAAGGAGCGAAGCGCGAGGCAGGAGAGCGCGAAAGAGAGTGAGAGCTAACATCAGGGGCATTAGCACAGAAACCAGTTAAGAAATGGAATTTTGAGGGTTATTGAGACCGTTAAAAGTTGTCAGTTTGAGAACTTAGACCTCTTCACACAGAACAGTTCATCTGAACGTCGGCGCGACGCTGTTTTATAGTGCGGACTCGCACGTGCGCAGTGTCGTTGTAATTTGTTAGCCTGACAAACGGACATTAGCCGTTAGCCTTTAGCTTACAGCCTCGTTAGCTTGGCGGGACCTTGTGAGGCTGGAGGTTTGAGTTATTGACCATGTTGCAGAGCTGGATGTTTCTCTGGTGACGGCGAAAGATGTTTGCTGCTGACCGGGAGGACCGGACCTTTCTGCCACAAGGGGCCTGGACTGGGAGAGACCTTGAACGCCACGTGTGAGTCGGCTAAGGTACCCGTTTTAAAAGGTCATTAAAGCAGGCCTGAACCATGATACAGGCCAGCAACAGAGGTTAAATATACAATTGCCGCCTTTTAATAAGGTCTTACGTGCATTTTGTCAACAGTGTGGGCCCACATTTTGAACTGTGATATGCCTAAACTGTGTTTTGAACAACAAACATTCAAGTAAAAGTTTAAAAATGTATGTGTATTTGTTTTAGTGTGTTATTAAAGAGTTAAGACAGTTTTACAGACTTATTTGTGGTTTATTTGCGAACTGTTTGGATGCAAAGGTACTTGAATCTACATAAAAGATGCTATTACTTACCTGACAAGTTTTATTTTTCTTTTAACTCTGGGGTTTAAAGGTTTAAAGGTTTATTTACACTTTCAATTTGATTTGAGAAGAGTTAATGAGATTTAAAACAGATTTTAAGCCTGAATGTACAATTATAGAGTTAAAAAAGTTATTTTAAATATGTGTTTAAGAACCCAGGGCCCTACCCAGACTAGTATAGGGAGCAGTAGCACTACATGTACCTTATGAAGCCATATTAACATCACCAGTGTTATTTGATCACAGGCAGGGGAGACTCCACATTTTAAAAAACCCAAGATACAAACAGGACGTATGTGTTTGACATGTGGTTAAGGACTATTGCTGCGTTCGAGTTACCTCGGAAGCCAGAAGTCCGAGCTGGGAATGACGTCACACCCGAGTTAGCAGCGTTTCAGTTACCAAGTCAGAGAGAGCAAAATCAGAGGCAGAAACAAGATGGCTACATCTATGAAAGGTATTTTAGGGCTTCCCTTGTCCGAATATAAACAAACAATATAAGCGAGGACAAGGCAAGCGCTAAAATAACTTTTGTAGATGTAGCCATCTTGTTTCTGCCTCTAATTTGCTTTCTTCTGACTTGGTACTGGTAACTCAGGTGTGACGTCACTCCTAGCTCGGACATCTGACTTTTGAGGTAACTCGAACACAGCATATGTTTAAAAAAGCAATCACATTGCATTATGGGAAATATGATCTGGGTGTTTTGAAGCTCGACACACACAGTACTTAAGGAAAACATCTCGGTTGCTGCTGCATGGGTTTCGACTGATCTTTTCTTGAGTACTTCTTAGGTTGGCCACCCACTTGATGACAATTCACAGTTTTCATAATCCACACAGATTTATTATGACCAAAATTACCGGGCACAATTTTAACATTTGAGTTGGCTTGATAAATTCAGTTCACGCACTGAGAAACATGAGAAAAAAACAATAATAATGTCCGCTGTGGATTGTACGATGCCCTGAGAATTTTCTTCTCATTTTGTGTCTAACTGCTGTGTAGTTAAAATGAAAAACGCTGTAAAGCATCCACAGGAGGCTGTGGGTGCTTTGTTTTAACTGTAGTCTGGTCTTTCTCCAGTCTGGTGCCAATAGCGTCCCCTGCCATCTGGAATCAGTTTTTCTGCATATGTGCTGTGTCTCTCCACATACCCAACTCTCCACTCTTCAGTGTGTGGTGATGTCCCAGAGCCTATAACCAAAGTAGAAACAAGAATAATCAATGTGCCGAATGAGGGAAAAACCTAGAACAGAAGGGAGGCAACAAAAGTGACGATACTTTTGACACTAGTAAGATCGAACACAGCAGAAGTTCACCAGTTGTGCTTTCATTTTCACATCATCAGATCATTACGCTGAAAGAGTCACCGTGAATAAACTACCTGCATTTCAACACAAGGCTGAAGCATCAAGAACATCAATACTGGCCTCAAGAAGAGACAGGTCAATGAAAACAGACCTTGACGAGCAGCTGGAGATCATCACCGCCATGCTGAGACCTGACACCGTCCTGTGTTCAGCAGCTGAGAAGCGTGTTGCTGAGCTGAGCAATCCACGAAAAAAAGGTACTCAAAAGTGTACGAAAGGAAGAAGCTACAATATGATGATCCAGTGGCAGAATGCAAAGAAAGAGGCTGGAGAGCACCAGCCTGTCCACTGGAAGTTGGCTGTCGTGGTTTTGTGAGCTACTGGTTTTGTGAGCTCAGCGTCTTTGTGTTTTTGAAAAGCGCTTTATAAATAAAATGTATTATTATTATTATTATTACTTTCTGAGAGATGTTGGATTTACATCTGCAAAGACCAGAAGGGTTATTCAAGATCTGGCTGAGGAAGCAAAATGGAAAGTTTCTGGAGAAGGAGAAAAGACATGAGCTGGGTTAACAAAGAGTCCACAAAGGGGATAACCTGACCATCTAAATCCAGCTGCAGGGGGCGGCAGGAAGAACTCTCTGACCGCTGCCCCAACAGAAATGCTCTGCAGGTGATACCACCAACCTGTTATCCAACTCTCAGTTATTGTTAAGTCTCCAACGCCTTTGTCTCTTTTCATGTTTTTGTGAGCTGACATATATGTGGAATCACTTCTGTGAATTCATGACTGTTTAGTGTGTAGGTGAGTAGTCTTACAGAGTCATGTTTGCGTATTCAGAGGATAGCTATGTCAAAAAAATATATATATATATAAATCACCAGGATCTGTCGTTAAGTATGTATTCTCTTACTGTTCCCAATCCAGTTAAGATCTCAAAGTCACTGTGTGGCCAGTCTTAGAAAAGACCGTCCATTCTATTCATATTTTATTAAAAAGTCTTGGACTGCCTGTTTAAAGGAATATTCTGGTGTAAAATTAATTTAGGGTAAGACACACCATAACACCGAGTTAGACACCCCATCAAGAGATGAATGTTGCGGCCCTCTTGCTTCTCTAGTTATTAGTGGTGCAACGGATCACAACACTCACGGATCGGATCGTTCCTCGGATCAAGAGTCACGGATCGGATCATTTTTCGGATCAGCAAAAAGCAGTTTTGTCTGTATATTAAACACTTAAATGGTTGAATTGAAATATATAAAAGTAGTGCATACGGCATAATATCTTCTTTTCAACATAATTATTAATGAAAAACAACTTAAAGTGCAATATATAGGCATATCTCCTTCCTTTAAAATGTAACAATGAACCAAAAATGAAGTATGTGCGCGGTGGGATATTGTAACGTGGCTCAAGCACTTTCAGCATGTTTTTAAAGCCCTCGTTTGCACAACTGAATATGGCCTCATGTCTGTAGCTATAAACACACCGATAGCGTTCGTGATAGCTTTAACCCGGTCGGATTGCGCAGGAAGAGGCTGCTTAAATGCTGCGGTGATGAGCGGTTGCTGGCCAGCTTTCGTTTTATCTCAGGTATTGTGACATAGAATGCACCCCTGCCGTAGAATGCACCCCCTGACGGGAGCGCGGTTTAAAGTACATAACGAGGCGAAATAATCCACGTTTTTCTTACATTGGATGGATTCAAAAGCGTTTGCCTGTAATAATTTCATTCAGGCTATTCAAAGAAGCCAAAAACAACAGCCCTTGGAATATTGCTGTCCCGAAAATATAATGCTCTCTACCTGGACAGCTTTCTGTACAGTTTATACCCAAGTACACCTCTATATTTGCATTTTTGAGACACATAAAAAGAAAATGAAAGTTTGCTGCTCCATTTGACATGTTGTCATGATCTAATACTCGTGTTTCTTTAAATATGAGATCAATATCTCCACTTTAAGAAGCTAACGAGTGGAGGGGATGCAGGGGTGCGTTCTACGGCAGGGGTGCAGTCTACGGCACAACACCTGTCATTAAAACACCCGGGTGATGTCGCTTTCAAATGCGTGAACATGCTCGATGTGTTTCCACTGTCATATGGCTTTCTTATGCCACAGTGCCTACACACCTTCGCAGTTTTGTCCACTGACATCTTCCTTCCTCATCATAGTTGACAGGGAAGCCAAATTTTTTTTTTCAGAAATCGAACCGCGGGTGACGTGTGTGCCGAACCGATGACGTCGATCCAAACGGATCACGGATCAATGATGATCCGTTGCACCACTACTAGTTATACCAACTTGAGTAACGACCGCACAATAGCAATACACAGCGGTCTCAGGAGCCATAAACAAACCTCAACCAAAAAGCCGCTCTATAGCCACAAATAATGCTCAGAACAGCACCTAACTTCATCAACAGTACATACAGGGTCCTGGCCACAGCACTAGCCACCAAACATCTTTTTAACTTTGCCTGATTTCTTTAGCAAAGAGACTAATCACAACTCACCTACTCTCTTCCAGCAGCCGCTTGTTTGTAGCGTGACCTCTGGGCCAATCCATTACAGACTGCAGCGGGGTGATGCAGCTCAAGGAAGAACATTTTATTGTATGCAGCAGACAAGTTAGCTCCTCTGGCTTTGCGTCTCTGTCTGATTGCATTTCCATGAAGAAATGATCATAAATGTTCTTCCTTGAGCTGCGTCACCCCGCAGCAGTCCATAATGGAATGGCATAAAGTCTCGCTACAAACAGGGCTGCTGGAAGAGAGTGGGTGAGTTGTGTTTAGTCTCTTTGCTAAAGAAATCAGGCAAAGTTAAAAAGATGTTTGGTGGCTAGTGCTATGGCTAGGACCCTATATGTACTGTTGATGAAGTTAGGTGCTGTTCTGAGCATTATTTGTGGCCATAGAGTGGCTTTTTGGCTGAGGTTTATGTGTGGTTCACAAACCTGGTGTGATTGGTATAACTAGAGAAGCAAGCGGTCGGCAACATTCATTTCTCGAGGGGGTGTCTAACTCAGGGTTACGGTGTGTTTGACCCTAAATTAATTTTACGCTGGAATATCCCTTTAAGTGTGTCCTTGAAACCACATTTCAGTCTAAGTTTAGTCTCCAGGTGAGTGCGTGTTTGACTTTCTGTGATGGTGCTGAAATTGAAATGCAAGAATGACATTAGAGCTTATTGCTTTTCCTCCCACTGTGCAGTTCTATTGCATTTTTTTGTCTCCCAGCAGAGCCCTATGCTCAGTGTGTTCAAAAACACCTGATTTGTTTAGTAAAAGCAGCTGTGAGTAGACTGCGCCGCATTATTCATGGGCTGTTTTTGTTGCTTCAGGACATGTTGCCGACTTCCTCGAGCCAGAATGTGTCAGAACTATGACTCATCTCTGTACTCGCTCTCTCACTGGAGGCCAAATGCGTTCAAACTCCCGCTGAGGCTCACCTGGGGAAACAGGGGCCAGTTCTCCTCTTTCCCCCTTCTTTATTCACTTCTGATGTGTGGTTCCACAGTGCTCAAACCAGAGTCATTGATCAGGGGAGCAGCAGAAACTTGTTTAAGATGAAAAAGAGCCTTGCTGACGCTGGAGCTTTGCAGCAAAATATTTTCCGTAGTATATGTCACGACTGCAGCCACCACTGCAGCACATGAGGAAAGAAAGTAAAGAGTGGAAATAGAGGGGAAAAATTGGGTTTTAAGATGGGTTTTGCTGAGGGAAGTAGCTGAAATATACATCACAGCAGGCTGCTCTTTTGAGAACCCGCCGCAGTCTCGAGAGGTGCAGGGGTGGGAGAATTGAAAACGCGCTCTTTAGTCACACAGAGATGAAACTCAAACACCGCACGGCGAGAGATGGCAGGGATACAGCAGAGGAAGCTCTCTAAATGCAGCGGTGTGTTAGGTAGCTGCGTGAATTTCAATCACAGCTCAGAGTAAAAATTAATCAGGGATGTGGAGGGGCTCCTGATGATTCCTGCAGAAGTGAATAAGACAGCAGGAACATCACAGTGCCATTTACTACAGGATCAGGGTTTGACAATAAGGTAATCTGCTGCCTGGAATGAGGCATTATTAGTCAAAAACAGTGTCTGCCAGAGCGTGTGCGTATGTGTGTGGGGGTTCAGTATTAACTAGAAGATGCAGGTCATGAGGGCATATCTTAGAAACCACCATTCCTCCTCCTCCTCCGCACTCTGAAATGTATAGCATTTCACATAAATATCCTGCTTCTGTAGTTGCCAGTATACACAGCATGTGGCATTTTTAAGTGGCTCAGATTGTGCAGAGGATTGAAGTTTGTTTAACTTGTGAAAATTTGACCCCCCACTATTGTTTTTTTTTTCTTTTTAGAGCTTTTGTGATAATCCCACAACACCTATGTGTCACTTTAGAGCAGTGGTTCTCAATCCAGTCCCCGAGCGCCCCCCCCCCCCCCCGTCCTGCATGTTTTGGTTTCCCTGCTCCAACACACCTGATTCAAATGATCAGCTCGTTATCAAGCTCTGTAAGGGCTTAATAATGAGCTAATCATTTGAATCAGGTGTGTTGGAGCAGGGAAACATCCAAAACATGCAGGACAGTGGGGACTCGAGGACTGGACTTGAGAACCACTGCTTTAGAGGGAGGCAGTGTTTTACTTGAAATACAAACAGATGTCCACCAGGTGTCAGTAGTGTCTTTGGTATGTGAACTGATGTTGTGTGAGGACTCTCAATAACAAAAAAATGGAGAGTCACAGTTTCCATCCACCTGACCATGTTCTCACAGTGACTCGAAATACTGAGACAGGTGGTACCCACAATCAAAAAAGCATTATGCTACTAATTGTTGGCCAGTTTGTTGTTAATTAAAGGACAGCGAGTTGTGTTACTGTTGATTCAACATGTTATTAATGATATGATTGAGCGTTCATGATGTGAACATGACAACTAAAGCCAATCATAATGCGTGCTAAATGTTTTCAACAGGTAAGAGTCAAGACTGAAAGCAGACTAGATTAGCATCCAAGACAACACCAACAACGGTGGAGCTCACTGTGTATGCATTACCATATATAGAAGTTGTGTTACGTCACTCATGTTATTGATAGAAGTAATTTGGGAGTAACATGAATAAAAAAAAAAAATGTGTGTCTGAACAGACTGGGCTCCAACTATTCTTCACAATGATCCAAGCATACAAAATTTAACAAATATGCATGAGGGCTATTGCTGTGACTGCACCTTCTTCTTTTGACACGCCTGGATCAGCTCCATTCTGAGGAGGGTATCATGATTTAAGAAGACAATTGAAAAGTTCTCATGTCACCAAAAAAATACATTAGTTTGCATCACTAAATCCATAGAGGTTTGTAGGAGCACTGCTGAGTCACTTTTGGAAGGAAACGTGTTTTATAAGCGATAGTGAGCACTAACCTGGGGTCACGCCTCATATATGCAAAGCCATGCGAGGACATGTGAATGTGTCTCCTCTGTCTGTGCAAATGTATCTGTCAGTGTTGGTAAAACGCCTGAGCTGCTCTGTATTCCTGACTCCCTGCTGAGCTGCAGCAGCTTCAGTCTGAGCTATGACTCATCATGGGCTCTCAGTGAGATCGCTGAGGTCAGACACAAAAGAATATAGACAGACAGACACACCAAGAGAAACAGGCTTAACTAAAGTGTGAACACCAGCTTGAAATCCAGAGCCGGGTCGGAACAACTCCGCTAAAATAACTTCTGACAAAACCTTCAACTTAAGAGGAAGATGAACAGGCTGAGGGGAGGGAGAGACACAGCAGCGGCTGCATCAAAGCTTCCTGACAAGGCAATCTGGACTAAAGTCTGTAGGTTTTAAACACTGTACACCTAAAAGGATTCATTTGTCCACCATCAAGGACCTGGACCTTCCTGCTGCTGAGGAGTCTCGCAGGCGCTTTGGATGCAGATAAAAGGGACGGACAGAGCAGACAGCAAAGTGTCATTATCACACAAAAGGCTTGTTACATAAACAAGCTCAGATCCTGCGCCCAATTTCAGACCAATTACACGCTGCTTACAGCCAGTAACACAGATCTTGGGGCAGATTAGGGATCACTGCAGCTCACCTGGTATGAGGAGGCTCTCAGTGAAGGCCAAACGCAGCTATTCTACCAGAGGTTTGTGCGCGTGTTTGTGTGTGTGTGTGCACAGGTGAAAGAGGTTTGTTTGCATCTGACAATAAGCAGTGAGCCATGATTGATTAGATTTCATGCTAATAGCCTCATCTGATAACACTGTTGCGTTTGATTGTGTGGAACTGAATGACAAAAGGTGGAGCGATAACCTCAGCAGAGACTGTGAAACTGCTTCATCATCATTTCATGCAGTAACCTGGTTTTGTCTGTATAAACCTAAACAACATGAGATAATCTAAGATTTGTGCAGATTAGGGTAGAGGATACGACTAAAAATTTAAACTGCTCATTTAGGTAGTTTTTAGTTCCCACATCTTTCAGGTGTTCATCAGGTTTTGCAACCCTGTACTTATTATTTTTAATTGTAGTAATGCTCCTCAGCCTTTTGCTCTTACTAGAGCCATATCGGTGTGCTACAGGTGATCCACATTGGAATTTTCTGGTGATTTCAAGGTGCAGTGAATATTTGACGCTTTAGGTAAGAGATTCCTGCCTTTGAAGATAAGATATTCTCGTCAGTTTTAATCTTACTTCAACATTTTTACACATCATGCTTGAGCCAAGTTGAATTTAACTTCCATTTTACTTTGGAGGGACTCTTCGACAGCCCCTCATGTATCCCCTGGGCGTCCTCAGACCCCTTGCTTTACCTTTGTGGAGGTACATCTGTTATGAGAAGCTGAAGGGTGTGTAAAACGTGGTGAGCTTAATGACCAGTGTTTAAAAGGTTTGATTGAAATCCAGTCTGCAGGAAATGGGTCCCACAGGTCCTGCTTGCCAATGATGAGCAGATCTGTTTGACACAGAATCAGGGCCAACACGGCCATGAAAATTGTGTAATGTTGGTTTCAGCTTAAGCACTGCAGAGAGGTAATTTAGCACTTCATTCTTGAGTTCTCTGCAGGATTTGTCCTCTATGATTCAATTTAAATGTGTTAAGTTTTCATCAGCTGTATTTTCACCCACCACCCACTTAATTATATGTACAGGAAAATAACTTTATTTATATAGCGCCTCTGCAAGTCAGACCCTCCAGGTCAGATTGTACAGCAGGTTAGTTACTATAGCACAGGTTAGAGCTTTACAGTAGGCCTAAATATGGACTTACGTACCAGCTCAGAGTTTGAAATAGTTTAACAGATAAATTATGGGGCGAAAAGTAAGCAATATTCATATTTGATTCATTTTGGATGTTTTCTTTTTCTTTGCAGTCTTAAAACACAAAAGAAATACGGTCAATGTGATCGCCTATGTTATCAAGCCCCTGACGGAACTCATCAGATATTGTTAAGAAGTTCAAATCTTACATTTTCCATGGCGAAAGTTTATGGAGGATCTTTCTGAAGATTTTTGGAGTCTTTATTTCAAAGCACTGAGGATCAAATCCGCAGTTGAAGTGAGAATTTGCTGACTTTTTGTTTTCTTTGCTAATACATTGAAATTGAGTCTTTCATTCAGTCAGAAGGCTCGGAGAAGTGAGATTTCCTTTTTTTGCATCCTTTACGACATTACTTACCGCTTTCTCCTCATAACTTCAGACCTGCTCAGCCCCAAAGTTGCAGCATGTCTCGTCACCAAGCTTCATGATGTGCTCACCCTCCATCTCTGCATAAACAGTGACACACTCGTCTACACATGCTCACGTGCATCTAAGGGGTATTTTTTACAGTCCTGAAATATAACTGTAGGAGGATTTAGCCATGCTGGATATTAATGGACAATTCTATAACTATTCTATATACAGTCTATGAGTAAAACACACGAGAGGTCAGTTATCATAAGATCCTGCCTGATCCTGTCTGTGCCTGGAGAGTTACGCTGCTGTGCGTAAGTGTTTTCATATCTATTTATTCAAAAAGTCAGTCATCATAAGTGCTGCGCAGAGGAGTTGTTTTGGAGGATTTTATAGTAACCCATGCCTTCAGGTGACTCACAGTGAGCTGTGTGTGTGTGTGTGTGTGTTTTTATCCTGTGTTTGCAAAGGTAAGGTAGAAAAGGGGGAGTTAGAGCAGACACACTGTTTGGTCCCAATTATCCACGTTGGCGCCTGCGAATGTAGTGGTTGCGCGCAAAAGCACGTTGTTGGAGGCAGTAAGTGTCTGCAGGGGGGCTTTTTCTATTAGTTTGAACGTGAAAGGGCATTAAGAGCCGACACAAGTTTTTATTTGTCGTTTTACGCTCAGAGATGCACAGCTGAGCTCTGACTTATGAAATAAAAGTTTTTTTTGCTGATATGGTGAAACTGACTTTGTAATTTGGTCAGAGGGCTTGGAGATGTCTCCATACATCACCATACTGCACACTGCCTTTTCCACATAACCTCAAACCTGCTCATTCCCAAAGTTGCAGCCTGAGCGATTACCAAGCTTTGTGCGTGCTCTCTCAATTGCGAGCATTAACAGACACACGCTGACAATTATCTAAGGGTTATTTTTAAACAACTTTTATTTAATGACATATAACTGTTGGTGACATTGACCTCGCTGCTCATACTGTGTTTTCTTTTTCTTTTTTCTCCTCTACAACATAGGAAATGTGTTATTCAAAAAACCTGTAAACTATACCCAGACTGTGTTGTTCAAAGAGGAAAAACACACTGATATTTGCAACAAGTTGGATTTAAATACCATAGTAAAAACATTATTTAGCTTAAAAACTTGCTAAACACTGGCATCAGCAGAGCCAAAAGAATAGAATCTAGTATTTTAATGCTGATATTAAATACTTGTCAGCTAATGTGCTGCTAAACATTAGCTCTATGTGCACAGTGGTTTTCTGCCAGTAAAGATACAGTTACCTGCTGATCCTGAAGGAAGGATTTAAATGCAGCGCCTTGGAAAACTTAATCCTGTTAATTTCTGTATTTCTTTCATATCAAATCCAAAAGTGACATGAGCAACAGCAGGAGGTTTGTACTATGAGTCTTTTTACGAGCGGCTTATATCATATTTAAGCTTGTTTTACATGAATCTAGTCTCCAGAAGGCCAACACTACCTGCACTTCATACACTGTCACTGATTTTTCTTCTTTTACAGCAAAAAAATAAAGTCTATTTGTGTGTTTTTACACCCGACAAGAATAGAATAAAGTCAAGGCTCAAAATCCATGCAGTTTTTATTTTAATGTTTGTTCATGATATTAGCAAACATAATCTAGTAAAAGCATGATACTGTTACAACTCACAGCTTGTGGACAGATAGTGAGCTCCCTCTACATCCTGACAAGTGTCCGCCTCTCTCCTGCACTTTGTCATACACACAGAGGATGGCTCTGGCTCAGTGAGTCAGTCACAGCCCAATAAAAAGGTCAGGGGTTCAATCCCAGGACCTGCTGTCAACATGCTGAAGTGTCCGTGGACAAGATGCTTGACCCCACCTGTCCCTGCTGGCTCCCGTCTACACTTGTAGGGCGTAGATGTGATTAGTTGAAACTGATAGGCTCTATACAGAGCAATCTCAGTATCTGGATTGAATGGGTCATTGTGACATGACGCAAGAGCAGTACAGTGGCTGACAATGGTCAACAATGTGGCATGGACATTCTTCATTTGGAGAAACGTACTGTAAAACACACAGCAGTTAAAACACACTGTAGGTGAATAACTTACTGAAAAAAGCCAAAACAAGTGCATTAACAACAAAAGCGCGGCAAATACAGAATTGGCACAAACACAGAAAGCAGCTGCAAAGAACAATAAAGTGAAAGTGCTCCAGGCTTACAGGAGTGCTGAGTGACTGAGCTTTATTGTTTACAGGACAGTGAAGAAGCTAGCTGCGTGGCTTTCTGGGGTTTGGCAGCGCTGCCCTCAGCAGCTCAGTGGACCCTTTTCAGGGCTGGACTCCAGTTATTCAGGGTCTGCTCTAGAATTAACACTAAGTTCTCCAATGACAGGGACAGAATTAAACCTGACATCTCTCCAGCTCCTCTCTGATCCCCACTGTGTCCTCTCCATCCCTAGTGTCAAAGTCCAGACCAGTGTTAGACATTACCTGTTGTCTGGATTATTCTCAGCTTTCCTGGAAATTAGCCCTACGTGTTTAGACAGACTGATAAGTTTAGGTCCCTGCAAAACAGCCTGGGTTACATGACCTCAGGCTGCACAACCATGCCAACGTTACCCGTTCATGAATCTTTAATAAAAGATAATCACATATATATTATATAAAATATATAATATATGATATAGAATTCCCTTTCAGTAGCCATATCAGTTTCAAGTTTGCTTTGAGGTTACTTTTTTATTTGACTTTTCTGGCAATTTAAAGCTCCTGTAAGTAATAATTGTTTCTGTCCATTTGTTAATGTTGTGTCGTTTGCAAACAATTCGTTCAAAAGAACCGAATCATTTAAGTGAACGTACTGAACCAAATCACTTCAAGTGATTTGTTCGTTTCTCACTTCAGTTGAGATGTCAGCAGGGCAGGTGCTATAGCATGTAGCATTGTCAGGCGAGCAGCCGGCGAACAAGGGATCGCATGCACCGATGCCTGAAACACTTAGTAAAGGAATCACACGGAATCTTTTTAATTTTTTAATGCTAAATTGCCACCACAACTACTTGCATACAGTGGGGTACAGCATGAATGTGCTTGTTCAGTGTGAATTCTTCTAAACATTCAGTGAGTCCAATTTACCAAGCAGACTTGATAAATAGCATACCGTAGGACAGTACATTTAAAATATCATGATTTATAAACAGGTTCGTTTTTACAAACCTGTTTGCCATAGCAACACAGCCAAACACTTTTGTCTCCCGGTCCCAGGAGCTATGGTCTGAACTGAATCCTGAACCGCTCAGCTGTGTATCAGATCAGGAGGTCGGAGTCACAGGCTCCTCCCCCCAAGCGCTGAATGATTCAGTGATTCGAGGAACGAATCTTTTGAACAGATTCTTTTAGTGAACTGATTCTAGTAATTCAGTACATCTAAAAGAACTGCCGTGCCCATCACTTTCATTTGTTTGCTCACATGAACAAAGTACTCTTTGATTTTCATGTCATCTGCATGTTTCAGTAGTTTCCTCTAAAAAAAAAAAACAATCCTTCTGACATTAGACAGTCAAATAAATAACTTATTGTGATATTTTTATTTCAAAGCAACCTCACCCTCTCCCTCATACCAGTTTCAGGCATTAAGAATGACAACACAAAAGTCACCAATCTTGTCATGGATGGTTTTATTTGCTTTTTATGTATCATATAAATGCATCAGTATGAATTTCAACAATGATAAAGTTATGAGTTAAAGACACACCTGACTTTACTCACATGTGGGCACACTCAGGTTGTTAGCCCAGGTCATCTGAAAGCAGAGGTTGTGTCAGCATTTCCAGTTTGTCCTCTGCTGTTGATAAGCATTGAAACTCTGCTTCAGAAAACAATGGCGCCACTGAGACTGCTCTCATGTTATGTGCCACCAACACAGACTTATACCATGATCAATTCACTGCATGCCTCTCAAAAGGTCTCATCAAATCTGAATCAGTCATCTCAGGGACTTTAGAGATTTATCCGCTCGCTAAAATTGTAATTACTCTGAGCCTCGACTGTGCTGCAGCCGTCTGTTTGATTAAACCTCCTATGATACTCCATAGACTGTAAGGACTTTTCTGCACGGATGAGTCTGCTGATAGTTTATCCTCAAGTCTGACACGCTGAGATCTGTTTATATTCTGGGACAAATTTCTCAGCGTTTCTACTCCTGTAAACTTGAATCAGACTAGATGTCCTGTAGGGGGGGACAAAGGCTGAACAATCTGATTCATCTTATCAGGTGTGACACTGATGTAACTGATATTATAAAAAAAGCTATAAAATCACCAAACACAGGGGCTGAAGGTCAGTGTGTGGGATGCTGCAAATGTTTCAAAGAACTGTTTCTGCAATCACACAGAGTTCAAAGTTATTTGGTTATCTGTCTGTTTGCAACAGATCAGAGTGTCATACATAGTTGATTACTTAAAAAAAATGTATGACTTTGGAGATTGCTTGGTCTGATGAAGGTGTTTTGACCCCTCCCTTCTTCCTATCTCTCAAATTTGTAGCTGTAAAACTATCTTATGCAGCTGAAGTGGGCACTTACTCATGCACTGAATGTTGAAAGCTTCAGACATCAGTACAAGTTCCCCCCTCACAAACACAAGCCAGAAGTTTTCTTTGCCACCTCAAAAGAAAGATTATTTTTTACAGCAAGATGCATGCATTTTCCTCCCTTTCTCTACTGTTGAAAACCCTAGAACTCCAAGCAACCCTCCAGCTACTAGCCCAACCCAGAGCCCTCCTGGGATTCCGAAGGGGGTTCCAAAAATGTGAGCGACTGTTCCTCCTACAGCCGCTCCAGCCAATGCAGATCCATTCACAAACCGCATAATTCTGTTTCCTTGTACTGGTGGATTTGTGAAGCAGGTTCCTTTATTGTTCTCCACCATTTCTTGAATCTTCCTCACAAGCTCGCTAACCTGAGGTAGATTCTCTGTGCTGTTAAGAACATGGTATCTCCTCTCACAATCATCATAGACAAACTTTGAGAGATCTTTGCTGCGGCTGATGAATTTCTCAATGGTGGTTCTACCATTTAGCTTCTCTCCCTCAGGGAATACAGCCATGGTGTACTGCAATATATTACCGCCAAAAGTCTGGAAGAATTTCACAATCTCCTTTCCCTCTTGTGTAAGCGTCCCCACAGGCAGCACAAGCAGGAACACATGAGGACCAGGAGCAACCTTTGATACGGCATTTTTAATCTCTTCCATCACGTTGTTTGATTTGTTGGTGTCACACAGGCCCGGAGTGTCAACAATCATCATTGTTTGTCCGTCAATGGTCATTTTTTTCTTGTTCCACGTGCCAGGAAGGAATATGGATTCATGCTCAGCTGCAGGTGTCTGATATTCCTCTGAACTTCTCCAGAGGGCATTCATGACTGAAGTTTTCTCAACTCCGACCTTCCCAATGACCACAATCCTCAGCTCTGAAGTCTCTGTGGGGAAAGAGAACACAAAGGTTTATGGCAGCAGATATAAATGATAATTTTCAAAGCAGAACAAAGAGCAAACCAAGTGCCTTTTTATGAAAGAACAGTGAAGAACAAAACCAAGGACTGCTTCACCATGAATTTCTGCCTCAACAAATCAAACATTTAATCAAGTATAATAATCAATGTTGGATAGTTAATACAGCACAATAATTGCTCCTGATTTGGGGTCAGGTATGGGGAGCTTTGTATACTCTCTCGCTCCAGTTGCCTGTGCCAAGATCATGTTTCCCATGTGGAAATGGCACTACATAGGATGGAGCACACACTGTATGCCAAGGCTGAGAAATGTGTCCTCCATGGCTTCACTGGTCAGTTTCTGGGATATGTTGTGTCACAAGACAGTGGGGACATGGACCAAAGCAAACTCAGGGCAGTGCTTAAGTGGCCTCAACCAAACATCAAAGAGATACAGCATTTCTATAGGTTCGCCATTTTTTTATTGGCGCTTCATCTGGAGCTTCAACTCAGTTGCTGCCCCTCAGACAAGGACAACTCTACAGAAGCTATCATCTACCCAACCCACATTCTTGTGCCACTCACATGGGAGATTGATACAGTGGTTAAAGGCCTTAACAGAAGACAGGGGGAGGGCCTCTCCATGACTCAGACATAGACTTCGACTGGGACATAAAAACAGACATTGACATACAAACAACAAACTAACAAAGAAACAGGGGAAGGCAGGGACTATATACACATAGGGAAACGAGCAACAAGAGGCAGGTGAGACACGGAGACACAGGTGCAAACAATTACTGAGGAGAGAAAACTGAGGTAAAACAAAACTAGAAACACAAGGATGGACCACTACAAATAAAACAGGAAACACCTAAAGCTGATCTAAAGGGGGTGCGTGGATGGCCAAGTAGGATAGCGTAGCCCATGTTTCGGGACCATGTTCCCTGCAGTGGTTAAAGGTTCAAGTCCGGCCCCGACCAAAAAACCAACAAACAGCAACAACAACAACAACAAAAAAAAAAAACACTGATCTAAAGAATGAAACACTGAAAACTTGAGAAAATCTGGGTCAAACATAAACTGAAAAGTCACAAGACAGGATCATTGGGAAAAAGAACAATGGGGAACAGAAACACAGAAAATGCACTCAATTAACAAAACCAAGAGAAAACTAAATTAACAGAACGTATCATGACACATTGGCCTCTTAATGGATTTATTTTATTGCATTTGTCAGTTAACCTCCTTGTGGATTCAATTTATGGGGCTGCCCAAGGCTCAATACTTGGTCCTTTTCAAATCTGAATGCCTTTAATAGACAACACTAGGCTCTTGAAAAATTTAGAGCCTGACAATAAAACAAAAATAATAAAGTTAGAGCACTGGGTTTTAGTGTTTATTAATTTTGTGGATCATAAAAGTTTTCACCTTTGATTGTTAATCATTACTTGAGAGTGTTGTGGAAAACCTTTTTAATGCAAGGTGGTTAGATGTAATTTAGTGACACCTTAATGTCAGGGAATCATGCTGATCAGAATGACAGAATAAATCAAATCTCATTTCTGGAAGTTTTGTCAAATAAATAAAAACTGGTCTGCCTAACCTCATGTTTACCCAGAAAATATAATACACCTAGAATTCAGCATATGAACTCAGTAAAAATTGTAAAACATTATGTTTGCTGTACAAGAAACCCAAACAATATCTTGAGTACTAGTTCTGTTTGAAGATGCTAAAAAATATACTCACTAATTTGTGAATGTTCTTCACTGGCCATCTTCTCTTGTAGAGGCTGGTGATTGTCTGTCATCAGATTTCCATCTCATGGATATATATATACAATAGCCTGCTTCCAACTCCCTCCCCTGAATTACAGACCAACTGTTACCAACCAAAATCTCACCAATCACAGACCAGACATGAGAAATGACTGCCAGGAACAAAACCAGGGGGATGAGCATGAATAAATGAGGGAGGCTACACTTGCTAACCCTTCCTTGCACAGTCCCCCTAATTACTTGGTATTTACAGTGAGAATGATGTGGTAGACATCACAAAATATTATGTAGTTTCTAATGTAAACAGTAGGAAATTATAGAGAAACTGAAAGAGAAAAAACAACTTGTACCCATCATTCAACAGAATAATGATGTGTTATGACTAGTTTAGTATGAAAATAAATATTACTTATTAACACGTTGAAAATTTAGCCTCTCTGTCTGACACATTATAACCATAGACTGTATGTACTATGGACAATTTGGCCGTCATTATATGAACTTGAAGCCAAATTGCTCTCAGTATTTCTGGGATTTTCTCCACTTCCTGGAACCACTACTTGCACAGTAGCGTTGTACATTTTTGGCGGGATAGTCGCTGTGATGACGGTCTGTTCAAACAGTGAAACCCTTGGATGAACTACACAATCTTCATACGCCCATAGGCTGTATCGAGCGTCAATCATAGAAAAAATGAACCCCCTGATAACTTTTAAAAATGGAGCTACACAGAAAAAAGACGACTTGAACACAAAACTTCGAAAGTTTATTCACAGCTTCATAGGGATTGCTGGAGGGAGTGGGATTTATGACCTATACTGAAGCCCATCACCAGAGGGTGCTGTTCTCCGATTGGCTCTACTCAGCAAGGAGACAGATGGTGTACATACTACATACAGTCTGTGATTATAACACAGAGTTTAGGAGTTCATTATTCAGTCCAACTTATTTTCCAAAAGAGGCAGTCAGTGTTGCTCCAATCACTCTGTTGGCAGCAACCAGTTGCCCAACTGCATCAGCTGTTTGAGGGAAGAAGGAATCTCTGTTGTTGGCTGCTCCATCTTTCTGAGTTTCTGCAATAATTCACCTTGCGCCTCTTCACTGGGTTGTAGCTCCCTACAATGACTAACAGAAATCAGGTTTAACGGATGGATCCTCCAAAACATCTGTGATAGTAAGATAAGGATTCAAACATGCTTTCAGATTGATGCCTGGCTTAGAGTTAAAGGGTATCGTCAGTATTTTCTAAGTGGGGTTGTGTTGGGGTTGTGGTATGTCACTTTTAAGTGTATCGGCCGTAGTGGATGCTAGTCATTTCTGCCTCTTGTTTGCTAAAAAGACAACCCAGTGCGCTGGAGGGAGAAGCAGAGACTTTTCTGTGGAAACTGGAAAAACAGAAGGCCTTTCATGTTACCTAGTGGTGCAGCTGTATAAACTTCCAGCTATCGCGAAAACTACTTGTTGTAGTTTTCTTGGTTGTTTCTTCCCAACTTTCCTCAAAATTCATGAGTGACATCAGATCACCAGAAAAGCTGAAAGGAACAGTGTCTTCAAAGTGTTTGGCGCTCAGTGTTTTTGATTGCATAATGACACAAGCCATGGTCCTTACAACGTGCTTACCTTGGCAGACTTGTGTGTGTTAGTTGATGAAGGGAAGACTTTCTTATTTCCTGTTATAGACTAAGCTCTCTGATGGCAAAGTGCCTGAAACGTTCTTGGTGAAGTGTACTTAAAATTCGCAAAAATTTCACAATTTTGATTTTGTTCCCACACAAAAAAGATGTTTTCCCAGCAGTTTCTGAACAGCTTCTATCAAGACTACAACACATACAAGTGATGAGTCTTACGACCCAACTTCAAAAATACTGATATATCCGTTTAATGTGAGGAAAAATTATTCTTTTTTTTCTTCAACCCGAAAATTGTAAGTTATGAGTATAACTGTTGTTTTTTTTGTCTCACCCTGTACAGAGTGTGGAGATGTTATGCCACTCTGAATGCTGGGACACAACACTATTTTTGGAGCCTATGTTTCTTTACCTGCTGTTGCACTATTTGGTGGCTTTCAGTGAATCAAAGGGAGGAAATGTGAGAAATGACATTGATCTGTATTAATTGGAAGCTCAGGTCTTGATTACAGATACTGTAGACTGCTACCACTCACCTACCCAAACAGTGTGAACAAACTTTCTTGTGATTTGACTTTAAATATGAGTTTTCACTCTGCATGAAAGATACCTATTTGTTGGCTTGATTGTACCTTGTAAGTTCTTATGTAAGTTTAAACAGTTTCAAAGGTCATCAATGAGACACAGCTTTTATACAGCCATTAAACAACAGCAACAATAAAACCAAGAAATTTATTGGGTATAACAATAAAATCTTATCAAATCTATGCTGTAAAAACATAAAATTGGATGCTTCCTTTCCTGGGCGTGCACAGTTATGTCATGCTTATTGTCACACTAAACTAGTGGGAATTGGAATTGAAAATTTGAGAATTTTTTGAGCATTTTAGGTATTAATTGTCCGTAACTTTCCACTGCGACTTATACTGTATAATGATGTAATTACCACATTTTTACCAAGTTATCATAGAATTATTTTATCATGGTCATAACTAATACAACACCTAATTTATCAGGTTAAATATCTGCCAGTCTCTAAAGATATAAAATCCCTTGTGGCCTTGCCCTACTAAACTTCTGATTATATTACTGTGCGTGCTGATACAGCTAAAGAGTCCATTATAAATGAGCTCAACTTGCCAGAAAACGTCCAAGAACTAAAGTGAACTCTCTGCATGATAAACTATCGAGGTGAATATGTTCTTAACCTAACCACAGTGGGTCAGCTACTGCACAAATATTTGCAGTCCTGCATTCATTAACTACCGATTTCCCCACACATGTGGCCCAGTGGATTAAGTTTAGGGAAGAGAGATGTAAAAAAGGTAAACAGGTGTATGACTACGACAAGCACTATGGTGTCACTGCAAAGAGGAGACCACATTCTTACAGAGCTGGAAGACCAAAAGACACAAACTAGACCTGTAGTAGTGACAGGTGAAAGCATCACACAGAGGCCAAAACAGGACTTTGATGGACTGATTCACTGGTTGTCCTGTTAAGCTTGTTTAGAGACTGGACCACTGAAAGTGATTAATTCATTCTAAGAAATAAATATAACTTAACAGGACAAAATTATGACTGTGAAACTGGAGGTCAGTCACAGTATTAATAAAAAATCATATCAAAGTCATCTTCTAAACGAAATAGCAAAGTCCGCTTGAATTGACATTATGGGGCAATCTATTAATAAAGCCAAACTCTGGACTTTCATCAACGTCAGTATTACAACATTATTTGCAGCCAGAATCTTTATTGCATGTTGGTTGATAAGTAACATGGCAGTAAAACTGAATTGAACCTAAGACTTCATCTTTTTCTTTTGACCTTACCGAGACAAATTTAAGCTTAAAAAATGAATTTCCTGAAGTTGTTTACTAGTTGTAGCAAAAATAAGGCAACTCTGCTCTGACTCCGGGAACCTGTCAGATGAAACAGAACCAAATTATCAAACAGAAAACGTACAGTTTTAAGAAGTATGGCTTCTCGTTATCTGATGCGTCAGAGACATGCCATCCTTTGTTCTCTGAGCCATTAAAAAAAAAAAAAAAAAACTTGGAACAGAAGACTTCTCAAGTTATGTAAAACAACCTCATTCAAATACTAACTGAACCACAAAAATCTTACCTGGTCTTAAAGGTCAATGAGAGTAAAAATCATGACTGTTTATAAACCTGTTTGTGTCAGTAAACCCTGCTATGGCTTTATCTTGTTGTAGAAATGTGCTAAATACTGCGTGGTACTTCACTCATGTTGAAATAAAATAAAGACTGATGTCATCTAGTCATAACAGGAAGTACTGGTTTGCTGTATGTTGACAGAGGTTTTGTACTAAAAGACAGTAACAACTGAAGCTTCGGCAGATCACTTTAATATCTTTTAAGCATCACAAACAGGTGGAAAACAATAGTGGAATACAATTGTATAGTAAAGAAAATACAAAAATAAAAACTGAAACCCATAACCAGAATGGTTTGCCCTGTGTCATTTACTTCTTAAGTTGGCTGAACACTCAGGTTATGAATCTGTTAAGACTTGTTTAATTTTCCTGTCACATCCTGGAGTTTTCCAAGGACCAACTTTGCACCTGGACACATAGTTTCAAGCAGATCCACACCTGCAGCCATTATTCCATCCTTAGAATTACCTTCTGCTTGTTCCCCATCTGGTTCATTTGATTCTTGTATGGTTTCCAGTGCTGTTTCTATCAGACGATAGCTCAAATTGCCTCTTTTCTGGACCATGTTTTCAATCTTCTCCACCAGAAACTGACCATCATCTTTGTTGTTGAGGACCTGGTACTCATTGTGACACTCCCTGATGAATTTGTTCAGATATGGTTCACTTTCAATGAAATCTCTCACGTTTTCTTTGTCTCCATGGGTGAACAGGATGATGGTACGATTTGTGGCAGATTCAATGACTGCCTTAAAAATGTCGATTGACTTTTTATCTTCTGCGGTGAAGCTGCCTTGTTTTATCACCCACAGGAATGCATGAGGAACACTCTGCTCAATGGACGTTGCAATCATTTCCATGGTCTCCTTTAAAGACATTTCAGTGTGGAACAGGCCCGGAGTATCAACCACGGTCAGAGTGTGTCCATGGATCTCTTTGGTCTTTGATAAGCATGTACTTGTCACTGATGAGGGAGATGGACCTTCCTCGAAACCTTTCTCCTCAGGGATGTCCAAGATGGCGTTTCCTGAAGTACTTTTCCCTGTTCCAGTCTTTCCCATGAGTACAATACGAAACTCAGATTTCTCTGGGTCTGCAACAGAAAAAAAGAATATCAATGTGAAATTAAAGCCATGACTCCAATCACAAAATAAAACTTTAAAAAATAAATTACAGTTTTGAGAAACTCATTGTCAAATCCAAACCAATGTAAGAGCAGATTCATTCAAGCATCCAAATCAAACACAGGAGTACCTTGAATACTTTACATATGAAAAGGATGCGATAATACAGAAAAATATATATTGCTTTATAGTTAAATCATTACTCCAAACATTTGTCTCCAACTGAATAATGGTTAAAAAAATCATGGATCAATTTTCTTGTAAAGCAGAGATAAAAAGAAAGATGGATGAAATACTAAATCATTAAGATAAAATATAAAGTACCACAAACAGGCTGACAAATCTGTCTGATAAAATAATTTTGACATCTGTAATCCTAGCTTTTTTAAATCTAATAACTTGTAACCATGCATTTTGAATGAAAAAAAAAGAAAAAATGAAAGAAAGAAAAAGAAAAGAAAAAATGTGAGTTTAGAAAAAATGAGTATTATAAGAAATATGACTGGTGACTGCCTGGTTGGTTAAATACAAATGAACCATCATATGAACCATGATGTTCTGGTTAAATAACTTCTTTTAAATACAGTATTGCTAATGCAAACAAACACAAAAGAATAAGTAACACTTAAATTGTTCCTTAACTGACAGTAAGGCTGATGAAATATTCTCACCTTCTTGTTTGCTGGCCATCTTTGGCTTGCAAGAGGCAGATGATCTGTGATGTGATTTTGCTGTCTGAGTCTTGTTGTGGTGAAGTCTGTCATTTCATGCTTTTATATATGAAGATCTGTTGAGTCCCCTCCCCTAAAACATGTCATTTGCTGTGAATACTGAGGTCAGAAGGCCCAGAGAGCCAACCAGTCACAGATCATAAACACAGGCAAATAAAACAAAGTTAATAGAAAAATTGCTAGATAGATAGTTAGTATTCAATTATCTGCATATGAGATCTAGCTACACTTGATGGAGGCACTTCCATGAATAGACTCAATTAGATCATTATTTGTTTGAACCAAAAGGAGTGGCATTCTGTGATTCTGTGACACCTCCTTCTGGGGTGCTAGCTCTGCTAACTTGAGCTGCTTGTTATTATTATTATTTTTTTTCTAATCTCCTGAAAATCTTTAAAATTGTTCAGAAGATCTCTGCAGATTATGTGCACAAAAATTCTAAAAAATTAACACCAGCCCTCCATATCAAGGATACGCTTTTATTTTGAAATTATTACCGCAAACCAATTTTCAGTGTTGTAAAGTAAGTAGCAATACTTAAGTATGATACTTGAGTATAATTTTGAAGTATCTGTACTTTACTGTTTTTTTTTTTTTTTTTTTTTTGTGCCTGTGACTTTTACTTTTACTTTACTACATTTTTAAAAATAGAAGTATACTTTTACTCTTCTTGATTTCACAGAAGCATCTTCGCGACTACCATTTTTACTTTGTTACGATGACAGCGGGTAGGGGGGTGAATTTTTTATTTTCCCTTTTACCTAATGTTGATTTGCATTGTGCTTGATCATCGTCAATCAGGCAAGCTGACAGACAGAGAGACAGACAGACAGACAGACAGACAGACAGACAGACAGACAGACAGATACTTTATTAATCCCAGAGAGAAATTCAAGCCTGGTCACTCAAACCCGGGCATGTCGACTGCCACGTGTAGGTTGCGCAGTTGCTTGCATCCACCTAAATGTCAAGTGGCTGTTTTGATGGTTCTCATGGTGCCCAACTGGTGTCCTAAGTTCTTTGATTGATGGAGGATGCATTATTGTTTCTCCTGATTAGTGCTGTAATCAGGCATCCGTCCATCCCTCCCATTTATTTTTATTTTTCTAAGCTGTTGCTTGCAGCTGCTTAAATGTCCAGTGTCTGCTTGATGGTTCTCATCATGCCCAACTTTTGTCCTAAGTCCCCTCTTGACTGAAGGAGGATGCACTATTGTTTCTTCTGATTGGTGGTGCGTGTGTCCATTTATTTTTCTAAGCTGTTGCTTAAACCCATCTGAAATGTGTGCTTATTTGAGCATAAGTGACTTCTGCAAAAAATAAGAATATGCTTATTTGTACTTTGACTTTGACTTTTTACTTTTACTTGGAGTACATTTATTTGAGTACGTTGGAAACTTAAGTAAAGAGAATGTGATATAGTTTAAGACTTTGACACGAGTAGAATTCTCTTAGTAGACTTTGACTTTGACTTGAGTCATTCTCTGGTAAGGTAACCAACTCAAGTATATTTGTTCAGTACCTCATACAACAATGTCAGTTTTACAGTTAATGCCCCTGCACATCATCATCCTCTTTCAAACAACATTTACAGAAAGCAGTCAATATATATCTGATATGTAGACATGAGTGTGTTTGGAAAATGATGTACCGGGGACATGTGACAAACCTTGACAAGGCAATTGCTGTTATTTGTTAAGACATGTCAGTTGGCCACATGGTATTACCTCTAATCTATCAAAGGCTCCTGAATCAAAGCAAAATCACACCATAGCAGACTCTGTGATAATGGCAACTATCAGTATACCCCCCCCCCCCCACCACCACCACCACCACCACCACCACCACACAATTACTACATCAAAATCATAGAGACATAGTTTCTAAATTTGCTTGCGCTTTGTTTGCATGTGATGACTTAAAAGCCAAATCCCAAGATTTGCCACCATACTTTTGAGCCTGTTTTTTGTAGTCTTTTAATAGAAGTTTCATCACTGTAAAACTTACTATAACTGACTTTGGACAGGATGCAATCTTGAGTGCAAATTAGAGGTATATTTTTGCAAAATACACTGAAGGTCATAAAATCAATTCCCAAATGGCACCTGAAAAGTGTCCTAAAAGGATTTGAAGCAGTGAACTTTCATGTGGCGCTCAAGTACTCTTGGATAATTTTGCTGAAAGTCAATGATTTAATGTAATGTCACATCAGTTTTGTGTAATGTTGTCATCACTGCTTGGTTTTAAAGAGCCAAGTCAGTCAACGATGAGTCAGTTATTCAGTCAATCTTTTTATTTTATTTTATTTATTAAGTCGTTGATTAAAAATGAAACTTTATTTGACTTACACTAACCCATCACATAACATTTTTGTGTTACCTGAATATGCAAAATGTCACATGCAACAATTGAGGGGTAGGGGTGGTAGTAATAGATTATGATTACAGTTTATTTTTTCAATTGCATAGACAGGAGTGACTGTAATTCCTCTCATGCTCTGCTGTACACACACTTGCAGCTCTTCTGCAGTGCAGCAGCGCATGTACTGTAAAGTGTGATTGCATACTGCTATCTTGTGGCCATTCAGAGCAGCACAAGTTTCTGCCTCGCTGGCTGAGTCAGGGGAACACGTCATGGTGGGATGAGGTTAAATGGTTTAAATTTCTGCTGTGACTGTTTACAGAATCTGCTGGCTGTGGACACGTCACACCATTTACTGTCTGAGAGTAAAATCAGCCATGTGGATCTTAATCATGGGATTCATGGGACAGCCTGGAGACTTGAAATAATGAGCTGGCAGAATAGCAGGCCTCAAAAACCAATAAACAGTGGTTGAAAGAGGATTCAAAGCTTTATAATAATAAAGTGGAAAATGGAAATATAGAGAAATGCATTAGAATTAATGTAGAGTACAAGTAGATTTCCCTATGACATAAAATAAATGATGATTAATAATACATTATAGTTGTTGCTGTTGATTTTTTGTGGTATTTTTTTAAATGTTTTACTGACAGGTTGGAAGATAGATGTGAATAAAGCATCCAGAGATTTATCTTAAAAACGTAATAATAATAATGATAGATGAAAAGTTGCAAATACACATCAAGTATTTTGGAGACCAGTAAACTTCTGAAATAGATACTAGCTGAGTCAGAAATATACATAATGTTATAACATTCTAATATATATTATGTTTATGATATTGGTGGAATGGCATTTCTGACCTTCTATCAGCTGTCTTGATTTTCCAGGATTTTTCATACACATACAACATCTGGTTATTGAGTGTCACTTAGCAGTTTTGCTGCCCGTGAACAAAGCGCTCTTTGCTCATCATGTCACTGGAACATTTTTCTTTCACAGCTACTAAGCTGACACCCTCCTCCCAACACCAGTTTCAGGCATTCAAACATCTGTCCATCCAACAAAGCAGCAAATTGCAGTTTTAGGTATTTAAGTGTGAGAAGCTGCAGTTTTTCTGGTGTCCAGTTGAGGCTTGCAGTAAAAGCCCCGAAACCAAATAGTCACCTGTTGAAGAAAGACTGTCCTAAAGGGATATTCCATTAGGGTCAAACACACCGTAACACAGAGTTAGACACCCCGTCGTGGGATGAATGTTGCCGACCACTTGCTTCTCTAGTTACACCAACTTTAGTAATGACCACACACTAAACACAACTCACCCATCTCTTCCAGCAGCCGCTTGTTTATACCAAGACCTCAGGCGAATCCATTACCGCAGTGGGGGGACGCAGCTCAAGGAAGATGATAATTTCTTCATGATGCAATCAGACCAAATGCTAAGGCAGAAGAACTACCGCATCTGCAGTGCAAATTGATTAATATGATGATTATTACTTCAAGAAAATGATAAAGTAATGATCATAAATGTTCTTCCTTGCACTGCATCACCCCGTTGTGGTAATGGACTCGCCTGAGGTCTCTGTACAAACAAGCGGCTGCTGGAAGAGAGTAGGTAAGTTGTGTTTGGTCTCTTTGCTAAAAAAATCAGGCAAAACTAAAAAGATGTTTGGTGGCTTGTGCTGTGGCTGGGACCCTATATGTACTGTTGATGAAGTTAGGTGCCGTTCTAAGCATTATTTGTGGCTATAGAGTGGCGTTTTGATTGAGTGCGTGGCTCTCTGTATTGCTATGGTGTGGTCATTACTAAAGTTGGTATAACTAGAGAAGCAAGTGGCCAGCAACATTGTGTCTAACTCAGTGTTATGATATGTTTGACCCTAACTTAATTTTAAGCCGGAATATCCCTTTAACAGCAGGAAAAGAAAAAAAAAACTGCTTTGGTCATTAAAAATCATCTGTTAGAAAGGACGCTCAAGCCTGCATCTTTGTGTCATGTCAACTGGGAAAAAAAAAAAAAAAGGTTATGTCAGCCTTTCCATATTGTCCTCTGCTGTTGATGAGCATCAAAACTCTGCTTCAGTAAACAATGGCGCCATTGAGACTGTTCTCATGTCATGTGCCACCAACACACACTTACACCAGGATCAATTCACTGCATGCTTTCAAAAGGTCTCATCAAGTCTGTGTCAATAATCTCAGGGGCTTCAGACATTTATCCGCTCGCTGAGATTGTAATTACTCTAAGCCTCGACTCCTGCAGCAGCCATCTGTTTGATTAGGCCGCCATTGATATTCCATAGGCTGTGAGCAAAAATGAATGGAGGCAATATTTTTCAATCCTGTATGACTTTTCTGCACAAATGAGTCTTGGTCTCACTCATGCTGATCATTAATTCACAAATCTGCCACTCGAAGATCTATTTAGATGTTGTGATAACTTCCTCTGCTTCTCTGCTCCTCAAACTAGAATCAGACTAGATGTCCTGCAGGGAGAGACAAAGACTGCGCAATCTGACTCTTCTTATCAGGTCCTACACTGACGTAACTGATATTTTAAAAACCCATGAAACCAGCGTACACGGGAAAGTGTAAGAAGCAAAATATTGCTGTAATTGTACCTTCGACACAAAACTATGTCCTTATGTAACATATTTTTGGCCCTCCATAGCAGCAAAAAGTGCATATTAATGTAACAATAGTTCTTCAGTGTGAAGAGTTCAGCAAAGTACAGGACTTAATACTGACTCCATGTTGACTCAGATCTTCTTTGTTGTTTCACATGTGTCAGGGTGTAGCATACCGAGAATCTAATAAAGAGACAAGTTTATTACTTAAGAGACAAATATAACACAAAGGAGGTCTAAAATCTCATTATTCATTGATTTTTAACAATTTTTTTAAACTGTTCCCACTTCCAAGATCACGACTTGAAAAAGCAAAAAGTAGCCAAGGATTTAGGGAGAGTGGCCGGTGGGGAAATATTGGCATCGATGAGAGGCTTTTCAGCATTATTAAAGCTCCGGTGAGGAACTTTTATTCTGTTCTGACGTGGTTCTAGCAGTCAGATGTTTAATTTACTGTGAGTATTTTATGTGGAAATGTAATGTTTTTTATTTTTCATTAGCTCCTCATATGACACCCACCCCCTTACCTTGGTTTAAGTCACTGACATTCACTGCATAAGAATCATAGAGCTCATCCCACTCGGTCTTATTTGCTTTTAGATACCATGACAAGGCACCAGAATTAATTTTAGTCTATTTGATAAAAGGAGGGAGGGTTGGACTCTCATGGGAGCTTTAAAGTGGGATGTATACCAAATTTCCGTCCAGACTATAGGTTTGTTAGTTTAACTATGAGGAGTTTGACTGATTGAAATCTCAGTCGCACATGTAATCTTACTGGCTGCCCATGTGAGAGCTGCTCATTAAATATCTGTAATGGTGAGGAAAGACAAAGATGAAAACCTACACCTTTGATTCCTGTGCCACGTCTCCTGTGATCTCTGTTTAAAGGGTTTTCTGAGATTGATTTTGTGAGGTATCAGGATTTGCACTGTGAGGATTATGAAGACAAATACAGATATTGACTTGAGGTCAGAATGTTTGATCTTCATAACCGAGCCCTCTGTTCATACAGAGAAGAAAGTCTCCCACATCATGCCTCCTGTGATGTTCATGTTTGCCTTGTTCTTTAATATGATCTCGGATTCATTGTATGAAAAAATAATAAAAAAAATAAAAAGGGAGGTGCCTCAGAGCTGCTAGGATTATTCTGGGTCTCTCCTCGGGCCAGGTGATTTACATTTTTGGAGGCTAAAGGTTGCTCATTACTGATGAAAATTGGCTCACACATCAAACGCGTTGAAAATGAGTCAAAGGCATGACTGAGAAAGTGGCTTCATAACACCCATTAAAATAATCTGCCGAGCATCTTTCACCAGTAGTCCTGAATTAAGACGGCATGAAACATAACAGGAAATCAGCCATTTTAAACTGATTTCACACGAAAATGGGAATTTAGGTAGAGAGTTTTTATAGTTTTTTACAACTGTATGGCGTTGCTTCTTACTGACGTGGCAAAGTGAAAATCAGAGACACATGTACATGACCTAAAAACAGAAGTAGCTCATAAAGATTCATAGCCAGCATCAGCATCATACAGCTCAATTTTTAAAATCTTGTAAACAAAAAGTTATAGTTTGCTAAAACACTACGAATGATAAAGTATATTTGACTTTCAGAATTTCAGTCGTCTTTGCCTCCACGTGTACCTGAGTGACACCGATTTAAATAAAACATACTGTGTATACAATCTCACATCATCCTCTCTTTTCTGCTGACTTTCAGCTCATGTAGCTGCAGGAAATAAAGTCCCACATTCTGCACTTCCCCCACTGGGATACTGCTGCTCTAACATCTGCAACTCACAAACAGACATTAACATTGCATTTCTGCAGGCCAGCAGGTCTTACCCCAGGGTCCTTTTCATTGAAACTTTCTAACAACTTTCTACAAGTTTGATACCAAACTTACAAAATAGTGAAAAAATTCTGTTCATTTTCATTGTTATGAATCTATGTCAAAGTAAACCCGCTGTTCTTCTTTAACCACAGAAAGGAAGAAAAAAAGCTCTAATTTGACACAAATGCTTAAAGGGTGCCAACACTGAATCAATCAGATAAAAATGAGTGGAAATCCCTAAAAAAAAAAAATGTTTACAATCAAATGGCTGCTGGAAGAGAGTGGGTTGTTAAGAAAGAGAGTTGTGTCTGGTCAAGAAATCAGGCAAAGTTAAGATGATGTTTGGTGGCTAGTACTATGGCTGGGACCCTATATGTACTGTTGATGATGTTAGGTGCTGTTCTGCGCATTATTTGTTACTATAGAGTGGCGTTTTGGTTGAGGTTTGTGTGTGGCTCCTTAGACTGCTGTGTATTGCTATGGTGCGGTCGTTGCTAAAGTTGCAAGCAGTCGGCACTATTCATCTCTAGGGGGGGTGTCTAACTTGGTGTTACGGTGTGTTTGACCCTTAATTATCTTTACGCCGGAATATCCTTTTTATGAGACAACATCAAATCTGTATCATGACAAGTTAAATTGTTGATCTTGGAGCCTTGGTGGGAACAAGATCAGCTCTTTTACCCTTAAAGTCTCAGGGCTTGTTTCCTGTATTTTGCTTCATCCATAACAGACAAACACGAGATCGAACTAACATGACAAATCTTTTAATCTGTTGAACTAGTTCTTTAAAGTGGGGATGTTTTTCAGTTTAAGCTCTGTTTAATCTCTGTTGTGATGACACTCTGTATGACGGAAAACAGGTACATGAGGATAGCATCATAGCCCCGTTAATTAATTTTACGCTGGAATATCCCTTTAAGGTTCTTGTTGGAGTTAACAGTGCACATGAAAAGTTGTTTACGAATGGTCCTGTGTGTTTCAGATAGATATTCAAGATTTGTATGCAAAACTAAAATAAATGTAAAATTCAAGGAGATAACAACCGTCTATGAGCTAAGCAATCAGATGCAGCTACTCAGACTGGACTGAGAAGGAAATTGGTTCAGATTGCCTATTCTTGAACTATCACTCTGACAACATCTGTCTTTTATATTTAAAACCTTAGATAAAGATGAGTTGCAACTTTTAAATAATGGTACTGATGATCGTATGATCAATATGTGATGGATAAAATGTGCAAAAAGTGTCAACGGTATACACTATCTTTTATTGCTATCATCCATATTCATACACCAAATAAACATGCATAGTGTTACTACTTATTTACAACAGGTTAAGCAAACAGATGCCTATATATTAACATGTTACTACAGTATATAAATACATTTCACATGAAGATGTCCAAGGAACTGTGAGGTTGGCAGCCAACGTCACCTTGAGGCATTATTTGACACATCCAACAACAGGAAAGACAGGGCAGTTCAACGGAAGCCGTTTTCCATGTTTCTGTTACCCAGTGTTGCTGAAAAGTTATTCCAAATATGTCCTGGCAAGGTTACTCTTAGTGTTCATTTGTTTCTGCGGTGTGTTCTCACTTCCTTAGGGTATTTGTAGCCTTCATAAAAAATAGTGTCCGTTCACAGCAGCAGCACTGAAAATGTATTTGCAATCATGGAGCCACAGGACTGTTGCAGATCTTGAGCCTGGGATCATTACTGTTTGGCAAAACACATAATTTGCATCCACACTGATGTGAAGCTTTAGCAGTTACTCTGATTGATCTTTGGCTCCATATTGGCATTCACTTCTTGTACTGTTCACTGAGAAGATAACTATCAAAACTACAACCGTGGTGCTATAAAGTATAAAACCTGACAGTCTGTGTTTTATCACATTAACCTCGTCATTAGGTCATAACACAGCTCAGCCACTCATACTTTCAGAGAAAACGCTTCAAATTAAAAACAAAAATGAGAAGAGGAGGTTAAATCCTGCACCGAAAGAGACCTGAAAACGGAATAAGTAATAAAAACACAGGTCTGATCCTTTCAAGTGGCCTCGGCTGGAAATGTACAATGATTCTCGTCCGTCAATTTCCATCAAAACAAAATCAGACAAAGCAGAAGAAACCAAACTTACACTTGATTACATGCAGGAAAAACAGAATCAAACATTTCTATTATCATCAGGCAATGAGAGCAATCAAAAGGTTGAGAAGCTTTGACAAAACAGATTCAAAGATGAGACGCTGAAATATGAAATGTGAAGCATGAAACTGTTCAAAATGCAATGAGATTTTATGTTAAATACACATCAAATCTGATGGTAGCTTTCCAAAAATGGAATAAGAGAGAGTATGTCACAGCAATATTGATTAAATAAACATGCATCTTTGTTGAACTGAATCCTGTTTTCTACCTGAAATGTAGTTGTCATGTTCATCTGCTGACTGACTGCATGCTATTTCAGAGTTATCCTGTGAGTCGCAAAAATGGTATTAACATTTGAAAGTGCATCTCAAATCTACCGGCTGAGAACCTAAAGGGAAACCAAGAGTAAGGGCAAATCAAATGAAATCTTTGGTTCTTTGGTTCACATCACTGACAGCGTACACGCAGAGTCACCTGAACTGAAACACTCACACAGCGAGAGATGACAACAGCCTGAGGAAATAAGTGTCACCTCATGCATAACATATCCAGGCGCGTTCTCCGTTCGGATAATGCACATATGACGACATCCTGTTGCAATTTTTTGACCATTTCATTCATATTCAAATCACTCCACAACGTCGAACACATCAAGGTCTGACGATTGCTTTGTGTGTTTCAGGAGAGCTGTGAGGAACACAAGCAGCAGCACAAAGGAAACCCTGCTTCAATTACACCTTCAGTGTCTGTCACTGTCATGTACAGCCACATGAATACAGTGTTTGTGTGGTGTCAAATATGAAAAAGTAAGTAAATAAACATTCATGTAAAAAAAAAGAAGAAAAAGTTAATATGGAGTCAGTTTTCGGTACGTTGTACTTGTTTTCTCCATTTTAACTACAGCTGCTTTAATCAAGTAGTTTTATGATGAAGTATTTTATTTATAAATGTCAACTTTTTATCTAATAATACCCTCAAATCTATGTCACAATTTAACGGTATTTATCTTTCCCGATCATATCCCCCTTACTCATCCTGACAGGTTCACCCACTCTACGCCATAGGCATCTGCTTGTGTGTCTACAAGAGTAGGTGGATTTTCCACAGAGGTGAGAGGAAAACTAAAGGGAAAATAGTATTTTATTTTTGAAAACAGACACGGAGATACGCTCCAGGGAGTCATCTCAGTTTGAGCTACAAAATCAGAGAGATGTTTGCTTGGATTTGGATCAGGTCGTGTATGTCTTTGCTTCCTGCTTTGAAGACTCGAGCCTCTGTACATGTACTGCTGAATCAAACCAGAGCCACACAAATTTGCTTTAAACTCCTATCTGCCAAAAAAAAGGAGAAAATCTCTAATTTGGAGATAACATCACTGAAGGTGTGTCGTAGATTTGAGCCAATGAGCTTGTTGCACCTGCAAAAGGTTGATGAATCATAAATAATCCATGTCTGGGCTTTATTCCTGCTGGCTGGGTAAGGAACATAATGTAGCGTTTCATTCAAACCAAAACTACCTCTTTCTTAATTTATTAGTTAAAAACTGCGTCGAATCAAATTTAAATCCATCAGGGGTTTCATGATGTATACACACAAAAACATAAACATTATTTAGCCGATCATATGTACCTCGACTACTAGAACTAAAGTATAATTTCATTGTATCAGAAAAGGGTGGCAACATTTAAATCCTCTTATCTTATTCTTTCAAGACTCTGATGTCTTTTCAGTGTATCCCTGACAAAATGAATGTGTGATGTACTTTTTATTTTATTTTAAAGCACCTACAAAAACAAAAAGTGCTACAATCAAATGTAAAAGAAAAAATGATACAAAACGAAATACTGACAGTCTGTTACAACACAAACTATAAATGATTGAACAAAACTTCTGCCTCTGATGAGGCAAACAGCGAATCATGGCTTTGAATTTTAGGGTCCAGGGGTGGTCCATTAGATTTCAGTCCCACCCCTGACTATCCCTCTTGATAGGCCCCTGATCCAACAGGCACTGGCTGGTAGAAGCCCTCTGGGGAGCTTTATTCTTAATTTTTATGATACCAGCTGCAGTTTCAGAGTGTTTCATAATCTGTCTTCTTTGTAAAACTGGAGTGTCGATTCGTGAGGCAAGCTGCAACGCCGTTCATTTGGGGCAGATTTCTGTGCTTAAACAAAGGAGATCAAAGGCCACTACATTTATAGCATCATTGAAAAAGGACTGAATGCGGGCAAAGAGAGAAAGCTCTGCACAATAAATAAATTAAGAAAGTCATAAAGGACAAAATATAGAGGGGGACTTCAACAGCAAGGGGACCTTCTCATTCTTGGGAGACAAGCATAAAGTTTAACACACTCTCCTAAATGACTTTTATTTCCTGCTCCCTCATCTCATTTCAACATCTCTCTCCTCTAATCCATTATTTTCACATTTCTCCTTAAATACCATACCTGCAGGCGGGGATCGAAAATGTTGTTAAAGTTGTTCAGTATAAACTATCAATCCACCACAACAGAGACTCACTGGAAAAAGGCATGTGCTCTACCACAGCAGTGCTGGCTTTATACGGCCTTGAATTACAGCTCCATCTTTCCACGTCCGAAAATGATTGTACTGCATAACAAACAGGCCAATTCTTTCTTCTGAGTATCACTGATGACGTTTGAAGGTGAATTAGATTCCATTATATCTCAGTCATTGTCAAGTTAGCCAATTAGAGTCTGCGATATCAAGTTTAAAGCAACGACTCGGTCCAAATAATCGATACTGTTTAAGAATGAAGCTGTAATCGTACTTTCTAACCATTACTCTCTAAATGTGACTTTATATAAATATGCTGCTTTGCTTCCAAACCTAAAAATTAACACACTCATCTCCGACACACATAAATGACACTGACTGTACATACATATGGTAAAATACAGTTCTCCTCCTTAGACGCTGCTTCGTAGACTCTGTGACACATGCTACTCCAGCGGGTGCTAAAAGTAGAGGTAATATGTCCAGTAAAGCAGGTTAACTATGACAAAAGAGAGGGGGAATGTGACTCTGGAGTAGTTGTCTATGTGGTGGGGGTTCTCTATGTGACAGCAAGATATGAAGCGGAGCACTTTGCGGACGATGGCCAGAACGGTGATGCACCAGTTGGTGCGCTCTGGAGGCGATGCCTCGGGCTTCGGCTCACTGCCCGAGGGGCTGGACGGGCTGACAGTGAGTTCTAGAGAGGCGGGGGCTGGAGCAGGAGTGGCGGCGGGCTCCTTGCGTCTCTTTGCCCTACTGGCGTGAGTAGAGATGGTGGTGACGATGCCGTTCATTTCATCGTCAAAGTCGTGCATGTGGTGACCGTACTGTGGGACAGTGAGAGACAATAAGAGACAGAGGTTAATGGAGACAAACACATCAAACATCTGAGAGGTTGGAGTATTTCTTACACTCACCCAAAAGGGTTAATGATGGTATGATGGTGGTGAAGACAAGGATGGAGATGAAGGTGATGACAATGGTCGTCATTGGGAAGACTATGACTGTGACTACAACAACAGAAATAACAATAAGAGCGAAAGCCTAAAGAATAAGAGTTGAGAGAGTTTCCCTCCATATCCAGCTCTACAATGAGACCCTATAGTACAGGAACTCTGTTAACTCTCGTGATGAAGAACAAGGAGAAAGTGGAGGACTGTCACTGTGTGAGGATGACATTTGTGATGATGGAGTTATTCTCCTTCCACCGTTAAATCCCCAGCACCTGAATTTGTAAATGTATTTTGTACATTGATATCATAGTAAACTCTGAGTCTCTGTTTGTTACACTTTCTATACTTAATCATGCAGTCTTGGTTCAGTTTCTTGTTTCACTCTTCCCATCACAAAGAGTGATGTTTAGTTTTTTCATAAAGAACAACAGTCCTGTTTTTCAACAGTTTGTTTTTTGGAGTCTGAATGTCTCAAAAACAATGCAAAAACAAGAATGAAAATTGGTGTACAGAACTGTAATCAGTCAAATTAAAGCTGTACCATCGGTGTCGTAGTTTGGAGATACACAACAACTTAGGTGAGATGTTTTGTAATAATGCTAAACCATCAACCATAGAAAATAAGAGTGCAATGAACTGAATATCTGTATCTCATTTAGGACATTAAGATTTTTGTCCTGATATGTGGTATATGAGGTACCTGCTGAAGGACTTCTTGTATTTCTGTAACACCATGACACAATGTGGAAAGACACACTTTCATATTCATAGGCACTTTCATGCAATTTGTATGAAAGGAAATAACAAGAGCAGGGGTGTTGAAGACAACTGGCACAATATCAAACAGGACTCAACATGAATGTTTGTTTGTTTTCCTTTCTAAATCCTGATTTGAAAATTTTTATTGTCTTTGAACATGCATTTTAACTCAGATTATCAGTAATAAAAAATAAATAAATTCAGTTCAGTTCCAATGCCAATGTAAGAGAAAACTGAAAAAAAAGTGCTCATTCTGTCCCTTGGCTTTTCAGTCAAATACTTTTCCACACATCTGCCTCTTCCTGCTCCTCTCCCTGCTCTCCTCTCTCCACTTATGGCTGCCTGATAGCTAAAACTGGTTTATCACAACATTTTGAAGGTACAGCAGTCCATCATCAACATCTGTGACATCTGCAACTTCCCTGTGCTCTTAAACTTTGTAACATATCTGTCAGGGCTGATAATAATGGAGTGAAAGTTTAGTAGCATACTCAAATGACAGTTTACCCACAATTGTCTTACCATGAGCATGTGTGCATCTGCATGGGTGAGGGTGCAAAAGTGAGCCACAGCGTACTCAATCAGCGCCCCGAAGATAAAGCTGAAGCAGATCCCGAGGTAAACATCAATGGCCTTAATGAAGCAGTTAGCATTAGGCAGGGACGTCCGGGCTCCCATCATCAGCGTGGTCATGGTCAGTACTGTTGTCACTCCTGACACAACACACACATTTACACAGGTACTGGTGAACTGTGGAGCAACCTGAACTAGACCAGTGCTTATTCGATATAGAAAAATGTGTCTGTCAATGAAATGCACTTCAACAGACCAAATCTTTGCTGTAATGTACATCATTTTAAGGAGGAATACCTGCACAGACAACATTATGAAACAATCAAAAGCAAGCAAAAGCAGCAGAGATCAACTGCCTTTTCTCTAAAATTTATCACAGTTCAGAGGAAGCTGGACAAGAAAGACATTACATACCATATTTTTCTCAGTACAAAAATGACAAAATAAAAAGTTAATAGTGTTCAGGGACATTACCAATACAAATACGTGCTGGGACAGATGACAGAGAAATCCAAAAGGAAACCCATGAGAGGACCACAAGCAGGCTGGAGGGGACGTAAGTTTCCAGGATGAAGTACAGAATGCTCCTCTTCAGCTCAAAGTGGAAGACCAACTTTGGGTAATTGCCTTTCACCAGAAGAAGAAGAAAATTGTAAAAATTATTTTTTGACATGACAATGTTCACAAACGTATTAATTTCTTAGCATCTAAGTGCTGTTTTAAGCTCTGTAAGACGTTTTTATCCATTGAGAAAACACTGAGATTAATATTAATTTCTCTTTATGAGCTGAAAAAGCAAATGACATAATCTGGTTACTGGTTAACTGGTTACTTTGCTGCCTTAAACCACAGCTAGGGAACAGATGAACTCCAATAAAGATTTGTTGTTGTAGAAGACTGAAGATATAAAAGTATTATATTTTTGTTGGAAAAGTCTACTCATACATTTACAGGACACAAACAACAAAGACATAAATCAGTCTGTTTTGGTCAAGAGGAGCTAAAATTGAAAAAAACTAAAAGCTACCTGGATTCCTTACACTGCATTCATGCTACTCATCTTCTGGCTCAAAGCCCAGTGTGTGAATAGAGAGTGTCTGAAGTTTTGGCTTGACTGAACCGTGTACATGGAGGGCAAAATCTACTCCCAACCACATTATCCAGGTATGGTAGTCCAACTATGAGAAGTTCAATTTTAGTGTGATTTCAGTCAGACTAATGTGTTTATTAAAAGTCTAATTTCAGTCAAACCAAGGCATTTTTTTCCCCAACAACATAAACATAATGACCGACAAATGAGCAGAACTATTTAGAGTGGCACATAAATATTTAGTTGGACTTGTTTTAATCCCCAAAGACCAACAACAGCAGAAAATAACAAATTGGTTTAGTCAGACATTGACCAGCTTCTTCTCTAAGGTAGCAGTAGTGTTTTTCTCAGTGTGGTCTTATGGCTTTCAGAGAGCAACATTGAATCTGGTCAAAGTTTAAAAAGATAAAATTGTCTTTAATAAAAAGAGATTAATCGTTTACTGTGATACTGTCAGTTACTTTGAAAACATTCAGGGACTATCTGCTGCAAAATAGCAAAACTTCAAACTTTGATATACCACAACACATTAACCCACTGCTGTAATAATGTTTCCCCCGATTCTAGTTTGTTTTATAGCTTGGGCTGCAACATTATAGGGAGGCGATTTGGGAGCATTATTCATTTCTAAGTCATTTCCTTGAGATCATTCAAAATGCCAAAATAGTGCTAAGAATCTGAAATACGCTCCACACATAATGGTTTTGAGGGTCATTGTTACCAGTTTCATATACGGCCTCTGAGACGGATGTGTAGTGGTCCTCCACTGTGTACTGAGCCAGCTGAAGAGTGTCTAAACCACTGACAGACTCATTTCCTCTGGTCCAGTAGAACATGACATCGTTGATGTTGTAACCCCCTGCGGGAAAGAAAAACAGATGAAAATTGCTTTGTCGGAAGATTTCATAAAATAGAATTAAGCTGCATCAATCAATATCTATAAACACAACAGATCATATAATAGTGTGTGTAGTGGAATGAGTTGCTTGAAGGTAAGAACCATTGGAGAATTATTAAGCTGTTCTTTAGTTTCCCTAAGCTCGAGCTAGTCTGCAATGGGATATAAATCGACTTTATTTTCCTGAGCAAAATCCACAATGTCAAAAGAGGAAAAGGAACTACTGATCGGTTTTCTTGAAATGACTAGAAAGCAGGAGGAAAAAAAAAATCATTTTCGCGGATGTGATCTGTAATTCCTCTGTGTCAGCAGTGTCCTTCATGGACAAGCTGAGGTTGAGGACAAAATAAGTGTGTCATCTTGCTTTACCCATTTCAAGTAATAGAAAACTATCTTTAAAATGATCCTCAGCTTTTAAAGCTTTAATGCTATTTATTTGATGAATCAAAATACCAATTTATAAAACTGATGCGAGTAGAAACCTTTTCTTGACTGTCAATGAATTATGAATAGAGAGGAAAACAATCTAACAATTAATTTTTAAAGTCTAATGTCATGTTTTTTTTTCTTACTTGTTAATCAGGCTTTCTAAAAACACATACTGTATTCATAAGGAGCAGACAAAGGCACACTGCAGGAAGTATTTCAAGCACAGGACTGGGCTTACTACTACTGTAAGACTGCACCTGGAAGGATAGACTCTAACTTAATAAAGCACTGTTGAACACTTTCATGCAAAAAATGACACAAACAAACTAAAACATGTTATCTTTGTTGCTATGTATGAAGTGTTAATATAATGTAAGCAAAGATCTACACAAGAACAAACAAGATCAGTATGGGCCACAAAGTGCCTCCAGTCCATTTGGACTCAGGTGCTGCCATGCAGTATTAAAGGTGGGGTAGGCAGGTTTCCGTTAAAGAGGCATCTTTATTTGTGGTGTATATACAAAAAAGCTTTTACTATTCACTAGTTTCACTAGTCAATAGCTATTAGTTATTGATGACATTTGGTAATATGAAGTTATCGCTGTGTTTTGTGTTGTCTGTGTAGTCAACATTTTAATTTTTTTGAGCACTCCGCTCTTTCTGACTGTAAACAAAGTCATTCTCCACCTCCCCCAACCTGATTGGTTGTGAGGCAGACGCTGCTCTGCCGTGTCGTTCATGAGCCCAAACAAAGTTAGCGTGCTACAATATCGGACAGTAGAAACCAACCAGAAAGTACAGAAAATTTTCTGAATCCTCTTTTGGCCACGACTGCCAACACAAGCAAGAAAACAAAGTAAATACCGGAGACCCTGGCGGAATAATGGGCGCTTAAAAAGGAGGTAGACCACCCAGACAAGAGCTAAGAAGCCGGGTCAACATAAGTGAAGCATAAACAAATGGGACACTTCGGGATCTTACGGACCCTGTAACCTTTCTGCTGGACTGGTAAACCGGTTTAACAAAGTAAGCCAAGTGTCTGTAACTGAAGTGCTTCTTGTCAAACAGGACCTGCTGCATGGTGTAGCGCCACTGAACTGTTTAGCTCAGGTCCTGGACTATGTCACTTTATCCTAGTTGTAGAAGTCCAGCAAACATTGTGTTTGCTGGTAGTCTGTTGGCATCTACAGTAGCACCAATGCTTTTACTTTCACGTTGACTGGGCCCCATTTGTAATTATCTGAAGTATTTATCTGCATTTTATCTGTATTTAATTGAAACGATACGATCTAGCAGGAGCGTCTGTTTGTGGGCGGGGCTTGCTGGAGCAGAGAGGGAGGGGAGAGGAGGAGCTGAAGAGAAAACTGGTTAGGAGGGGTAGTGTTTACATTTAAGATTTCTCTCGAAACCTGGCACTTCCTCAGATCCTGCCTACCCCACCTTTCAAGGCAATGCACTAAGTCCAATCACGCTTTCTTTTAGGTTTGTATCAGCGATCATTATGGTGGTGCGAATGCAAACAGGAAAAAATCACTGTGGTGTGTGGTTCTCAGAGAAACGACTCGTGGAAAGTTCCCCCCTAAAAAAAGGTCCACTAACACCTGCAGTCTACGGTGCAGCTATAGCACACTCTAGATGAGGGCGAATAATCCCTTTGCTGATTGGTTTTTACATGCAATAAAAGAGAAATACAAAAGTTCTCCTGGCATGCAGAGTAATTCAGAGGCATGAAATGAAATGCACATGAGGTCTGCTATAAGGAGAGTAAATATGATATTAACTGCTCCAGGTGCCCACAAACACAGTTCTATCATGTCACTTTGATGAGTGCACTCTTTCTGATGACAAATTCACTTTAAGACTTATAATTGATGCTGTGTCTGTTTACATGGACCAAACACTGCCTGTTTCTTAGTTTCATTGTTGTTTGAATGAAAGTAGCAGACACATTTAACCAGAAAGCTGCTTAAGGTCATAATAACAGTGGTGGTGGTGGTGAGGATGTTATAAAACAGTGTAATGACTTAAAACTAAACCTCTTGGTGGCGATGGTACAAACAGATGGGAGTGTTAATTGCTAAAGCTATGTTAAAGTCTGATCCTTTTATGGTCGGGTTGTTTGGGATTGCAATCCATAGTGGGTGGTAAAATCCCTCTTATGCTGCATATGAGCACGAGAGGAACATTTGGCAAGAAGCAAAGAGAATGTGAAAGCATCCAGTTTAAAATGTTAGTTTACCCCCGAGAAGCAGGCAGGGTGGAGTGCACACAGCTCAACACTCCAGCATGTAAACAGTATAAGTATAAAACACAGAAACACATAGATGTTTCATATTATGTCACCACAACAACCCAATTTAAACATACAGCCTGAATGTTTCATGTATGTTCTACCAGTCACAGAGGAAACAGACTGTGATTCGCTCTGAAAGCGTTTGATGCCCAGACATCCAACAGGAATTGCTAATGGAAATGCATTTATTCTGTTCATCCTCCTCCTCAAAAATCCCGCTGAAGAACTCAACTCCTTCTGTAACAGACTAATCATGCATACTGCATAGACCCAGGAGAGCCCTGATAACCCAAATAAGACCTCATACAAGATGGATGTTGTCAAAGACACCCAGGCTGAGTGTGGTGAGAGCTTTTAAGAGAACAATACAATTATCATGCTATCAATTAATAAAAGCCAGTGTGGCTCTCTCATTACACCTGTCACTGCTATATCTCTAATTTATCTGTAGAGGGAGCAAGAGAATAAGAAAAGAAAGAATGAGTGACGCAGGCTCAAACTGAAACACCTCCATAATCTGAAGACATGAAATGTTCATTAATTTGCAGTCGCTCCCCCAGTTCGAGCTTGTTTGGAATCATGTATTATTGACCGGGATGAGACATGGAGAGAGGGAAAAGCAGTACAGACCTCACTGCCAAAAACAACACAGTCGGTCCCTTTTGGAAGCTACATTTAATTATTTAACTTTTTTTAAAAAGACAATTTAGAGTTTTAATGGAGTTCAAATAGAGTTTAATTATAGGAACACTGCCAAAAAGCACATGAAACAAGTTTAGTTGTTATGGGTATGGTTACGACCGACTTAATAATGAGAGAACAGAGAATGAACTGTTTTCTATTTTTTAAAAGCTTCATGTATGTGGACAAATATACTAAATTGGCTTAACTTGTTTTTCTTAATGGGCTCAAAAGCTCCTTTAAAGCTAAGTAACATAAATGATCCTTTGTACCAGCAATAGTTTTTTAGGTGTGGTTCTGATCCATGGCTGTAAATAAAGTCTGAAATGGTTTCAATGCTGCTATTTCTCCACTTATTGTGTGCTATGAATGGACTGTCTGGATTATTTGTGATGTGCATGTATTGACTTGGTGGTCAATGAGTTTACCCATCGAGGATTAACTACATTTTCCAATCTAATCTAATCTACCATCTATCTAAAACCCTTATCTTGGTTGTGAGTCCACAGCAGACTGTGCTCTAGCTCTTCATGCAGGAGGTGTGGCTGCAAACAGCGTGATTTTTGGCATGCATGCCAACACAGCTAATGGTTCCAACTGCTGGTGTGAGCAGCACATCTCACAGACCTGGCTTCTGCTTTGAAAAGATTGTAGAGGTGCAACCGCTGTATATTTTTCATGCTTATGACATAAACATGGCTGATGATGAGTCAATACAGCATTTACTTTATAATCTCTGAGTGCTACAGCAGGCCTCCACAGGGTCATCAGTTCTTATTTCTAATCCAATTAAAAGGCCAGCACCACCACAAGTGTTAGGACTCAACGAGGGGTTTTTCCATCAATAAATATCCTCTCAAAGGATCAAAACATTGAAGATTGTCTGCCAAGCCACATTACTTCGATATCTATTATAATAAATAGCCTTTTGTTCTTTAACCTGTATATCCTTGTTGAAATGTGTAGAGCTGAAATATAAAACCTTCTTCTGATGCCTTAGTTGGTAACACTCCCACAGTAATAAAATATTTTCAGCCAACATTGGGGAATAACTAACAATAAATTTCAATCCATGATTGTTAGCCAACTTGACCTGACTAAATTACATTAAACTGAACATTTCCTTTACAGGTATAGTTAGTCAAAGTGAATGTGATCTCTGCAGGACTGTATAATGTTGACATTTCTGTCCTCATTGAGCTCTCTCCTATTGCGGCATTAATGTTGACACATCTTCAATTATTAATGATACAAATGCCACAACTTCAGTTATAGCTGCTTTTATTACCACGTTTAGCCACAGTGTCAACAGGCAGGGGTGAAAAAAGAGAACCAGGAATATAGATGAGGAAATATGTCAATTCTGCCCCAAAAGAGCCATATTATATCCATGTAGATCTATAGACAACTTCAGATCTACAAATACCACATCTTGTTTAAGTTGTATGTGATCCGTAAGAGCAGGGTTAGGATCCTTTTCTTTTCCCAGGTAAGCAACTTTAGCAGAAATAAAGCTTGTAATGGGAATTTTGGCTCTTTTGAGTGATTCAGATCATCAGGCTCAGCAAAAAACAACTTTTTTGACTGATAACTGTTTTTTAGAGCTTAGTATTTTGTGGCAAACACCCCCAACTTCAGCATAGATGTCTGCTGCCACAGTGCTGCCTGCCTGCACTGAGATCAAGTGAAAAAAAAATATTGAAGAAAACTGAGAGAGAAGTAAAAAGATTTGATAGAAATGTTTGAATAATAAACATTAATAGGCGATAATTCACCATTAATAGTTGAACAGACCTGCACAGTAACACTGCATACTGTGTTATTAAGCTGCCTTGAATCACTGCCGGAGAAAATGTACTGTTTCACTGACATTACTGTACAAAGCTCCTTAAAGAGAGAATACTAAAGCAACCCTCATAGAGTTTATAATAGATCCACCATCAAAAGAAAAACAAAATCAAAGATCACAGAGGACTGTGACTCTCCTCTGTTGTCATTGAATATTTTACTGCTGTCCTGAACTTAACATCCTCCCACCACAAATACCCCTTTGAACCCTGATTTGTGAATACGATCCACTTTTGGCACCGCCGTAAAAGAAATAAATCCCTGACATCTTCATAAAAAGACATAAAGACGAAGCAAGATGGAGGCTCAAGACGAGAGGTAAAAGAAAACAGTAACAACAAGCCGTTAGATGAGAGGAATATTGTCAGAGATGGAGCAGGAAGTGAAACAGACAAAGTGAGAGGGGGGAAACACATCGGAGGAAGGAGCCATCATCCTCTCAGTTACCCAGCTCTAACCTCCAGATGTCTTTTTGTCTGCTAAGTGGGACTGGAGCTGCCGTTAAATGTTTTATTTGGCACTGAGGTCCTGGTGGGCTTCTGGCAGGGATCAGACTTAGCTTAGCCTGGCTGGCTGTCATTTAATAGCAGGGAGCAAAAGCGAGGTGGAAAGTGAAGATGGCAGACGAGTGAGAAGCACTGAAAGACAGGAAGGAGGACAAGGAGGGGGAGGGAGAGGGAGAGGAGAGGGGACGGCTTCTTCCCCCAATTTGTTGCACAGCCAAAAATTGGTTCTTGTCATTTTTTCAATTTAGTAACAATTTGTCTTGATAATAAATATACTGCCACCACATTTTTCTACATGACACCTTTGGAAATTTCTCATAATGCTGTAATTCACGCCACTTAAATGGGAAAACATTTCAATTCTCAACAAGTGGACAGATTTTTCAGCCTCTCAGCAGGGGTTTCATATTTATTATAGATGTTCACATGAAGTCGAAGTAAAGTAAAGAGCCCTTGGGCTTGTTTGAAAATGGTCTCTCTAAAAAACAGACTTAAGTTTAGGACCAGGTAAACATCTCACAACACAGCAATTTGTGTCAAAATGAAGCTTGATTTGGAGCCCATGAGGAAATGAGGCTTGCTCTCACTTTGCCTTTTCATTCGAATTGATGCTCTCAGTCTCTACTTTTGCGATGAGTGAGCTCTTCAATATTTGTGATTTGAGTTATTTGAAGATTTATTTGACACCTATCTTTATAACACATTATAAATATATGTATAATCTGTTATAATCATGTTATAGCACTGTATAACTATAGTTATAAACACTCATAGATGATCATAATGCTTTATAGCAATAATCATATAACATTATAAAGCATTTTATCATGACTTACAAGGTCAGGTATTATAAAGCCTCATGATAATTAATGAGTGTTTATAATAATAGTTATACAAGCTTATAAGCAAATTATAATACATCATATGTATAATGCATTATCTATGTGGGCATTGTCAGTGAGTTGTTAACAGTTATAACACATTATAGTACCTCAACGTGTAAGTCATGATAAAATGTTTTATAATGTATTATGATTATTGCTATAAAGCATTATGATCTTTTATTAGTATTTATAACAATAGTTATATAGTGCTTTAATGTGATTATAACACATTATACATATATTTAGAATGTGTTACAGAGATAGGCATCAAGTAAAGTGTTACCAGAAGTTTTTTAAAGCTAGTTTGTGTGGTGTTTTTGTCAATAATGGGTGTGTTACCAGCATAAATTTACTGTCAGCTCAATAAGACCAGCACCAACCAAAACTGAAGTTGGCTGAAACAGCTGACTGGTACAACACAAGTAAAGTAAAATGGATGTGTTATGCAAGTGGCTGTCTGATGTCAAAGTAATACATGCAGTAGTCTTAATGAAGCTACACTAACACTGGTGTTTGAGTCAGACTTTCTTAATTTAGCTAAACAAAATAGAACAAATGGTCCCGCCTGCAGTGATGTACTGTCTAGCCTAGAGCTGCCTCAGAAACAGTTCAGTGGCTTTTAAATCTGACGCACGGAAGTGCTTCAGTTTCCTTGTGTGTGAGAAAAGAGAAAGAGTGATGGACGTACAAAAAATGCACCGAACATAATACTGATAATAAGAAACACAAACTGGGCTAATTGTCACCAAGAAAAGATTTGTACCAAGAGAAGATGTAAAAACTCCAAAAGCCACAAAACTCGCAAGATAGTTTCAACAGCATCATTACCACCAAAGCTCACAAAATGTACCATAAATGCTATATTTCCAAAGACCAACGGACATTGTTTGGGATTAAAAACCATGGACTAGTGGTGAACAAGCTGGGGTCAGTATAAACACCCATCTCAGCCATATTTTAATCAAACACCGGAGCAGCTCTCTACACAAAGACAAAGTCTGAACTTATGCAGAGCCTCAAGCAAGCTGAGTGCATCTTACTCACCATGGATGGGTGAACTTCACAAGCTACTCAGAGCTATAAATAACTATTTTCCCCCTAAATCTACATCCATTTTTATGTGATAAATATTACACCATGCAATTGTTAGTGATTTATTCTTTCATTCATTCATTTGTATTATTCGCTTAGTGAGGGTACTCAAAAGTGTTGCCCTTTATTTGCCCTTCACTTGTCAGAGAACTATATTCAAAGTAAGCTTTTTCCTACTGTCATCTGACATAGAGCGAGTTTTTTTATGCACTGATATCATTCCAACGTAGACTTTGGTATTACTTGAGCCATATCCCCTGTCCACGACTTGTCCAAAATGTTACTGCCTAGTTATTAACAGGGTCAAAGAAAAATCACCACACTCCCACTGTCTTTGTATCCCTATACTGGGTCACTTCACAACCTATAACCTTCATATAACCTTCATATATCTCAGAGCACCACCAGACCCCTCAGATCCTCAGATGGGGTTTGTTGGCATGGAAAGGAGGGGCCAGGGGAAAATCTTATTCAAATCAGATCCTCATGTCTGGAAGAGTATGCTGCAGGTTATTCAACACACTGACTCCATTGACACTTTTAAGGAGCACATTAATTAAGACCCCCATCCCAATTTAGAATTTCCTCTCATTTAGAAACTGACCTGCTGTATTTTGTGGGTGAAATGATGGTAAAAAACTGTGAAAAAAATGTCAGGTAATCTTATACAGTCTTTCCATTTTGATATTAAAGGGATATTCCGGTATAAAATAAATTTAGGGTCAAAAACACTGTAACACAGAGTTAGACACCCCCTCGAGAGATGAATGTTGCCGATCCCTTGCTTATCTAGTTATACCAACTTTAGTAATGATCGCAGGATAGCAGTATACAGCGGTCTGAGAAGCTTTGCCTAATTTCTTTAGCAAAGAGACTAAACACAACTCACCTACTCTCTTCCAGCAGCCGCTTGTTTGCAGCGAAACCTTGGGCCAGTCCATTACGGACTACAGTGGGGTGACGCAGCTCAAGGAAGAACATTTATGATCATTTCTTTATCATTTCCTTGAAGTAATAATCATCATATTAATCATTTTGCACTGCAGACGCTGTAGTTCTCCTGTCTTAGCATCTCAGTCTGATTGCATTTCCATGAAGAAATGATCATGAAGTTAGGTGCTGTTCTGAGCATTATTTGTGGTTATAGAGTGGCGTTTTGGTTGAAGTTTGTGTATGGCTCCTCAGACTGCTGTGTATTGCTATCCTGCGGTCGTTACTAAAGTTGGTATAACTAGAGAAGCAAGCGGTCGGCAACATTCATCTCTCGAGGGGTTGTCTAACTGGGTGTTACGGTGTGTTTGACCCTTATTTTTACGCTGGAATATCCTTTTAATAAGACAAAATCAAATCTGTATCATGACAAGTTAAATTGTTGATCTTGGAGCCTTGGTGGGAACAAGATCAACTCTTTTACCCTCAAAGTCTCGGGGCTTGTTTCCTGTTTTTTGCTTCATCCATAACAGACAAACACGAGATCGAACTAACATGACAAATCTTTTAATCTGTTGAACTTGTTCTTTAAAGTTGGGATATTTTTCAGTTTGAGCTCTGTTTAATCTCTGTTGTGATGACACTCTGTATGATGGAAAACAGGTACATGAGGATAGCATCATAGCCTGACTTGCCCCTCCATTAGTCTGCAGTGTGACATAAGTATGCAGTCTTACACACAGACTTTTCTCTCCATCACATAAAGCAGCAGCAGTTTAAAAAGATAAGAAGATGGGATCTGTTTGATCACATTCAGCCGACATCACCGCCCACCCACCGCCCCAGTGCCACAGCCTCGAGCTGTGGGTACACTGTCTTTATCAAGTATGAAGGGTCCTTACAGCTCTCCAGTTGGAGCGTGCAGGTCTGCTTGTCCATGGGGTACTTGGTCAGATCCATGTTGCAGGCCACTGTGGTGGTGATCCTAAAAGACACAAATATTGTTTTTGTCATTAAGAAGAAAAACACCTGCAGTCGATGTTATCTGTGAAGTCGTTTCTAGCACAGTGGTTTATTATGTAACAGCCTGCTCTGTGGTTGAAGTCATGCATTTGTGAGGAAACGACTGCCTTTTTTTTTGGGCTTATGTGAAATTATGCATGAAGGGAGCCTTTTGTGGCAAACACCTTAAGATCATACAAAAAGCATACAGTCCTCAGTTTAAATTGGTGTCACACTGTAAATCTAGGTCGCGATGTATGAAAGCCTTTCTCTGTGAAAAGTTTGTCTGTGATGTCAGTAAGTTAAAGTCTGTGAAAACAGTGATTCACAGGATTCAGGGTAAATGGCATCAAAAGATGTCTCTTGGTGTTAGTATTCAGGGTTCTGCAGTTTCATGCAGCACCTAACACATGGCAGCTCTTAAGAAGGCATGAAAATAGACTCAAAATGTCTGTATTGTTAGTTGAAGGTGACATTTTTATCTATTCCACTACATATGTGCCATTTAGAAAAAGCACTGATGATACACACAACCCATTAAAACACAACTTGATATCCATTTACATTGTTGCTATGCTGTAAATGACTTGTAGAGAATGTATAATACCCTAGAAGAGCTTCAGTTATGTTAGATATTGGATCTTTCCTCCAACAAGCATTTCTTAAAGGAGTCATAAAGGAGTTCGATTCAGCTACGATTGTGCAGCTTTTATTATCTCAAGGTGTGCATCAAGTACAGATGAATGATCTAATCCAGCCATTAATCCTTTTAGGCCCAACATATCATATATAATACACATGTTTTTCAGACTCCAGTGTGATCATTTTCTTCCTGGAAAAACAGAAAAACAATCAAGAAGCCTGCAATGTGATGTCAATCCACCGGGAGCAGATGGCATGACCTTCTAGTGACACAACTAAATTTCAGACTGTTTATCTGTGACTCGCATGTGAATAATATCCTTGATTAGTTATGATTCAGCCATTAGGAGGATTCATTTGACTGGGTGACGTAGGCTTTTTCCATATCAGAACATGTAAACTCTGCTCAGGCCGAATTAACCCCTGAAACAATCACTGTGAGTTTTACAGAATGTCCATCTTGCTGTTTTACAGTATCTAGTCTCTTTTACAAATTGTATATTAAAAATTGTAGACCCTGTCTTTGTATTCTGGATATTTAGCATGGGATGTATTCTAGTTTTATTTGTGATAGGATTGCAGTCCAACTAATATTGACCAATCAGGTATGCAGTTAAAAACAGTCCATGTGGAGAACAAAAGCAAGTGGACCACAAACTTGTTGAGTTTCAAGCTCCCATTGAACGTAATCTTATGAATTATTCACGACTATAAACAGATACCTGGATGCAAACAAAACTAAAATCCCATCTTGACGAAACATTTCAAAGTGAGCTACAAATCTCACCAGTGTTGTGTTGCAAAAACAGAGATAAGGTTACTATAGTTACTAAATAATAACAAATCATAAGTGATAAACCCAATCTCCCTTAAACAAACAAAATAAAAGATCTCTCCCCCTCATGAGTACAGACCCAACAATGTTAAAGTTTTACTTCTCACAAATCTGCATAATGGTAATGTTGTTTCTTCAGACTGACAAACCATGTAGGAAGTAAATCACATGGACATTGGCTCCTATTTCAAACCTCTGTGTGATTAACGGTCTGCTTCTGAACTGAGTATCAGGGCAGTCAGAGGACAGATAAATAACGTCATCTACATCTGCTGATTTATGTGCGTATGAGTTGATAAAACAGCTAAGCCTGATGATCTTAGCTAGGTGACACCAGAAATATTACTGGGTTAAACAAGTTATCAACATATTTTACGGCTGACATCATTAGTAGGTGGAAAACTACGGTAGTTAAACCCTCTGTACCAACTGTAGGAGCCAAAATATATTAGTTGAGGATATGATTTCTGCTAGGTGATCAACACTGAGGGGTGTGGTTTTCGGATGTTTGGCAGGTTATTTAAATCGCACTGGTGTAGTCAGACAACGGGTTGTGGTAAACTCTGATAATTTTCTGTTGACTGTTTCTCTCATCCTGTTTTACCCCCATTTCATCATATCACTTTTTCATTTGAAGGCAAAAGTTTTGGACCTGGATCAGTGTGTTTTCTTTCCTTTTTTAACAATAAATCACCTTTAACACTCAACCTGACTGATGACTTGAACGAGTCACAGACGCAAGCGCACCTAAACCCCCAGTGGCCTTTTTGTTGAAGGAAAGCAGTCACTACACCAACAGGTTCTGTAGTCTTGTGTTAGGCTGCGTTGAGTAAATAATACTAGATTTCAAGTGTTTTGTGTGTGTTTCTTACCTTGAGACTAGTCAGAATTTGAAGCACTGTTTTAAATGTGGATAGTTTGCCACATCAGAACACCTCTAACAACTTAAAGATACACATGATTGCACAGAAAAAAAGGCTTGGCTGGAAGTTATATAATAAAAACTACTGACTTAACTTTACAGTTAAAATCTGTATCATGTTATAGATGATAAGTTGGAGCACACTGGTTTGTTAGTAAGGAAGAAGGAGGAAGCAATCGTGCAATCAGAGGAAATTTTATACAAGCCTTTACATCAAAGTTCTTTATGATGATGATATTCTTGGTTTCTTTATGTTTTAAGTCCCATCCATATACTTGACCATCATAAATCATAAAAGCAGCACACAGTTTTTCTAATTACATCCTCCCCTTAACAACTCAACCTTTAGCTCCCATCACTTCAGTGCTTTCTCATGTATTTCCCTCAGGCTCTGCACTCAAACAATTCCCACAGCTGTCCCTTTCCTTCACTTCACTCTGTCAGATTTCACAGCTCACAGTCCCTAAAGACACTGTCCTTCTTTTGATTCCCTTTTTTCTTGTTTGACCCTCACTTGTGCTTCTATGTGACTGTGAAGTGCCCTCCTTTTTTCACATGTCCTCTGACAGGGTAAAGCCTGTAAGGAGCTGAGGAGTTCTCTCTAAAAAGGTGTAAAAATCAGAACAACAGTAATGAGGATCTCACCCGCATGTAAAAAAAAATAATAAACCAAGACTTAAAACTTGCAGATAGGACAAGTGTATAAAGATGGGATTAACTGCACTGAGACTTAAGACCTGACCCAGTTCACAGTTAGATGATACACCCACTGTAGTCACTGTAGCAGTGAGTGTGTCTCCCATGTGGCACTGTTTTTCTTTCTGTCTTATATAAGAGCATATATAGCCATAAAAAAACTGCATGAATGTAAAGTAGATCAACCCCCTTAGTGTTTGACAATAATACCATCTCAATAGGGTTTCCCATAAAATTTGCAGGGATAGAAACAGAGAGCAGCCAGTCTTACTCTGTTGGGGAATGAATGCCACAATGTTACACTGAATATATGCCGATAACGTAAACATCATATTTCAGCATGCAGAAAGATTATTTTTGCACCCTTTGTTTGAATGTTGTTCTATCTCCAGTTTTTTTTTTCAGTTAATGTGTTGTTTTGGTGGAAGATGATCCCAGTGAGCTGCATAAAATACTCTGGTATTTTCAACAGTTTTATCAGATCATCTTCTACCAGAAAAGATAAAAAAGAAACCTTTAATTTCAAACGTTTTTTTAAACAGATGAGTGTGGGGTCTGCAATTTTTAAAAACCCCTTTCTGCTTCTTTCTCAGGTTTCAGAGCTTGTGTTCAAAATTGTCCATCAAAAGGTTTTGTTGCTCTTAAACACTTCATTGTGGGTTAAATACCCTGTTGGTGGTTCAACCTACTAAACAGAAGCTCTCTGAAGTGTAATGGAGCTGCTTCACAGAATACAAGGTCAAATAACAACAAAACATTTTTCCCTTGTGTTTTGAATTGGTGTCCATTGTTCTAAATCTGTCTAACAAAATTAATTTTGAAGCAGGAATAAAAAACAACAAATCTTTTAGTTTTCAGATTTGATCTCATATGTAGTAAACACTGGAGGACATACCCACCTTTAACTGCAATCATTGTTTTAGCTGCCCCTGAAAAAAGTGGGCCTCCTCATAGGTCACCTCGATGATTCAAGGAAAAGACTGGTGTCACAAACTAAGGCATTACTTCAGCACAGGTGGTCTAGTGCATCCTACCTACTCTCTCTTATTTTCACTTCCAGTCCATCTTTGGCCATCACTAACAATGAAATGCAAAAATATCCCAAAGAGCTTTTATAAAAGATAGTGGATAAAAGACAAATTCCATAAGTGCCAAGGAAACATGGAAATAAGCAGCAGCTCAGCTGTCAGCCCCCTAACTAGACATCCTGGGATCATTAGTTTGTGGTGAAAGTCACTGATTTTCAATCTGGAACAGCCTGGTAAGTGTTTTACTGGTGTTGATCTCTTCATCCATTTTTTTTTTTTTTTTGAAAGATTAAAACATCAGCAGAAAATTCGGTGACACTTTATTTGACACCTATCTCTCTAACGTGATATATATTTATATATATATGTATAATGTGTTATTATCACGTTATAGCACTGTATAACTATAGTTTAAAACACTAATTAATGATCACAATGATTTAAAGCGATAATTATTACACATTATACAGCATTTATCATGACTTACAAAGTCAGGTATTATAATGTGTTATAACTGTTAACAACTCATTGAAAATGCCCACACAGATAATGCAATGCAACTGTTGTGAACAGTTATAATACATTACAATACCTGACCTTGTAAGTCATGATAAAATGCTTTATGTGTTATGATTATTGCTATAAAGCATTACGATCATTTATGAGTGTTTCTAACTATAATTATATAGTGCTATAACGTGATTATAACGCATTATACATATATTTATTATGCATTATAAAGATAGGCGTCAAATAAAGTGTTACCGAAAATTCTTCTTTAGTCTACATCCTTACTATCTGTCAAAGAAGCTGAGAAATTAAAAGCAGCAGCTCAGCTCACAGCTCCACCTGCTATCCTCTATCTGTTAAAGAAACAATGTGTTTCATCTGAAAGTGGTGTCTTTCACTGGTTTCCTGTCGTGGGTTAGTTTTCTTGAAAAAGAGGAGACCTCTGTGGATAACTTGGCTCGCATATCCTTATTATCAATTTATGCCGGCTGAATTCAAGTCTTGAAAACAAGCTGGCAGCCCCCTTAATGCACATCCTTTATCTATGAGAGGACATTGGAAATAATTATTTGCAACATCAATTTCTCATTTAGTGTCACTGTTTTTGAATACAGACTTTTACTGGGAGAGAGACAACTCAATAATATAAACAGTGTACTGATTGTTCTGTGCTCTTGCTTTGCTGTCATACTATTTGAACATTATTAAGTGATACATTTTGATGAGTACTGACATTGATCTGAATGAGAAAAAAGATTATCATGACCTTGTTTTTTTTTTTTTTTCCCTTGCCTTATGACCCAGCATTAATCCCCCCTGAGATGATGGCAGACAGTGAATGAGTAAGTGTGGTGAGATCAGGACCATGGACAGCTCTTATACAATCCACAGGCTGCCTGAAGTTGCAGCATGTGACATAAAAAAAGAGTAGGATGTGTAAATCCCATCATCACAGAATTAAAGAGCTGAGCGAATTGACTTCCTGGATCATCTGTAACCTTACTATGAATAACCTGTCTGTTCGGCCCAATCAAAAAGCCACAGCATACTTCAGAAGCCTGCCACAGCATTTCAGATGTTAAGCTCCTGCGCGTAGAGCAATAAATACTGAAGAGACGCTGATGGGAGTCGCTTTGATAGCCCACACATCTTTGTCTTGGCAGATCAAATACTCCTGCACTCATACAATCCAATGCCCAAGTAATATAACCGACACAACACTCTGCTTTGCATGCACATTACCTACAATTCAACCCACGCTTCCTCCCTCAGACAATTCCTCTACATTCCCCGGCCTACTTTTCATTGTCTGTCAGAGCAGAAAAACAAACTCAACAACCAACAGCCTCATTCATTCTCTCTCTTTGTTTCCCCCCACCTCAGAGCGTAGAGGACGGTCCCGTTGGGGAAGATGCGGATCAGCCTGTTCTCCACAGTGATGTCATGGAGGAAGGACTTCTTGGAGTCCACGATGAAAGTGTCGGGGACCCAGAGCAGCTCCACCAACCGTCCGTCCAGGCTCAGACTCTTGTTCCCCTCGAACACCAAACGCTCGTCAGTCCAGCGCTGACGGAGGAATATGGTGGCAGTGTAGTCCTGCAGGATCAAGGCTCAAAGGTTAGAAAAAAGCTAATGGACTATTAACAATCTTCAATAAACATGTCAATAATATGCTGAGGTTTAGCAAACCAAGCTTCTCCTATGTGCTTCTAATTCATTAGTCAGCTTCTGGGTTTTTCTCTTTGCATTTTGAGTATTGATGGCGTCAGGTCCCTGAGCCCTTCTGCGCCTGAAGCAACAGAATTCCACAAAATTGCTTTAAGTCAGCAAGACTGAGTGCATTTCAAGATGAACTTTCATTGCAGCAGTCTTGATATTACACCATGTATAGTTTCATACATGAGTGTGGAGCTGCTGAATGAATAATGGGGGTGGATTTAAAATGAGGCAGGGGACTGTTTGTTTAGGGTTGAATTAGCTGTGTGTGCACCGTATACAAAATGTAATTTATGTAAATTCAATTACCTGCAATAAAAACATACCATTCAAAGTCACCCTGGAAACTGTTCACACATAGCAAGACTACACCGACATGGGATGGGAAGAAATTGATAATTGTAACAAACAGCTGAAATAATGGTAAGGTTTAAAATGCCCCCAGTGCGAGAACATCCTCAATGTCAGGGCTCTGATAGAACTCAAAATGTCTTGGTTCGGCCTGGATAAGTTATACATTTCTCTTTTGGAATTTCCCCCCATGAGACTATTAAAAGAATATCTTACCTTAGCATGACATCAGTATTTTAGTTTTAAAGGATATGGTTATCCCAGCCCAGCATGAGAAGCAGCATTTCAGTTTAAGTGTGCGCCATATTTATAGATACTTTGACTGCTTCTATATGTCTGTCTGTACATCAGCCATGTACATCCACACCTGTCATATACTGTATTTTGCTTTCCGTGATGTGATGGGATGAGAAAGTACCATGGCTGAATAACATTTACCTGAAGATATCACTGTTGGTTTGTGCTTGTCTTTTTTTCAGACTGTTTGAACAAAGAGTTTCATTTCGTAGTCACCACACAAATACAAACAACTCCTGTTGAATGATGAAGGCCTTAACCAGCTGTATCTAGCTCCACAGACTGTGAATATCTAATGCAACACTGAGACAGCCTCACATCTGCACTGATCCACTTTTTCCGAAGAGGATTATGGAAAACCCACAACAAATAATTAAGCCAGACTCTCACTGAAAGTCACTGATGTGCCAAACCATCAGGGAAGCTGGCGCTAAACAAATTAATGAATGGAATGACTCACCAAAAACCCCACAATAGATTTTTTCTGTGTCTCTGCTGGGCAGTCTCATATGTAAATATTTCCTTTTGTGTTCTCTGTTACACAAAAGTCTATTCTTGTTTCCGCCTGTTCCTTAAAGCTTTTGTTGCATGCCTAACAATACAACACCGTGGTGAAGTTAAAAACAGAGTCCCCAAAATAAAGAGATAGATATGGCTCACTCATAGACTAGAATACTATGTCCCCAACAAAAGAGCTGGAGAAGGAACTCCAGACGGTTTCTTCTAACAGGGGTCATATCAACTCTAATCTGCTTTGTACTTTGTACCTATAACCAGAGAAAGCAGAACAATTTCACCTGATTTAAATTGAAAAAGCTCAAGACTTATTTTTTTTTACCAATTACCTCTCTTCCTTTTTATCTTGTTAACTAGCTTTCTGACAGAAAGTGATTACCTTTACAAGTCCTAAAGAAAAAGTGCCAAAGTGTTTTGAGTTAAGCGCCCCCTGATGACATAGAATCGAACAAAAAACATGAATCACTATTAAAAGAACTACATTACATCAATTTAGAACAAACTAATTGCTTGATTCCCATTTGCACGTTAATGAAGCTCACACTAAAGTAAGTCATGGAGTTTCACAAGGTTCTGCACGAAGAGCTTTTTTTTCCACCCTCTCTATGCTACCTCCAGTTAATATTATAGGGAAAACTCAAAAAGTTTAGTTGTTTTACAGATGATAATTAGTTTTACTTTTTGTGAGGCCAGATTAAACCAGCCAGCAATCTAAATTTTAAGCAGGTCTAGTTGACTAAAAAGGTCTTACTGCCGTTAGAAACTGTCATAATTGTGCTTGACCCAAACATCTCAAAAATACATTTCCTGATTATATGACTGATTATAGGCCTCATTATGGCATCCCTTGTCACTGTAGGAAATTTGTGATTCCCATTTGATAAGGATTTGTCCTTTAACCACCTCTGGGTTGGTTTATAGTGACTATTGTGCTGAGTAGAACTAGTGATCACATCACTTCAATATTTGTACCTCTGCACAAGCTCCCGATAAAACCAAGAATAGACTTTAAAATCCTTCTTTTGCTCCACAAAGCTCTTAATGGTCAGGCACCATCATATGTCTGCCCCTGCTTCCAGAGGTTAGGCCTATCTGTGGTACCTTGAGTCTCTAAAGGTAGAAAGTGAGGTGGAGCCAGTCAGGATCCAAGAGGCAGGCACGCCCCCCTTTCCCACTCCTTCTAAGATCAGTACGTACACACATGATAATACTGTGAGCTGCTAACTTTAAATCTGTGTGGATCGACTTCACTTCAACTGCTTCACATATTGACATCAGTCTCACCATATTACCATCATAGTGGTTAGTAATCCATCTGTTTATCTTTTATAACAAACCATTTTAATCAACATTATCAGTCTTTTATCACCATCATACTGTGGTTGTTTATGCGACTATGAATCTGATCTGTCGATGATCATGCATTGCTTATCTTGCTGATACCATAAATACTTTCAAACACATTGTAACTTAAATTGTTGCCAGAAATCACTTTGTGTTTTTTCCTCAGTCTCTTACTATCAAACCTTTTTACCCCAACACAATCACAACTGGTGGGTTTTTACATGAGGATAGTTATACTAGCAGTTTTCTTGCAATAAAAGTAAGATTTCTTTTGGCTCTGAAAGAGAGAAGTAAGCTTCGGGGCTTTGGACAGAACTCACCAGACCTTTGCAATTTGCATTTAACTTTGCCCAAAGCCAGCAGTTTAATCAATCATTACATGGTTGTGGTCATCATTAGGAAATATAATACTGTCTTACCATGTTGATCTCTGAGATGGTGTCGATGCTGGCGATGTCCAGGCTCATCCCCACTGTCACAGGGCCATCTAGAAACACAGACAAAACCAATAAACTACTCGATGTGCCATCTATTTTAAATTCTTACAACACATAATATCTGAGTATCTATTCTTTGTGCCTCCGAGTGTTACAGTGTCATACTGATAAGGCACTGGAATATGCGGTTTCATATTGAAGAAAGGTTATTGAAGGACAGAATTAAAAAAAAAAAGACCCCACATCACTGGCACACTAACAGCTGCAGTCTGTCTAGTGTGAACCTCCTTTAGGGAATTAGTTCCCCCTGATTCACCATCAAAGAGGGGGGAACTTTGCTGCACTCTTATGTCTCATCTCCCCATTCTTCTACTCCCTCACTTATCGAGCCTCATTTCTAAAAGAGATTAACAGACATGTGGTCATATTGTCGATTCTGCATGAGCCTGCATTTGTTTCGTCTTTACAACTTTGTCCTCAACATGTAAATCCTCAGAAAAGAAACTCAAAATGAAACTATTTGTCTGCTGCTTTTATTGAAGCGGAGTCAAGACAAGAAGGAAAATGTTAATATTCTGGGGAGCACACTTTCTTTTGCTTTTGCTTCCAGCCTTTATGCTAAGATACACTAACCATCTGCTGGCTTTGTCTTCCTTATTAGCCTCAAACTGCTGGGGTGGCATTAATCATCTTATGAATAATACCATAATAAGTGTATTACCCAAAGGTCAAACTAATCCTTTAAGGTTGCTTGGGCATTAGAAATAATGATTAAGTTTCTCAAAAGGGGGACAATCCTCTTCAGAAATGTCTCGTCAGACTCTGCCTGGGGCTGTCAGACAAGTGGAGGGTACTGACAATAAGTAAGACTCACCTTGCACTAACTTATAGTCACATCAGTTGGGGGAAGGGGGGTACCTGTTTTGTTTACATAATAATTACTTTTTTAAATTCAGAATTCCTCATTTATGGTGATTGTTGTTTAGCATATATGTGATGCTGGAGTACCCCAGGGCTCAGTTCATGGACCCATCCTTTTTTGTCTTCCGATGATCATTCTACGCCATAGCGTTCATCTGCATTGTATTTCTAGTTGAGTAAGCCACGGCTAAGGAAACGAATAGCTCCTTCTTCTGTAATCTTAACAGCCTCTGCTCTGTATATATTATGCTGTTCGGTCAGTAAACTATCTTCTGAAGCTGCTGTGAGCAGGAGGAAGAAACCAATAGTGGTTGAGCAGCGAAGAGATTAAGCTGAGATAGCTTGTGCAAAGAAAGTGTTGAAACTAAGATAAAGATGCTATTTCCCGATAGTTACAAAGCAGTTAGAATTTTAAAACAATATCACAGCACAAACATGCAGAGAGATGTTTTTAAGAGCGCAGCTGCCCCTAATCCTTCTCAGTGTGTGCGTGTCTCTCTCTGAACAGCCCTTTGCTTCACAAACAACTCTTACACAACCACAGCACAGACGGACCCTTCAACTTGGCAGATACCTTTTTTAAAAAAATGTTATTAAGTTATTTGGAGTATCGTGAACATTGGTGACCAGACTGACAGAGAGCAGAGGAGAGGGACGGTAATGTTACTGAGTCTCTTAATATTTTCTTAGACTGTTGGCTGTGAGCTCCATGCCACAGGATATAAACTAAAATAAAATAAATATTCTAAAAAGCTCTTTACTTTATCTTTTGAAAACGCTCTTTATTATGCCTTTTGTTACTGCTAAGAGGTTTTTAAATGTTCTTTATCTCTCTATAGTTGCCTCTGCCATAAATCAATCATACATTTTTGAAGTGCAGCATCAGGAAATTAAATTAGTACTGACCATATGACCTCTGTTTAAGCAAACACTAGCAAGTAATAAGACTTCTTATTGATCATGGGATATTACTAATTTCTCTAAGGCATAGAAGGTCGGGACACCTGCTATGTTGCTGTGCATGCAAGGCCTTTTTGTTGTCCCACTGTCCGGGTTTCAGACTTTAAGTGACAGACCAAATAAGAAATCAGGGACCCAACATGTCTTCAACCTCTATACAAACACATTTTCATAAACAGATTGTGTAATTTATGTGCATGCTCTCTAGCCCTCTCTCCTTATTCTTTTACTCTGGTACTATTTCAGTCAAGGCATCACATTTTAGAGTTAATTTTGTGCTCTTACGCCAAATTTCAGTGAACAGTAGAAACTTAAATGCGAGTGCGGAATAAAATATGGTTTAAGAGCTGTGAGCTGGACTTGCACTTACCACCTCTGGGATCTCTATACATGAGGCTCATTGATTGGACCAAAAAACAACTATAAAGCCAATTTAATGGATACTCAGAACAATAGCAGTTCTGCGGAATAACACACCAACATACCCTGAGATGGATTCTGTATCTCTGTAACCAGTTTACTGAAGATTGGAGCCTGAATCACAGAAGCCACTAACATTTTTGACTCCCCAACTACTGATTCATGCTTGGACAGATATTAGTATTTAATGCACTATTCCACTGGCCTTCGTGCATTTACTGCCAACCAAAGTAATTTCCGAGATAAACTTGACCCAACCTCATCTTGTAATACACATATGCAGTAAATTACTGTGCATGTATGTCAGCGTTTATTGCTCAGATGGGGCAAGCGGGGATAAAATGGCGGTATGAACCCCGCTCGTTCTCTGTCAAACCAACATGTCCCTCGAGTGCTGTGCCTTTTCCACGGCTGCATATGTTTGCAGTTTTCCTTACTGTCAAAGAAAGGCCTGAGGTACTTGTTATATCCTTTCATCAGCCTCTGGATGGTGGGAGGCAGAATCTCTCCTTCCTTCACTTCTGCGTTGAGCAAGGAATTCTCTAACAACCTGAGAACAAAGACAAGGAGAAAAAAGAAGAAGAAGAAGAAGATAAATTATTTTTGTTTCTGCTCCTGCTGTGCTTTTTACCAGGTGACTTTGCCTTAGCGAGAAACAAACTATTCACAGTCTGTGGGGCGTCGATTGAGTTCCACAGTAGGTCTTGAGAACATGCTGAGTGAAAGAAAAGATTAAAATATGAACATGGGACTAGAAAAAAACAAAACAACAAAAGCACAAAAAATGCTTTTAAATCTGAAATTACACTGAAATGACCAAGTATGAAGTCTGTGAAAACATCCGTCTTGCTGTTTTTCTGTTCACTCACACCAGTGGAATTACTGTTTGCTTTCATGGTATTTCTTTCCCCCCCGTTCTTTCTGAATGCTATCCTTAAAGGCACATTGAAGTGTGGGAAGATGATTATATTGCTGGCAATTGCGGCAGGGGAAAAGAACAGTCATTGCGCCTCTCCCCGGTGGTGTGTGTGCGTCTGTGTGCGCGCGCATGTGTTTGTGTATAAATCAAGCTCTAAATAGAGAACGCCCGCTGTAGAGAGGGAGCCCCGGGGCACGTGCCATGATGCAAGACGGGGCTGCAGCGAGACAGATCGGGCCATGTGCAGAGGCAGAAAACATTCATCTGTACATCCTGACAGAGTCCCCCTCAGTCACTGCAGAAATATGTGACAAGCAGAGCCCGATTATTATCACGTAGCATAGGCACATACCCACACATTCACCATTCATTCATCTTATGAGTGAAATGCAGCTCTAATAAGCGCTGATACCTTCATTGCTAAAAAAAAAAAACATTAAAAAACGGAGTTGTTTGATGATAGTTGTTAGTTTCTTCCTTGTGCCATTGTTCCCATTTCTTCCGCTCCTCATCCAGGTCAAGTTTGGTAACGGGAAGAAATCTCCTTGTCTCATCAAAGCATCCAGTGGCTTTCCTGTTAAAGCTCCCCCTGTGGGTCCCTTCTTGGTAAAGGCCTCATTTGTATGTGTTAATTATAGAAATGTCTCAGATGAATGTGATTATTTATTGATGATAATGATCCTACATGCAACCCATTACAGCTTTGTGTGCTGTAGGGAGTCACAGTCTTTCAACTTTATGGAAGGAGTCTAAAAAAATCCAGAGCCATACACCGTCTCCACTCTCCTCCGGGAGCTTTAAAGCTGCCATCAGAGAGAGGATAGTGTACCGCTAGCCTATGGAGAAGAATGCATATGAGCTTAGGGAATTTAACAAAGAGTTACCAACACCATTGGCAATGAAAATCCATGGGGGTATTTGGCACTTTTTCAAGTTAAACTGCTAGATGTGATAACTAGGTCACTATCTTAAGATTAGCTAATGTTAGCAGTCAGCTGCTGTCTTGTTAGTAATATTGTTTCAGACTTTTTAGCAGAATTTAAATTTTATAAACTATTTCCTGATGGTTTCAAGTGACACTGTTTAAAGAGAGGTGTTATGTTGATCCATATCTTAACACATACAGCACTGTGCTACAATGTTGGATGTCCGTATTCGCTGATTCACCCTCTTTGCAGGACTTGGCCTGAACCTGAACCTGACACCAGGATCTGCTCGGACAACATTCAAAGACGTGCCCGCCTGGCAGCCCAGTCAAAGAACTGCCTGTCACGTTTTTCCCTGTGTCTGGAAAATCTATTTCACTCCTTGACTTTTCTTTCCCTCTACACTTTGTTTATGCAGTATTTCTCTGAAAGCTGTTTGTCTTATCAAAGACAAAGGCACCAGAAGAGAGTGGGCAGTTTTTATGTTTTTTTTTGTGTTTTTTTTTCAGTAAAACAAGAGCAGCTACACTGTCGCTGTTTGCACTCACCACTACACTGATAGGCCTTTTGAAAACAAAGGCCAGTAAAAGCTGGATTTGCAACTCAATTGTTACTGAAACCTGGGGCTGTCTCTTCCAGAAAGACCCTCCATGAAGGCTCAGGACCACAAGCTGTAAATAAGATTGCAACAGCAGGCAACAATACAGTAGCCAACATAGAAAAGAGAGCTAACGCTTTCCACAAAGGCTTAACTTGAGGATTATTTTTGATGCCTACAAAGCTGTGTTAAAAGTAACACCCACAAGCTCTGACTTTATATAGGGAAAAGCAGCCAAAAGTAGGCATTTCAGGCAAAGGCTGAACCATGCTGAACTAAGGTTGTCACAGATGGCAGTACTGAAGTCTTTTGCATTGCAAATCATGCAAAGCAACTCTGGTGTCCAAGACTGTCAATATGAAAGATGAAAATGAGTAGAAGAAGTCTCCTCCATGTCCTCACAAACACAAAATTATGTTAACTATCCTACAATTATGTGTTTTCACTGTTGTATGAAAGACGTGCTTGCTGAATTGTAACCAATAGTGTGAGTGAATGTGGTGATAAACTCTGTGGCTATGTTGAGAACATCCTTAAAGTACTTGAATTATCAACCAACAGTGGTGCAAGCCATTCAGCTATGCATGCATGTGCAAACATAAGTGCTGCACATTAACTGAGTGGTTTGAAAAGGATTAGTTTGCAAAAGTAAACTATTATTGACTAGACAGTTTAATACCATGTCACAGAAAGAAGGCTGAACAAGAGATGGGATTTGTAGACACCGATCAAATGATGGCCACAGATTATGTCCCGTTATCACTAGAGAAATGAAAAATACAGTGATGGGAGTAATACATTATGAGTGAATTTTTTATGACTCTATATATCAAAATGACAGAAGGTGGGAAAGGATAACATATCCCCTGGCTAGCTCAAGGAACTGCAGACTATAGAGTGGAGGTTTCTCCAAACTCAACATGGATCAAACAATGCCAGATCTCTATAGAGCTAAATCCACTGATTATCCACAAGACATGACTTGCATCTCAACCTTGCCGTTGAGTCTTTCCTCCATCGTACAATGTAATGTGCTTTCTGACTGTGTCAGCCCCTTTTCAGCCCAGGACCTGAACAAATTGAGATCCCGCTTCATGGTGTTTTTCGTATTAGGCTATCACCTGTCACAAACATGAGGCGCCACCTTGAATTATGCACCACCCCCTCTTTCATACAGTCACAGAGCACTGTCTTTCCAAACGACAAAACCTGCAGACCTGGAACAAAATTGACATAATTTGTTGAAGTACTTTGCATTTAGTGTCCAAATCCACATCTAGATCCTGTCTGGCTGATTCGCCAGGCAGGCTGGTAAATCTACCTTACAGTCTCAGAAATGAACTTCCAGACTAGACATGCTTGTACAAAAAAAAGAGGAGCCAGAAAGCCAAGAAAAAGTCTTCCAAATGAATCTCAGAACTTGTTTCACCTGGCTGTGTCAAATCAGCTCAGGCGGTGGAGTAACTGGCTCCTACCACACTGTTGCTATGCTGCATGAAGTCTCACTCACATGGCTCCCAGTCTGTTGTTTTAGCAGGCTGCTGTCTTGGATGGGGAAGCCATGTTAGTTACGGCGGCAGTGACAGCACTCTGCCTCTAGCACACTGCATTATCAATCTGGGTCGCCCTATGTGACCCTCATTACATTCACAAATGCTTTTTCATCTGTGAAACTGTATAAGTGGCTTTGTGAATGTGTGCGCGTGTTGTAAAAATAGCTCTGTGCAGCGACGAAAATGAAGACAAAACGAAACCTTTGAAATGAGGGATGTGGTAAAACAGTGAAATAAAAAAGACCGTCCCTGAAGACCACAGATAATGATCCCCATTGCGGTGTTTTATAAGCTGCGTCATGGTACACAGACAATGCAGGAGCATCATCTTGCAGGCTGTGATTTCTTACATCAGTTTTCACTTTTTTAAGCGCTTTGTGTAAGAAGCAGAGATATCCACAGATGTCTCCTTCTTCAAAAAAGCAAAATCAAAATAATCTGATGAATCAAAGCCTTAAACACACACACACACACACACACACACACACACACACACACACACACACACACACACACACACAATTTTGCACTGTTTGCGGTGGACATGTGACACAGGGATGGGCTGTGCAATGTGTTTCTAATCAAGACTCTCAACATGTTTAGAGGTTATTACCCACAATTTAAAGACCTACTCTGATTAAAATCATGTTTTTCTTGTTGTCCACATGTTCAAATGGCATTTTTCTGATACTAGAGGACATATCATGAGAAAAAGAAGCGTGAAATTGCATTTCTGAGTATTTCTGCATTCAAATCGCTGTGAATCTTTGGCAGACCCAAACAGCAGGAGCAGATTAGAGGATGACATTTTTTGGGAATTCCTGCGGGTCACGTAATTTGATCATCTATTAATGTTGTTCCCGCTCCTGCCCGCTCCCGTTGCTTTTTTTCCTGTCCCGTGCAAGAATTGAATTGCTAACAGAAGCAGCTCTCCAACTCATTCAATGCCACTACAAATGTGTCAAATTAGACATAACACACGTCTTAAAATGTTGCACTTTGCCTCTCCTGCCCACATTGTTAAAAACAGTCGCAAGCATCCTTTTATTTTATGTTGTGTCTCGCCTACAAAGGGCTTTACAGGTTAAATATGATGTTAAATATGGGGTTTGGCAATGAAACAGCTGGGTTTATATTTTCATGTGAACCAGTCCCACTAAAAAAGGTTCTGATCTGGATCCACCTCCGGATGGAAGAACTACAGGTTTGAGGAAAAACAGGGTAAAAAAAAAAAGGCACAGCGACCTGTGCTACAATCACAGGACTGATTTCCTAGCATGGCAGAGCTAGTCATCTTTGATGTTCAGTGTCAGTGTTTTGCAGTCTGACGATGAAACGCTGCTTCTTTGACTCTATCCTTCTCCGTAAATCCCCAGACTCTCTAACTTTGGCTGTCTAAACCTTCACCTGCAGATGTTCTCCAGCCTGCCATCCTGCCACTATCCACTGAGCCCTGACAGAGAGAGAAAAAAAACACACAAAGAAAGACCCTCACAATCCTCTAAGAATCAAACGGGATACTAATGTTAACAACTTGGTTATGTGCAGGGTGGCATGATCAGGAACTCCTAAAGGACTCAAAATCTGCAAGCTTCAGTACACTAGAACTCATGAACACACACTCTATGCATGCACACACACACTCACACACACACACAAACAAACACTACTCATATTTATGTAGTGTGGAGTTCTTCTCTCCCCAGATGGAAGCACACTGCACAATTTCCCAGAGTGCACGCTGACAGACCCGACACACCTGCCCACCTGGCTGCCAATCAAGAATAACTGGATGATACACTGAGTGCCCACAACTGAGCTGGAGACGGCCTGTGCCATGCCAAGTTACTGCATGTTCCCAACTAAATTACAAAATCACTGAATCAAAAGTTCACAGTGCTTTTTGTGTTTTTTATGTTTGGTGCAAAACAACAGCAAAAAAAGTAGAGGTGGTCTCTGAGCAGAGAGAGTGGCCTCATAACAAAGCAGCAGAGCGAGAAGAGGAGCACATTAATTATAAGGTGGAGGTGACGGAATGACAGCTCGCTGTCACCTCGCACCTCGTCGTGTTAAAGCGCCCACAGAGTTAACACATGCAGGTTAAACTTGGTCCGCCCGTAGGTGTGATTGTTTGCTTCTGTCTGTGAGTGTTAGCACTGTGATGGACTGACAGCCTGGGTAGAGTGGACCTCCCTTAAGCTAATGCATACCAGAAGCACCTCAGCAGGCTGAAACTGGACCAAACTTACTCAGAACAGGTGATTTTGAGCTTCACTTTTCATACCATCAATTACTGGTCTTTTAAAAATTGCTTAACAATAGCATTACACGCCACCTAAGGGCTTTAATCTTCAAATAAAAGCGCTTTTTTGAATATTTTGAGTGCGTAATAACACCTTTTACAAGCTTCAATAGCAACACACCATTCTAGTTTGAGCATTTCTCACAAAATATGATATTGGTGCCCCAGTGAGCAGTTTCAAATTAATAATAATAATAATAATAATACATTTTATTTATAGTTGCCTTTCTCAATACTCAATACTCAATCATACATCATATGATTTACACCTGAATCATGGTGCAGTTCAATTTATTTCCAGAGGACCTGTACGAGTGTTTCCTCTTTTAATTGCCTGTACAGTACATCACTTTATATGCATTGAAAAACTCTTCAAATAATTGGATTTTACCAATGCAGACATATAATAACCAGTGCATCCTATTTCATTCCAAAATTGCATCCACGGACCCCTGCATACCACCTGCTCACCTTATTCACTGTGTATCTTGGTACACATCAGTTATTGCTCCCATCCATACCTCCATGTATCTCCACCGTGGGCAGAGCAGTGGGTTGACTCTCTTTCCTTGCCTCTGTGACTTAGATTGAAGGTGAGACGTTGTAGGGGCATAAATTTAGCACCTTGAATTGGAGATGCAGAGAGATTAAATGCTTGTTATTTTTAACTGGCATGGTCATTCTGTATGTTTATCCGGTTTTCACAGATTGTTGATCCGTGAATAACACATTTTTTTATTGCCTCAGACAGCTGCTTCCAAGATAAGCAAAATTGGCTGCAACATAATCCCAGATGTGCACTTAAACTGCTTGTTTTTGCCAGTAATGGTTTCAGATTATCATTCTAAGTGTCTGACAAAATTCAGAGTCTAACAGAGAGAGAGAGCTTCCTGCTGAATAAGATGCTTTTTAAAACCAGAAATAGCCGTAACATTGCTTCCCTAATATTGCTTGCTTCAAAGCCTCCAGAATCCATCTGAGGCAAACAATATGATTCCAGCTTGCTAAACACAGCAGCTGCTGATGAAAAGCTGATAATATCAGATTGTTAGTTTGTGTTTTCGAGGGAATTTGGTGGTTTTGATGGTTAGTTTGGAGCCAACACACTTGTCGTAGCTCAAAATTACAGTGAAGAATAGACATCACAAACTGCCTCAACATAGACAATACTGCTTTTGCTCCTGATAACCTTCAGCACTAAGATATACTTCGCAAACATTTGGGAAGAGACAGAAAAGCCCTTTCAGTTAATTCATCGATCAAAGCGATGTCTAACATTAAACATAAACCTTCTTTCTCAGCTTTCAAATGTTAAATGAAGATTTTTGCAGCCATTGTTAGTCTTGCTCTGATGCAAAACGCAGCCGCATTAACACATTGATTACTTGTTGCAGTAACAGAAGATTGAGCAAATAAACTTCAAAGCATAAGATGTGTTATTTTAGGATCTGCTGCATACTGTCATAAGATCAAACTTACACGAGGAATGAAACCCAGCTGCCAGAGTGATAAACGCTCTAAAGTTATCCTGCGACACATCTAGCTAATAAACCAACGAAAAGCGCAACAGTCAGATGTCACCATGGGCAGCTGAGTTAGCGATGTCCAAGGGCCTGATCTGTTGTGGCACTTGCAGCAGCTGCATTATCTGCACAGTCACTTTGGATTATAACAACACCTTCTAAATGTGCTAATTGGCTGGTCCCAAGTCATCGCTCCATAAGTCCCTGACCTCAGTGGGAAGGGAGTGCCAGCATGAGGCAATGATCAGTGTGTCTCCCTTTGTCACAATCACCATCCTCGCCCCCTCACAATAAAGAACGCCGAGGTTTGCTCCTTCTCCTGTTTGAATCTTGTCCAGTTGTTATTTCTCTTTTTGTTTCCCATCTGTCTTTTCATCCTCTTTTCACAGCATGCACACTTCATAGCCACATTTACATGGGCAGAATTTCTTGATCCAATTAAAAATTCGAGGGATCTGATAATCTGTATCCAGTGTTTATATGGGTGCAAAATCAAACAATGTGATCATGACGCGCGTATACATGCACCAAGCTTTATTCAGATTAGAAGCATTTGGACATGCGCAGAGTTGTCTGATTTCACTAAAACAACCACAGAAGAAGAACTGTATTTATGCCTGTGCTGTCAACAAACCAACAAACGCGGTAGTGGCTCACTCTATCCAATTCAGGATTTTTTCCCCTCTGTTAAATGTGGCCCTTGCGTAGCCTACTTATTTTACTGTTCTGTCAAGGTTGCACTGTGCGTGCAGATGTACCATCATTACGCTGTATGTACACCTTGTTATGTTACAAGAGGAGTAGAGGAGCAGACACGGCACCTGTGGTTGTGTTTTATACCACAGTGTTAATAATGAAACCTCCTGTACAGGCCTCAATAAATAAACCAAAGGTTAAAGAGTGAAGATCGAGTCAGGTAAGAGAGTCATGATCAGAATAAGCTTGTTTCTGAATAATGATCGTCATATACCAACCCTCTTAATCGATATTCAATTTCTTTCCGATTGAGTCGAACTGGATCAGAACCTTCCCATAGACATGTTTACATGATGCACTTTATTTCAATCAGGCGTTTATTCCAATAATTTGTGCTTATGTAAACGCAGCCATTGTCTGATGCCTCACTTCACTTTGATGAAGATAGTTATCCAAAATGTAACCGCCGTCGCAGGATTGGTGGATTGGTGGCTCGGCATAAATACGCAGTGAAACACTGGGAGTAAAATACACTGTAGTCAATCATAAATGATAAAGGACAAGATCAGCCAGAACTTGAAAAACTGGGAGCCAGCAGGTCCATTAAATGTTAAAGCAAAGTGTCTGAAAGGTTCAACTTTTTGATGAGTAGAAAAGGTCTCTTCTATTAAACAGACTCTCAGGGTCTTTGCCATTATTCTTATCTTAAAGACATGTGGTGCATCAAGCTTATATTGATTAGAAATGGGACCGTGTACTATTATGTGACGCCAGAATCAAGTCAATCCTAGATGGTTTCAGTCATAAATAGGATGTTGTAAAAAGTAATCTGAGAAATCTGGGCCTCTCCATGTGCTGAGACATATTTCTATCTCTCGGGGAGCCCTGTTAATCAGCATGGAGGAATTTTTAATGTTTAATCACAAACCAATTTCAGAGACAGAGATAGAGAATGATATTGAGAGTTAATCATGAGGTTCCAGAGGGGAAGGCTGTCACACAGGGCTACAACCAATGCAAAAACATCATCAAACATTTGAACCATCTGATACATTGCCAGACAGATGCTTCAGAGTGATATCGAAGTAGCGTACCATGTCAGCAAAAGCTGCACTGGTGCACAAAGAAACAGTACATTTCTGGTCACAGTTGTTGAGTCCATAACAAAACTTGAGTCTCACTCACGCTCTGTTTTTCAGGACTTTATAACTCACTTTAGGCTCAAGCGTGATGATTTGGACTTGGACCCAGACTCAAGCATTGACTGCAGTAATGGAAAGAAGTCATTGCGTTTATCTAGCAATAAAGGCCTATTGTAGCCACACATAAGAAGACTAATACAGATTTTTAAAGATATCACAGACCACACCACATAAGGTTTTCAACATTACAATCCTCAAACGCCACATTAGACGACTTTAGATGACGAAAAAACAGCGTTTGCTTCTATGTTTGCGAGCTGTGAAAGTCTGATTCTCTCATTGATTATTTAGGTTTTTCAGTCAGATGCAGTTCAACCTTGAATCATGGGAAAACATGTTTGATATTTCTATCCTAGATCATGAAGGGTCGATCTCCCTCAGGTACAGCGAACATCACATCCTTGCTGATTATTTGGACAAAAAATCTGTCACACCGAGCCTTAAAAATTGAGCCACTCACCCCTAGTTTATTGGGGGTGTTGATTTGGACCCTAAATTTTACCTTAAAATGATAAAGTATGAAATAAACCCGATTCAGCAACAGCAAATCCCAAAGATCCCCATCCTTGGCATTTGCAACAAACGCAGAAAAAGTGGTTACTCAAAAGTAGATCAGAATGAATAAAAATTAGCAGATATTTGAAGTCATTTCGGCCGTTATTCACATTTCTGTTGTGACAAGCATCCTCTTAAGTGGGTCTTATGGGTCAAAGATGTCTTGAAGAGAGTCGGGTATGATCTGCAGCAAAGAGTCATGACCAGGAGTTGAACAAGCACTTACTTTAACAAGGATTACAGTGTCAGATCTCATTGGTACATGCTTTCTTTAAGTGTTAGGCCAACCAGCGGCCAGCAGTAGATGGTTGCAGGTATTTCTGACTTAAGTAGACTCCCACAGTGATCTCACTTCAGTGGAAATAAGTGTCTCCCCATTAAGAGAGCTGCACAGCCCTGTAACATCATTAATGAATTCTTGAGTCATGCAAATGGGCTCAGTCAGATTCTATTAGTAATAAATGAAATGTGTTTTCTACACACACAAAAGGACCCACACAGTAAGTTGAGGTTCATGCACCACTTTAAAAGAATGGTTTGGCCTTTAAATCATTAAGGCACAGGGACTAGACTTGGACTTAGTTTTGTTTCTTCTATGGGGACTCAAACTCAATTTGGATTCAAACACTGGGGACTGGAGACTCGTGTGTTTTCGTATTGCAAATAAGAGGGGAGGTTTTTCAGTGTAGAAGTATGTCACTGACAGACTTTTAGATGGTACAATTTGACAAATGAAGGATTATAGTTATCGTGTATCATAGGGGGTTTCTTGTCCTTGCAGGCCACCATCACTTCACTAATGTAGGGTGAGCAATTGAGGATTTTAATCTGAATCAGACTGCCAGATATTTCCAAATATTCACATGTTTACACACTGTCCCAGCAGAGATAGATAGCAAATGTTTGAGAGAACAGGAAGTTGCTGTTGCTGCACCAAGCACAGTCAAACTGACTTCAAGAATATCCCCAACATTTCATTGCTAATGATTGGACTGAGAAGAAAGGATTACCCGGTTCAACAGTATCCTCAAAGTTAGCTGACAAAGATTAGAAGAAGAAGAAAACAATGGCCACAAAACACAAATACAGAAGAAAGCAAAAGGCACGAAAAGCAGGATGACAAAGAATTTAACAAAATTAGGGCGCATGAAGAAAAACTCAAAACAGACATCAGGGCAGAGTTTAACCCTGATTAAAAAACTAATAAAAGGAAAAGAAACTGTCGGCAGATTTGCTGGTTACAAAGCAGAAAACCTCAATTACCTGCTGCCACAGTTCATGTGGTCCCATTAACCTTGTCTGACTTCACATCAATCGAAATGTTTAGTTTAATCTGAATAATTACAGATAAGTAGAGTCTTTTTTAACATTTTTAATTGTGCTTTTTTGGTACATGTCGGCCAGCAGGTTGGTGTTAAATTGACTTATTTCTGCTGGATGATGAATCTGTCATCAAAACTACAATAACATGAAATTGATCACTTATGAGCCACTTCCAGTTCCATAAGCTTCAAGACTCTGAGAAATGCCAAGTGGAAAGAGTAAAAACAGCACATCTGACCCCAGCTACAGCTGCATGGCCTTTACTGTGTGTCTGTACTGTATATAACTGCACTATATAGTGTACGTTATATGGCCTGCAGCAGGTGAAGCTGATGTGTCTTGAGTTGGATGTTGGATGCGTAGGCGTAGAGGCAGAGCTCAGACAGAGTAATACAGGGGTGACAGGGCAGCAGTCGAACCCTGTGGGGGAATTCGCCTTTTCAGATCCTGTTTCATGACATGGCCTCCCCACAGAGGCCCCGCCCCACCCCCCATCGGCCCCACGATCCACCAACGTCTCCACCCCCCCCACACTTTTATTCCCAATCTCCAATGTGCACACACATCAGTCCATGCAGCACTTTCACATTTCACAACAGATTAATTCACTTGAACATAACCCCCGCAGAGAGCTGAGTAACACTCTCTGTGGACCCCAGTCTCCCTCCTCTTTCTCCCTTCGTCCTCCCACTCAGCAGCTTCCACCCGTTCTTCTTTCATTGATTCCCACTCCCCAATGGTTTCTTTGCTGAGACGTCCCTGCAGTCGCTGTCACGCCGTGAAGCCTGAGCTTTAGCGAGGGAAACAAACACGTGTGTTCTGGACCCACACAGGGAGCAATTTGGTTAAATATCCTTCCATCAAGAGAGTGTAAACACATTACACTGAGTTGTGTAAACCTCCAAACAGGCTTAGGCACGTGGATAAACTTAGTCAGCCACATAGACTTGAATTAGCATGTGGTTTTATCTGCTGTCTAATTCTGCCAATCTTAGTTATAAATCAAAGCATTTAACCCTGTTTAATCTGCTAATTGGTCCAACTCCTGCTTGAGGGGTTGGACCAATTATGCGTCACCGTGATTCAAATAAGATCATCCATGTTTGAGGGTTCAACACAACAGATGGAAAAGGGCAGATTGACATTTCAGCCAGAGATTTAAACAAATTACAGATTTGTGACCTCAACATACTTTAAGGTTGAGTTACTGATATGTGTGCACATAAAAGATGTTGGACTGGAGGCTTCAAAAACCTAGACTAACAAAGTGCCTACTTAGAAGACCAGTACAAGGATTTATTTGATGGATACCAATGGCAGTGATCTCTTTCAGCTTTGTAGCATCTGTCTGTCAATTTTTAGTTTCAACATCAACCCAGTTTACTTCAGCTCAAACTTTCAAAGCTCAAAACAAATCAGTCATTCAAGCCAGAACTTTTTTAGTTTTTAAAAACAGGCCACATGGGCAGAAATATTCAGAAGCTTCAAGCTGGCAGGAATTAAAAATTCTATCTTTCAGTTTTCTTTTTTCATCAACTGTGAATCTAATTGAACATATCTTTTTCAGTCATTTTGTTTTTGCTTCACAGACATTAACAGGCCGCACAGCACCTTCAGACTGACAAAAAACATCATTACATTGATCATTATTTCAGCCTACAGCACAATAAATCCACCGTGAGGAGTTTTTTTTACTGGTTGTGAAACAGATTAAAACTGACAGTAATGCCTCTTTATGATCTACTAAAGCAATGAGACCATAATCAACCAAATGAACACTTGCAATGCCTGAAACGCTGTTAAGAAACTGGTGTCAGACCAGGCGATTAGCCGCACACTGAAGCTTTTTCTTTGGTTTTCAACAGCAAAAATTCACACTGAGTAACATATTTCATGATTTAAAGAAGGAAAAATGGCTGTTTTTGGTCAGAAAATAATAATCTTTTCATTGCTCATGAGTCTAATGAAAATGAATCACAAATACAAATACATAATCGCAGCCTCTTCTCTTGAATTCTGAATACTTGGCGGTAACTTAAAATCTGCCTTCACAAATCTTTCATCACAACCCTGGTTGACAGTCTTTTAGTTGATTTTCACCTAATCTGGGAAGCCGAACATGAAAACTACATGCAATAAAAGAAACAGCTCTAACAAGACACGGCTCGATGAACAGCAAAGAAGGGTCCTGAGATGAAATGTGATTGAAAAAAGAAAATCATGTCTGAATGTCAAAGACATCATTTCAACTTGCTAAAGTTCGATTGCATCAGAATTCACATTTTCCTTTCCTGATTTATAAATCTTTTATTCAAGAATGAAATAAGGGAGGATGTTTTTACTGCAAAAGATGAACAGACGTGCATGTCTTACTGTTTTCTCATCCTTTTCAACACAGTGCTTTCGCACCACTGGTAACATTCACTCATTCACACCACATTTAAACACTGATGGCAAAGGCTGCTATAGAGGAAGACTACCCATATTAACTAACCTCATTTATATGCATACCCTGACTATGTCACAGGGAGCATTTTGGGTTCAGGACGCTGAAGCACGTGACTGTAGGAGCTGGGATCAAATCCCTCACCTTCTGGTTCAGGGACAATCAAATCTACCATCAAATCACAACCATGTGTTTCTCCTAAAGCTGTTGAATTTAATGTCCACAATGTATGTTACAAATTAGTTTTTCACACACAATAGAGCATTTAAAACATGAGATAGTCTTGAGGTGTCACCCATTGGTTCCTTATTAAGGTTTTTATAGCCATTTCAAGGTATAGTTGCCATAAAATGCCTTCAGTCAACCTTAACAGGTGAAGGTAAAGTTGAAGCAGGCTTTTATGTAACCATCCTAGCAGTCGTTTCTATATGACGCAAAATCCTCCAATAATATGTGTGTGAATACGTCATGAAAAATAAACCAAACAAAAATGTCCGACATCCAACAAGTGACCTCTTCAAATAAAACTGTTATGGGAACAAGATGGTCTGGCTGGAAATACAAACTCGCCACTCAACCACACAGTGACGTCTGTGCTTAGAGTAGCAGACCATGTGGTCGGCAGTAGAAGCTGTTATATTCTCCCTGTGTGCTGAAATAATACTGCTTCACTGCATGAGGCACCCTGGTGACTCCCTCAGTACGACATGCTGTTAAGTCAGACGAGGCGTCCATTGTCTATAGGGACGCGCTGCTGCAGGAAACAGGTAGAGCGTACTGCATTAGCTCAATCCTCAAGGTGTGCTGGAAACTTTCGCCCCTGACTGGATGACTCGCCTGTCAGGTTGCATTAAACGTCTTCGTTTCTTCTTTTGCAGAGAATATTCATTTTTTTTTGCCACTGTGAAATGGGATTTGAGGGGAGTTGCTGCTGCTCTCATATGCTCAGATTATTCTCTCGCTCATCAGGGACTTTTCCAGGCTTCCTCAGACCCCTCAGCCACTCCGTGCTCATGGATGCAGAGGCAGGAAACCAGGCACCACAAAAAAAAAAAAAAAGAAAAAAAAAACGTCCTCCTGGGTTCATGTCGCAGCCTTTTGTGGATAAAAGCAGCTGTTTCTGCCTTTCATGCTATCCCAGGCAGTTCCCTAAGCTGCACTGCACAGAGGAGAATAGAACATTTACTGCCTTCATAAGCCCACTGAAGTCTGAATCTCTGAGTTATGACATAAAAATATGTAATTTTACTTCAGGCAAATCAGTGTGGATGGTACAGTTTATATGGTAGTGTAAGTACACTTATATATGGATCTCCCTGCTTTGCTCTAATTTCCAGCTTTACCACGGCAGGCTCTTTAACCCTTTGTAAGTGGACTTCTCATCCATGGACAGTTCAGATCCTCTTTTTGCATAATCGTTTTCAGAGACATCTGCGACAAAAAGTAAAATAGTTATAGCCTTAATTTATGTTGCAACCCAAACTTGAAGCCTCTGCCTTTCCTAACATCAAGTTGTGAGATCCAGTTTGATGTAAATACATAATCTGAGTTCTGAAACATGGTGGTGGGAGTGCAGGTACCTGGGTGAGTAGAGAATTGGCCTTAGGAAATCATCATTTACATAATCCTGTTTAAACTGGCCCACAAATCAAATCCTAAAACTGCTGGAGCATTAACTGCAAAACTCGCATTAAAATTTTATTTCCAAGAAAATGAGGCACTTGGTGATTCTACAAAAAATGACTAAAGTACCAATGCAGCTGAGCTTTCCTTATGGCAATGAAAACACAAAAGAAATCTTTCATCTCTGTTCAATAAATGAATTATATAGAAAAATGTTAGAAAGTCTGTTATTCTTTAAAAGAGGTGTAATTTCTTGGTTGTTTGCACTTGCAATGCTTTTCTTTATTATTGTCGTCTCCTGAACAGAAATACAAATGCAGGTTTGAGAACAATTTACAAGGGCAAAGTTCTCCTGGCTATCAGCAGTAATAACAATTGTAGATATTAAGGGCCTGTGTCCACTGACAGCATTTTTTGCAGGAGTAGCAGAACTTATTTTTTCTCTATAACTTACTTTATTAGGCATTTTTAGTGCTTGGCATCCAAAGCCCAAATCCACCCCAGTGTCTGGAGATCATTGCTGCATCAGTGTTTGCCCTATAGTGTATTTGGCAGGGCACCTTGTTCTACCAACGAATACCCCCGCCCTGCCAATGAGATCCCAACTCAGAAATTAGAGCCTGAGATTAATGAAAAGGTTTAATTTTTATTTTAATCAAAATGGCCCATAAAATATAATTGGCACAATTTCAGACTCTAAAGCTCGCAATCCTTTCATTACTTTCAAGAAAAATGTATTTCTCAGTTCCTCTGCAATCAGTGGGGCACTCTGCTTGCTCCTATCTCACAACATGCATGTGTGCTGACATGCCGCATCATGTAGTTCAGAGGCGGAGCACGTCAGCACCACTGATTCTGGTATTTCTGATATTCTGGTCATGAATGCTTTCCACTCATACCCCGCCCGTTTTGCACAGCATGGTTTTGACAAACAGGGGTTCTGGCCCCTCTCCATCATGTTTGCTGCCACCAAAAGAAAAAATAAAAAATAAAAAATGGTCATGGAGCACCAAACTGTCCCCGTACGCTCAGCATCCCAATTAAAAATATCTGCATTCTTCAAAAAAAGACAGTATGTAGTTATGTGGACGCCACACATTCTCTTGTGGATGCCAGTTTGAGCATATCTCCGAGCCCTGACAACAGAACTGGCTCATCTCCCGCCACCCTGTATGATGATGATAATAATAATAATTATAATAGTAATAACAACAACAACAACAACAACAACAACAACAACAACAACAACAACAATAATAACAATAATAATAATAATAATAATAATAATAATAATAATAACAATAATAATAACAACAACAACAACAATAATAACAATAATACTACTACTAATAATAATAATAATAATAATAATGATAATAATAATAATTATTATTATTATTATCATTATTATTATAAATTTGTAGTGTGGGAATGTAGTGGGCAGATGGTGTAACCCTGCCCACTATGTCCCTGATCAGTAAGACAGCATGAGAGGCATGCTAAAATTGAGGTCAGTAGCACTGCCAACACAAAAAAGGTAGTAACGGTCACAGGCCCCTTAAGATGTCTTTTACAACCCTGTTTGCTGTTAATCACTTTGTTTAAAAGCTGTGGTTTCTGATTGAACAAATAGAAGTAAAAAGGGTGTTTAAGTCAACACTTTAAACAGTAAAAAATGACATAGAAATGATGTTTCCACAAGTAAATATTGGTCTCTCCTTGTTAGCTGTTTAAATATTCATACATTTTTGCATAGCCTAAAACCCTGAAACAAGAAACCATCCCTGGCCTCAATGTTGGCAAACTGAATGTTAATAAAAGCCTTGAAGAAAAAAAGATTAACATTACCGTTGAAAATTTTGTTGCATATGCTCCCAATCCTGATAGTTTTACTTTAATATGAAATATAATTTCTTATTCATTGTAGTTATGACTTAATAAGGCTTTGCCTGTCAGCTCCTCTAAGTCTAACCTAGTTTTATTAATTATACATACAGGGAGGAAACTTTCTCTGCTCATTATTGAAGAAGTTGAGTTTGTCAATGAAGTGCTCTACAGCCAATTAAGCTGAAATATTGCTCACTTTGCACTATCAGCTTGTCATGCCCCCTTACATCCACACAGCATTCAGTCAATACCAGCCCCAGCACAATCAGGAATTAAACAGTATCCTGAATCATCCAGCAAATTAACTGGATTATTCATGTCAACTCCACAGCCAATGCCTGTCAGTGTTAATTGTGTTCTTAATGTACAACAGTTTCCATTTGAAGAAGGTCACAAGTCTCTTACAGAACTGCTAAATATGACTGCAATGTTGTGAAAGGGAACAATAAGGCTATGTCATAGCATTGGTGGACTGCATCTTGACCAGCAATGATAAGGGCAAAGGAACGTGGTCACAAAAATGATGCTAATGCCTTGAGCTTGTATTTTTTCCAATAGTTTAGATAGTAGAGAAATCTGTGATTAAATCTGAATGTGGTGAAGATTCACCTGCGTCTCAGGTTATTTACCACCTTAGTAAAGTCCTCATTAGAAGTTCATGGTTTCAGTCGACAATCCCAACAAGGTCAACTAATCTCTAATGAACCAAATAATCTTCATTAGGTAACCAGTGCTGCAAATACAATGCACATTCATACGCTTATTCAAAGGAGATCACTCTTATCATGCATTACAGTTCTGGAAGGTCATCATTTCTTTTTGAGTTTCACCGACAGGAGGGGTGAAAAAGAGAGCATTTCAACCTAGAATCAACCACTATATTCTGCTAAATATTCCCATTTACCATTTAAAACCCACTGTCAGTGCAATAAATGATGGAAATCCAAAAACAAACACAAAGGTAAACAATGTGAATCCAGACATGACACTGAAAGTACTCCAGGCTTCTAGGGGGCGCTAAGTTAAACTAATTATTATTCACAGAAGAGTGAGGAAGTGTCTCTATGGACCTGACCACACTACAGTGCATAAGCATAGCTTTGTGACCGTACCACTTACCACATACCATGTTTTAATTTCAACCCCCCTGCATGCCCCCTGCTGGCATAAAGCACATTCATTGTAAAGTCTAGATTACCAGCAGTTATATTTCCAATTTGTTTTCTGGTGTCTTTAACTTTGCTCTGCTATGTAGTTTCAGCTCATTTGTTATTATTAAAGTTTTGTTTCTGCCATGATATTTGTTTCGGACTCTGGACAACTGAATCTGCTTCTTTCTAGATTTGCTGCAGGTTGGAGATTGCATGGATTTTTGCAGATCTGTTGATTCTGTGGGTCACTATATTGGTCACTGTTTTCAAGTCTTTTTAGCCAATGTGTGATGCTAATTGTTAATGTAAAGTGCATAATTTTGGTATTCCTTTGGGAATAACACTCCAAAAAAGGGTCTGTTGAGTGTTTCCTGCAAAGAGCATAGATAAAACTATACAGTTTGCAACGATGGCAACCTACAAAAAAAAAAAGGCTGTGTTCAACAATGAACTCACTCTGAGGATGCACATGTCCATCTTTATCTTTAAGTGAATTTCTTAAAACCTGTTTTTTTGACTGCCAAATCAGCCTTTCAATCTGAGTCTCAGTGACAGAGAACTAAGGTTTTCTTTTCTCAGCAGGCTGGCCCTATATCATTGGCTGACAACTAGTCTCTGGGCTCCTCTATATTCACAGTTTGGGTGACTTTGTGGTGACTATGCTCAAGTGTCATAGGAAATGCAGTATATGATCTTTACAAAGACGGGAAAATAACAGTCCATAAAACACAAAATAACTGCAGGCATATGTTGCTGTCACGACTGAACAAGCAGAATTCACCGAAATCTTATTTTCTCCTTTGAGTATTTCTGAAGTCTAAAATAGTTTCTGTGTGTAATACCAGCACTGAGGACCTGCTCTGTCTGATGTTAAGATCCAAACTCTGACTCACCTCTCTTTATGCAGTTAAAGTAAGTAAGCGCACTGGGAATCAGCCCTCAGTCATTGATTGAATGCTACATTCAGTCAATCTCTGAAGTGGTCTGAGACCTGATGGGTGGCTTGTTGTCATGCAGGCAAGCAGGTCCATGACTCCTTTCCTTTTATGCTAAAAAAATATTGTGGTCAGTGCTGCAGGTATAATGCAATTTCTTCAACGACACAACACTGATGTAAACAAGAGGGGCCATTAAGACAGTCTGACATGAAATCACTTTAATGCTTCAAGGCTTCAAAGGGCAACACAGAATATGCAAAGGTGCAGACTGATGTTGGTAAAAATGACTGAGCTCATCCATTTTTAATGACGGTTTCAAAGAGTGAATTTCATCAGTTTTAATTACAGAAAGGGCCACATTCACAGGGTGGTTGTTCTTAACAAACCCAAGGGTAGTGAAGTGTTTTTTTCTCCAACTGCATAAATAGAGGACAGTCTGAAATGCAGTAGTTTGGGTTTAAATAACAATAATAATGATGTCTCAGATTCCATATAACGCTTTTACCAGTGTTCCTCAAAGCGCTTTACATTGGATACATCATTCATTCACTCACACAGTCACACCCTGGTGGTGATAAACTTCCTGAGTTGTCACAGCTGCCCTGGGGTAGACTGACAGAAACGTGGCTGTCAGTTTTTCGCCTACAACACTCACAATCATACACCAGTGGAGGACAGTGAAGGACACACACTAGGAGCAAGGTTGGTTAAGTGTCTTGCCCAAGGACACAACAGACAGACTAGGGATAGGGGGGAACCGAACCGCCATCTTCCAATTATTGGACAACCACTTTACTTCCTGAGCTACTGCCACCCCTGTATCCAGGATGACCCTGCTGGAGTAAAGAAGCCCTTCTTTCTGCCCCTTTGCATGCCACTAATCAACAGGTATTAGATCATGCAGAGCAGAAGCAGTAGTTTCGAAACACTAGAGTCCCTTCAGACTAAGGTGAGAACAGACCTTTCTTCTTTGTGTCAGGGTCTAGATTCCAATTTTGATATCTACCCCTGACCACTTATTACCTGGCTAACTAAAGTCATTAATATGTCATTCATAAAAATTGATTTCGCTATCATGGCTGCATACTAATATAATTACCATTTAACTGATTTAACATGCCAATGACTACCAACGACTTTGCCTGTCTGAGCTATTTTCTGCACACTCATTTGAAAGGATGTGAAAGATCTGTTTGTCTTTTGTGTTGCTCTTGTTATGCAGACTTAATAACTTTGGTCAGGAGGTGGTCAAGGAGCTTAAACCAATGAAAATCATTTAATACAGTTTGGTGGTGGTAGCAAGAAAGCCTGGTAATAAGCTACTGTAAATGAAATCACCACCTTAGTCAACTTCCTACATTATATTTAAAAAAAATTCTCCTGTTTAGTCATCTTAAACTGCCTCCTCAAAATGTAAAACCAACTGCAAGAAACTCGGGATTTGCTAGATATTTTGATAAAGAGATAAAATCCATTTCTAAAATTTGTTTCACTTTTGTAAATCAATCACTCACACATGATTGTTCCAGCTTTTGTGGTGTAACATTTGAACCTCTATAATGCCCTCTATCAGGGAAATTCTCCAGGCTTCTCATGTGGTAGCTTCTTGGAGACCACATAACCCCAATCCTGGCATTCATGCATTGGCTTGCGCTGGTATTGATTTTAAAATTCTATTACTAACTTTTAAAGCTCCACATGGTCAGGCCCCCCCAGTATATAATTGACCCTCTGACCCCCTGAGTGTCTCTGATCAGCTGATATGTCTTTGCTTGGTTGTATTCAGAACCAGTTTGAAGACTGAGGACAAAGAGTTTTTGCAGTTCCTTTATGGAATGACTTACAGCATGATAAAATCTGCCTCTACCTATACATCCCCTTTTGTAATGTTCTTCTGAAAGATTTATTACTTTATATTTTTTCATGCCTTGCAACTATTTATTTCAATTTAAAAATATTTAAGCTGTTTGTAGACCTTAATTTGAGTTTGCAAAGAAACATAATGTATAAAAAAGCATAAATGTGAAAAATAAAGGTTATTAACATTGTATCAGTTAGTGCATGCAGAAGACTCTACTGCAAAAAGACACTGCAATTCAGCATGAATCTTAATCACTTATTAATCCTTCCAGCGTGCATGTCGATGACAAGATCTAAGGGCAGACTTTTGCCAGTGTTTATTAAAGAAGCCTTTCTTAACATAATTTTCCCAATCAGCACAAATGTTGCATGTTTTTAATCAAGTTTAATTCAGGTATTTGTTAATTTGCTTTTGGCACAACTGTTGAAAGGAAGCAGAAGAATTGATTTCTGTGGATAATACTACACACTCGTACAAAATCCACATAAAGTCAGAGTTCCTGGAAGTGAGCTATGGAATAATTGCGCTGTTTTAACAAGTGGGGATACCACCCACCCAGTTTAGCTCCGTTAATAGATCATCTACCACAAACATAAATCATTTCTCATTCAAAAATGTAATCCAAAAGCATAAATTAGGAGTTATAAAGACACTGAAGCTCAAAATTGTGTTGACAGACTCCAGACATCAACAAATTATTGCAATCAACAAGTTTGACTTTCAAAAAGAGAAATCTTTACAGCTGCATTTTATGCCTCGATGACTAATCTCCACTACTATTCTTCATATTTTTCCTCATTTCATTACCAACAGAAGCCATTAGTGAGAAAAAAAATCATCAGTTATTATGAAAAGTGTGACCATCCAGGAAATCCCATCAGCAACATAATTAGCTGGTTTCATTTGAATACTGAATGAAACTGAGTAAAGGAACGCTAATGGATGCCTCTAACAAATGTGTCAACACATATCATAACAGTAAAGAAATGTTATGCTAATTAATGCTAATTTCAGCTCCATCATGCAGTAAACAGTGTTATGGTATATCAACAACTAAGTCTGAAGTGGAAAAGGGATGTTTGTGTTTGTGTGTGCGTTTTTACATCTACATATATAGTTCTAGATATTTCCTTCTGTGGGGAAAAAACAGAGGAATACCTCTAAACATGGGCTTCAGAATTCAGACTAGGTTTTTGCTGGTCCACAGCCTGCATACTTCTTCTGTCCCCAAGACAGCAATTCACTCCTTTGCCTCATTAAATAGTTAAATCTATAAGTATTAAGGAATAAAAGCATTTCCCTGATCAGTTAACAATGTTTTGCAAAAGTTTATCTTGTATAAAATCTGTCACTGTAAAAAAAAAAAAACTGTGTTCCCCTCCTTAGAGGCCTGTTCTACTTCACCAGTTCATAAAACAAAAAGCACAGCTTCAACATGAGTAACATACTCATCAAACCCGCCAATGTAGAGCTTAGTTTAAACGCAAGAGCCGCAGGCTGCAGACACCAGAAATAGGAGGGAAGGAAATGATGATGCATTCAGGTAAAAAGTTCATGTAGCTCCTAAGCGGTACTGTATGCATGTGATTGAGGCCGCAACAGGAGGGGGATTATGGGAGACAAATTATTTTTGGTTTATGCAACATATAAAAAGAACTGAAAATGGATAGATGAGACAACTTTTTCTCCAACTCTCACTGTTCCCTGTATGGAAAAGAAGCTCCAACTCTTCCTGTAGGACCTTATCACTTGTTATTAAAGCTGTGCTAGATACTCAAAGCCCCAATGCATCAGATTTCATATAGCGCACTATCAGAGACCCTCAAAGTGCTTTACATTGGATACATCATTCATTCGCTCACACAGTCACACTATGGTGGTAGTAAACTACCTTAGTAGTCACAGCTGCCATGGGGCAGACTGACAGGAACGTGGCTGCCAATTTGCGCCTACAGCCTCTCCGACCACCACACAACACTCACAATTACACACCAGAGGCCACACACTGTTAGTTCTCATCACCAAAAGCAACGACAGAGACGAGTTGATTGCACATATCATACTAAATCAATCCACAGAGAGGAGTTTGACAAATTTACCTCTGCCTGTTAACACTGAGTCAGGGTCACTTGTTTTTTCTCAGGTTGGTCTTGAAAGTTGAGAAATAGTGAAAATAATAAGGAATACATGTTAGGAGCAGTTGTAGGGACTACTAGGCCCCAGCTATCTCTGCAAAGAAAAACTCCAGAAGCATCCTGTCCTGTACTCCAGACAACTGCAGCAGAGCTCCTCTAGTTTTCTACCTGCTTGTGACTAACTTAAACTAAAGCAGCATTGATAAAAGCAACAATGAAGAAAGTTCTGAAACTTGCAGGTAGTTTTTGTCGTAACATGAGAGCGTTGGAGGTGTCTTTTTGGTTGTGGTCTTATCTGTGTTCTCTACAGTGTGGTATGCACTACAAAATAATTATGCTACTTTTGGGCCTGACTCCCAGCAAAGACCCGATCATTGGACGGATTTTGCAAAACAGTGAGTATTGCGATACCACATGTTGCCATTTAAAAAATGTTTTAAAGTGCTTGGCTGATTTAAGCTTGTCTCTCTCTTATGTTTGTCTTATTTACGCAGTATTTTATTTTATTTTCCTAACATGTAACACTTCCTGCAAACCTCATATGTCAGGTCAAATTTTTGCCCTGCTCTCATCCCTAATGTCCTTCCCCAGGTCACATCTACCGCCTTTACTGGATAAACAATTGATTTTATTTTTCCATTATCATACAATTGAGTTCATATTAGCAATTATCTTGAAAAAATATATACTTGGTAAATAGGACAATACGATATATCGCCAAACAAAATATTGTGATACTATGCTGTATCAATTTTTTTCTCCCACCCCTACAATCGTGTGATGTGTGAAGAGTGACTTTTCTTCCCTCCAATCTGTGCAGAAGAGGGTCAGAGCCGCCCTGACTTAAAATCATAAATATTAAACATGTTCAATATTTATGAACAGAAATCCTGACATGTGGAGGGATCCCTTAGGACCACTGAGCATGCATGCTGTCCATTGTCATGTGGAAAGCACGCTGACTGAAAAAAGAGGCACAAAAATGCAACCATGGCAACAGTAGTAAAGGCAAAGCATAAACTGAGATGGACACGTGAAATATAGAATCTATTTCTAGTTTTTGAATTTGCATACTATACTAGCAGGATGTAGAGATTTGCTCAAACTTAGTATGCAGTATGCAGTAGGCAAACAAATGTGAAACTGGCAGTTTGCAAAAAATACCCAGATGACGTACTTATTCGGGAACATTTCACAGTATGCATAGGACCAGTTTGCTTTGCCTACTGTTACCCACAATGCAAAGCGCCTGGGAAGACAGTGGAATAGCGGAGAGCGACGAAACTTATCACCTGACCATTCATTTTCTAAGAGGACAGCCAAAAGATTTTCTTCTGACAGCCTGTCTTCTCCTCCTTCTTTCAGCAATATGTGTGCAAACCACTGACAAGAATGCCATGTTTTGTCACCATACTGTACATTTTTTATCCTCTATTTCTATCGTCTCACATTTTCCTCAAATTCTCCTGCTTCTTCTCATCTTTAATACTGTACAGAACGCGTGATGTTTACCACACACAGTGTGTGCCATCAGCGATGTTTACATCACACAGCTGGACGGGCAGCTGGCATTAGAGGGGGTCCAAAGCTTTAATGCAGAAAGGTGAGTAAATGTTAAAGCAGTCAGACTCAATCAGCTACTAAAACGGTATTTGAAATAAATTGACAGGACAGGAGTTTGTATTTGAGGGCTTTTACTGTAGTTTTTAAACTATCGTGACAAAGGGAAATAAAACCACATCACGCAGATGCCATCAATTAACACATTTAGCGGAAATGCAACTTCTTTCAGTTAAGCAGGAAACGAGGACAACATACACATTACATAACTTTGATATATTTACAATGCCATGATGAGAATCAAATGTCGCCATACAAATGAGTTATTGCATAGACAGATCATGTTTTGATGGTTTTGATCATGATTGATAAAAAATGCAGAAAAAATCAAATTAAAACGTAACTGATTTTCTTCATTGCGTAAATGAATGGGCAACACTATAGTGTCATTGCAATTTACCAGGGTACAATGTACTTTTCCATACCGCAAACCAGCTAAACCGAGCCAATCCATAATAACAGCTGACTTGCAGTCTTACTGCATACTACTATCAAACACAGTACTCATTATGCAGTATCTACTGCATACTGCGGTCGGCAGGAGTATGCAGTACGCCAATTCGAAAACAGCCAACATGTTTGGTCAAACACATGTGATGCCCCTATAGGGTCATGCTGCTGTTGGAGGTGTGTCTTGTTGGTTTCTCTCTGGCTTGGCTTGGCTTGGCTGAGTTTGGTTCGGGTTGGTTTAGTTGTAGTTTTTGTTTGCTTTGTACAACACCCTTGCACACATACACCTACCTTCCACTCATGCACACTTTACTACTGATTTTACTGATTCACACACCTCATTTCTTAAATATTTTCATTTGGTTTAATTTGATTTAATAAAGATTTGTTATGAATCGTATACATGGTGTGTCTCCCCTTTTTTTGTTGGGACCACTTGAGCCAGGTCATGACACACACCACAACTGAAATGACAGGAAGCCTAACAGCTGGCAATAATAAGCACCCATAATTGTAGTGGGAGATCACCCCATAATCACGCTTGACTTCAAAAGATTTTCAGTTTGGGTAGTCAGGACTCTGGCTGCTCTGGAGTCTTTGTGTGAGGTGGACTGTGTTTAAAGCATTGCTGCACACTATAAGAATGAAACTGTTGAATCTGCCATCATTTGTCATTTTATGTAGGGTCTCTGACCTTTAAAGGGACAAACTTAAGAGAATTACCGCTGATGCAGAGTTTAGGCCACCCTGCTGTTTTTTCAATGACCACACATGTAATGGACGAAAAAAAAACAATGACACTGAAGCCATCATTAGGATAAGTTTGACCTTAGGAGAGCAGCTAAGTTTATAGCTACCTCAACTTTAATATCTCAAGATTCAGCATAGATGATTACAACAAACATGTCTTCTTTTTCTCTATAATAGCTTGGTTAGTGAGCTTGGGCTTCAAAAGATAATGTTAATGGAGCCAAACTAGCTCCAGTTTGAAAGACCCCCAAATTATTAAGTGACACAGGAAAATTAAGTAAATGGAATTTACAGATTCCTTTCAGCTTAGGGTTTATGTGGTTTTATATAAATATGGGAGTGTTTTCAACACTGTGAAAGCACAGTTATAGCCATTAAGGAAGAACATGTCCAGACTCATTATGCATATTGTATATAGTTTTATTTTCTTCTCCCTTTCTCCTTTTCTAAATTTTTTCTTACTTGTAACATTTAAGTTCTTAATATTACAATCTTTATTTTTATAACTGCATTTTTGCACTTTCTTTGTCTGTGTTGCTGCTGTGGCAAAAAAAATTCCCCAATTGGGGATCAATAAAGGAATATTCTATTCTATTCTATTCTATTCTAATACACTGTAAAACTGGACTCTGTGAGATCAAAACTTGTTAAAAAATAAAATCAGACAAATCTTTATATTGTTGAAATCTGAACTTTATTTTAACCCCAGATAAAGACTTATTTATCACTGTTTAGATTTGTCCCAAGACTAACAGGAAACAATGGCTATTAGCAAGGGTTTCCTAACCCTGAGAGTGAGGGACATACAAAAAAACCTCTATGATCTTTAGTCACAGAGCCGCTCCCTGATGGGATGAGCTATCAGCTACTGTAACATCCTTTTTAAGGCTAGTGTGCGTCTTTATTTAATCTTCTTTTACAAGCTCTGAGATTTTTGGAGCTCAAAGGGAGGCCCAAATAAGATCTTGGTTAGTATTAATTAAAATGACACTACAAAGTGTTATCTTGGTAATAAGACCCTCAATCCCTGGTTCCAGCTTTGTAGTCTTGTACGATGAAATGGACCTCAGAGCTTTTGAGGATCTCATGCAGAAAAAAAAGCTCTAACACAGGCTTCCCACAGGATACTATTCCACTTGTCCATATCCACAGACATAGATCCATGCTCTGTAATGTTGCTTCAAGTTTTAAATGTTGCTCATTTCCTTATTGCAGGACCCGACCAGGTTTGAAAAATGTATTTCTTTCGAACTTTAAGAGATTTAAACTCGTTAAAACAGTATATAGCAAAAACCACACGATGTTTCCTTAATTTTACAATATAATCTCAATATTTTTGGTGTTTATTTTATTTTAGTTTACTTTTTTTTGTTCTGTAGTGCTATTTGTGACCCAATGATTACAATAAATAAATAAATAAATAAATTAATTAATTAATTAAAAAGAAAATATATATATATTGGACTGTACTTAATTCTTAAATCTGGGATTTACTTATTTTGTGTCAGAGAAAACTACAGTATTTCCTTGTTTCTATGTCCTTCCATCCTGGTGCACAGTATTCACAGTCAAGCATGTATCTTGAGAGCTGATAAAACTGGGACTGCAACCTGACTTTCAGCAGATTTGCAAAAGACCCGAAATACTCGGTCAGTAAACAAAAAGGTCTTGTTTTGTGTCCTGTTTAAGTTTCCACATTTCTTCCCAAAACTGGCATCATCCCTTAAATCCCCACTAAAATTTGGCTTAAATTGATATGGTGGGAGGTTGAGAGCAGCATATAGGAGTGGTTCCCTGACGTAACTGGGTATTGTGGGCCTAACTTAAAGAAACACTGTTAAAGAAAGGCACCCACTAAAGAACTGTCATTTTTTTTTCAAAATATAATGTTTGAATGAACAATGAACATGACATACTGATGTTCAAATATATTTACATACACACACACACCCTCCATCCCCACCACAGCACATACACTTAACATTCATAGAATTTCATTGTATGATTCTTTTCATTTTAGCACAACAGCACTGGGTTAAGGAAATCCCAGCCTGTGCCTGTGCTGCCTCACAGGGGAGCCTGCAGATTTATTGTTGTTGAAGAGTATGACAGCTGCTTTGTGCAAAGTCAACATACAGCTCTATCTTTGTCCTTTATCTTGCTCTCTGTGGTGTAGAACCCAAAATACTTCAACGAGCCTCTTTTCAGATGTTTTGGTGTTTTGACTGTCTGCTGGGGTTGGCTTTGATTGTAGCATATGTCCCCCAACTTTGTTGAGAATCATGGCTTAATTAATTGACTGAGTTCAGAGTGCCATTCATTGGTTTTAGGTTATATTGACATTGCCCTTTACTGGGTCAAATGGTAAGTTACTTCAGATGAATTGATGAGCTGATAAATGTATGTTTTGAATTTGAATTTGAATAGCTTACTACAGTAGGTAACCCCAGTCAAATGTTAGCTTAAGCTGCCCTTTTTTCCCATTTGTCTCCATGCTTGGATGTTGGGCCTCAATATAAGTAGTTTTGTAACTTATTGTTAGAGTATATAAGCATTAGGATTAGGGCATAATGGGATGACTTTCTCTCCTGAATGCTTGCCTTTTTTATTTCAAAGCACAAGTACCAGCAACTTATTTGAAACACAGTGTAATAAGAAAGTGGAAATCTGGTCCACTTGGTCATTTTAGTCCCCTACAGAAATAAGAAAAAGCTGTGAGTCTTCATTTAACAAAAAACAGCTTTGATATTTTTATGCTGGGGGTGAGGTAGGGGTGGGGTAAATTTAGTCCCTGGTTCTTAATAAAAGTGCTTGATAACCTGAGAAGGTTCTTCATACCTCCAAAAAAGTCAAGAACCTTAAGCTTTAAACCATAGCCCAATTTAAAGGGAAAAAAAATCCAATTTAAGTGAATAAATTGTTTCTTAGTAATGTGTTTGGAGTAAACAACAAGCTGTGGTCACAGAAATAAAGAGGCCAATAATAACATACAGCCCTGTGGTTCAAAAAGTTTAACACTGCGGTATAATCAGGTCTGGAGCGAGAGGCACAATGGAAGTGATGATGGTTGCATGACTAACTGCTGTGAAAACGGAAATGGCAGAAGAACCCAGCGGAGGGAAGATGTTGTTTCAGATAGGAGACCTACAATTAAACTTAATGAACATGAAAAAGTAGTTTTCAGTAAGCTTTGCAGCAGAAAATGATAAATGATGGGTTTTAAACAGGCAAGGCAAGGCAATTACCAACAGGCAGTGTAGTAAAGAGAAAAGTCGATTTGGAGAAACTTTAAAGAATATCAATTGGCTCATTATGTCTCTCAGAGGAAACCAGGCACTATGATTTCTTTTCTTTTCTTTTTTTTTTTTTTTTTGGAGTAAAACATTTTAAATATTCTCCATTTAAGACTTTCAGTGAAATGTCTCCTGCAGACCCAAGACAGTTTACTTGGTGCCTAATGCAGAACCACGTGTAAAATCTGTCCATTTAACAAGGCAGGGTGGCATTACACGAAAAGGGAAAAACTGCAGAAATCTTCAGGCTTCCAACGGGATGTTATTCAGCCGAGCTGAGCCTTGACATCCACTCTGAGACATCAGTCCTGTTATATTTTGGTATCCCTGACAAGTGACATCAGTGAGCAGCCTTAAGCATTAACATGTCAGGAGGACTAAAATTGAGGATCACTCTTCCAAATCAGTGTGCCAAAACACTTGTCGGAGTCAAATCTGGGTTTCTTATTTTTATTTTCAAAATTCTCAAAGTTCAAATATATTCAAACTACATGCAAAGATATTTTCTGGTTTTAAATCTGCAATAAAATAAACTTCCCTCAAACATTGGAATGTCCCTTTGATCAACAATAAATTGTCATAGTGAGATATTTTTGACATGTCATAAATACAAACATGGTGCACTTGTTGCAGTGAGCCATATCTGTCCATGTGCATCTCTGTAATGCTATCTGTAGGGAAAGTTCAGGGTGGTCTTGTCATGTTATTATTTAGGCCTATGAATATGTTAATCCATCATGTGACAGTCAATAAAAAGCTCTGACATAAAATATATTTCTATACAGACTTAGTCGTGTCTCTCTGCAATAAGCAAGAAAAGCACAGAGTAAGCCTTTAATCTGCTTGAATAGGCTTCAGTTCAATTTGATCCCTGCTTTCTGTAAGCACTGTTGTCAAACTAGTGCTACCTAAATGCAGGGGTATGCTTTCATATCATGAATATCATGAATTCAGGCATTCATAAATGTCTCACTGACAGTACAACACAGCTGCTTTTAGTAAGTTCATAAAGCTGGTATCAGCTTTCCACCCAGAGTCTGTTTCAACAAAGAAAAGCAAGTTAATCAGGTATACTTTAAAAAGGGCCATAAATATTTATTTATTTACTTTCCTGGTTTTTATTCATATTTTGAATTCTCATTCAAGTGTGACTTTTCATGGATTATAGTTACTAACCTCATATGAATATGGCTAAAACTATTTCTTAACAGGAACACAAAAACACTTTCTTAACACAAAAAAACTCCCACAAAAACAAACAAACAAAAAAACACGAAAAAAAACAAAAAATAAAAAAATGAAAACATTACAAAAATTTTTTAAACAAACAAACAAACAAACAAAATAAATAGATAAACAAACAAATAAAAATACCCTCCTCAAGCTACCACCTTACCGTGGTGGAGGGGTTGGCAGATGTATGCTAAAGTTTGAGGTTGTTCTTGACTTCTCTTCTGTTTCTTTTATATATCAAACATGTTGTCCTGCTATTTCTCACATAAGCTGTGAAACTGTTGAGAGCAAAGAAGGCAAAGTTGATTCCTGAGTCCAGTTAATCTGATTTGAGTTGGTCTCAAGCACAAGACCTGGGCTCCACCACATGTGATGATGTTTTCAACTGCAAGTGTCTAGTCCCAAAAAAGCAACTTCTCAGATTTCATTTTGTCAAACAAATAATGTGGTTTCAAACTTATAGGTGATCTGTTTCAAAGCCATGCTTATTTGACTGTCAGTTAAAACTTCATATGCCAGTTAATCCATGGCTGACTGCCACATATGAAAGTGATTCAGGGTTTGTCTAAAAAAAAAAATCGTTCTGCTCTACCGGCTGTTTTCTGTCCTTTTTGAATAACAAGCTGGGCTATGATCCGCTGCCTCTTTTCCTGAATTTCCTGCTTTGTTCTTTTCGACTCAGGGAGAAAAACAGTGCTCCAATGCTGCCAGGGTATTTCACAGGAACAAGAGAAGAGTAGAAGGGGGTTATCTGAGGCTGGATTGACACTTAAGTGTTCACCAGCATGTCATTAACTCCAACATGAGATCAGACATCAATCTTTCCACAGAGTTCAAACAGACAATATATGCCCCCCGAGTCTTTTCTGCATGATGAAGGTGAGACTTTATGACCCGTTGAGAGTTCCAGCATTGTCAAGGTCACAGGCACTCTCCATAAAAGTGTTGGGTCAATAATGTCACATGTGGGTTCATGCACGAGGTTGTACTGCATTTGTATACCACTGGCAGCTCCTCTTTATCTTAAGATATTGAGGCCTCTAAGCGGAGGAGCCCATGCTAACAGGGTGTGCTAATGGTCTCCTTAATATTATGGACATTATAATCACTACACGTTGAGATATTATTTCAATAAATCAATCCTGCTTCGCAGCTGCTTTTTTGCCCCACAACTACCTGTGCTTTGGATGCTCAGTGCACATTGCACAGCAGGAGGCACAAAACGGTAGTGGAGCTTTGACATATCGGCAGTAAGAATCATAGGCCTTAATCAGCAGCAGCACCAAAATATTTTTACTTTATTTTATGTTTACAATAATATGTATTTGATCATACAGAAAGCATCACTCATACATGCAAAAAAATAAAAATATTTCAAAAAAAAAAATTTTTTTTGATTGCTCTTAGGGCCCTAAGCAGGCACTTAGTTTGCCTATGCCTTGGGACGGCTTTGCTTGGGACAGCACACCAGAAAAGCTACTCTGGGAGATGCCGGCATCAACTGTGAATAACCCACACACAGGAAAATGCAGTGTTACAAGGAATTTTTCAGTAGGAGATATGGCATGAATAATTTTTGTGACTGGCTCCAAATCAGCCCTTAGGTCACCCAGCAGCTCAAAAATGGCATTGCCGTTACTAGTACTCTACTATTTCAATTTCTCACATTCCAAATATGTTGACACGCGCACCGAAGACTGTCTCTCTCCATCGTCTGTCATCGTACCTATGCCTCCTTCTTGCCACAATGACCCCATCCATTTGTGCCAGTTTGCACCTGCCTTTCAAACGTGCTAAATATAGATGCAAAAACACCAACTGCAATCTGTTCCAGGGTTTCATAAATCACATTGCGGGTGCTAAACATTTACATTTACATATTCTTCGCCCAGGACTTTGCTTATTCTGACATACTGCATATTTATGAAGGAACACGTGCTAAATGGATTGCTCATGTGTTTTTTTTTTTTTTTGCATTTTAAAGACGGAATCCTTGGTGCACCTGTTTAGTAATTGAGCTTTGTGGGGACAATCAAGTTTGCAAGTGTTTTTATACACACAACCTTAAGTAAATCAGGCCCTAGGTTGGTGTCCTTTGGAACAAATTCAAATGCTTCATTCACATGTAATCCAAATATATCATGAACAAGCTATCGCCCATTTTGTTTGAAAACCATTTTTATAAGATGAACAATGACCTCATTGGAAAACATACTGTGCAGGGTTTTTTCCAGTTTATAGCTTTGCTCCATGTCTCCTTTTGAACAAATAATGATGTGAGTCAGTATGCTCTACACAGATGCTGTACTCAGTGCAGAAGAGACACGTCAAAGAAGTTATTGAAAAATAAATTGGACCTGAATATTTAAAGCAGTCCTCTTTGTTTCAGTGCGGTGATCTGCAGCCCATTTTCCAAAGTTGAATAGAAAATAAATGAATTTGTTTTTTTTTTCTTTTTCTTCATGTAAGTGAAGGAATACAAGCCAGAGTGGATGAGCAGAACTCAGTAAGGCTGCCTGCTAAGAAAGAAGCAGGCAGACAGACACAAAAATGGAAGACAAATGTCCACAAGCTAGTTTTCATTTATATTATTAGGTATTAATGCAAAGGTATTTTGGGGTCTTAAGCCACATAAAGGCGATTTTTCAGTTTGGATGGGGTTCTTGACACAAACTGGCCTTCACAGTACATCACTGTTGACTTCTAAATTCATACAGACTAAACTCAAATAGACAATCCTGCCTCTGCCATTATCCTAAAGCTAATACACACGTCACTCATCTTGCTTTGTATGTCCATTGCAGCACTTTATTATCACTTGTACAAATGGCATCACTTCTTGTTTTCTGTTCATTCTTGATAAGAGGAATGCTGTTGTGGTTATCTCAAGCTAAAATCCAAATATACGTTCATAGCAAGTAATGTCATATGTCCTGGGAAGAGTGATTGTTGATATCTGAATGTTCATTTTAAGTGGAAATAATTAAATTACAGTTATCTCTAACGAATATCCAGCCAAGCTATTAAATGTTAAAAGAGCCTGACATTCTGCTATGTTATACAGCCATGTAGACTGGCATGAGAAAATGGGAAATTCATGTTGATGTACAGAAATCCTGGATATCATTTCATGGTAATTTTGCCAACTGCCATGGGACCTGGTTTTAAGGCAGCAGCATGCTACGCATTACAACCTAAATGAAATTTGCAAATATGGAAATAGAGCAATTAAAGAGGTCTACAGAGCAAAGGAGAAAACCACTCATGCTCTCTGTCGACTTTGTGATGCGTGAAGGAGCCTGCACATCACTTTAGCCAGCGAGAAACAACAACAATTACAAAAAAGTGCCTGTGTGGTTGAATGCATTGTCAGCACAGAAAAGACAAACTCAGTCTGAGTATGAACAGTGAAACACAAAGCATCAGTCAGAAGAATAATGACACTTGGATCCAAGTGCCAAGGGATGTCAACATTTGAGCCCCAGCTCCTAACATTAGTATGCTTACCACCGACAGAAAACCAACAAGTGGGATCCACCTCTCAGGACTGGAACTGTAATATGGGTGACCCACAATGGACCTGGTGTAAAACTCAATTTTACATCCACACTTGTGCAGCCATTCCTTCGTTTTTTTTTTTTCCAGAGGATGATTTTATAAAGAAAAGTAAAGTGGAGAATATTTTTTTCTGTCTTTTCTTTCTCCCCCTAAGGTCACATGAGATTGTGCAGGATCATGTGAAGTAGTATGTTGTTTCCTCGGGCACACTAATCCTAAGGAAATCTCAGAGTGCATGATCCCCATTTATCAAATAGGATTTCAGACTCACTTTAGTATAAAGGATGTTTTTTTTTTATCTTTTGAAATCTGGATCTATCCAGATGATTCAAGTTTTAATTTACAGCTGAATGAGGAATTATCAACATTTCAAGAAAATGTTATGTGCATGTTATTTTTTTCCTGTATTTACAGCTTAACAGTTAAAATACTTTCTGCTCATTTGCCTTCATCAGCAAATACAAAAGCTATCTAATGGTAAATATTCATGGTCACACACTAAACAATAGCAGTATATAATAATTATCATAATAAAGCTTTTCCATGATAAATACTGTTGCCTCTTTACCTCCCTGCAAAGAGGCAAAACACAGATCTTAATAAACAACAGGTTTTTATTTTTATTTGTTGTTTTTGTTTGTTGTCTTAATACACTGGTAAAAAGTCCTTTGGACTCGATGAGCAGCATTAGCCAGCAAGTAAGTACAAGATGGGTCTCTCTTAGTATGTGAGGTCACTTACCATTTGAGACTGAGGCTGTCAGGTAAGTAAACACTGGTGAACAGGAGCAGACAAGCTGAGCTTTACATGATGGTTGCAATGACATGGTTGGACATTTACCGAGCTGATGGAAAACCAAGTATGTATAGTGCAGACAGATGGGGTGAATAAGACCTTACATGCCCGTAGTTGTGGCAGCCATACTTAAGAGGGAGAGAAATACAAGGTTTCCTGCATTTAGTTTTGCCAGTTAAGCAAATGTTAGCCAAATATTCCTCTCAACAGGACTCTAGTTTCTGATTGGAGGGTAACCATGACATGGCCGGACATTGTCATAATGTCACACAACACACATTGAGTATTTTTACCTACAACTGGAGAACTCCAAAAGTGGAAATCTCATAAAGTCTCCTGAAGTCAAATTTGACTTCAGAATTAACAAACATGGCTGATAATGAGCGCTAACCAGTATTAGCTGCTTAGCTTGCTGGTACTTTGCTTGCAGGAGCAGTTTCTTCTAGTGCCTCCCTTTGTCATGTCCATATTGGTATGGTTAATCAAAAACACTGTGTAAAGACCTGTGCTGTTGTCAGATGTCAGCAAGTAGGCTCTTTATCGGTGACATCCACTCAAATTTATGCCTCATGTTTACCATCTTTGCAATGGTTGCGTTTGTTGTTCTTTGAATTGGCTATCAAACGGTTCCACGACTGACTGAGTGCATGCTCGGCCATCCTCGGGGATCCCCACACACATAAAATTTCATGATTGTAAATATTGAACATGTTTGATATTTACGATTTCACATGGAGTGGCTTTGATTGTCTTCCACACAAATCAGAGGGAAGAAAATTCACTCTAACACACCACAAACAACAGGATCATCTTGCAAGGTAACCTTAAAATCCAGTCCGAATCAGGCCTAAAAAAATGGCACAATCACCTTGCCCCACTTGACACAGCACGACCACATTTAAAGACTCCTATATCACCAGCTTGTTTTACCCCCAGCCAATACGGAGACACCTTTGTGGTGTCAGCCCTGTTGTAGTCAGCCACAATAACAGTTTAAGGCTCTTTTTTTTTTTTTTACAACAGCTTTAAATCACATGAGTAATTCACAGATAACTAGAACTGCCCCTCATTAAGGTCTTCTCGGCCTAAACTGGCCCGGTTCATTTAAACCCAATAAAGCCCATTCCACAGTTTAAAGCATGGGATGTTTCAGAGCTCACAGATTCATAAAATTAATTCATTACATGTATGAGGGGCCTGAACACTGCAAATGTGTTCATCTACATAGTATCATAGCATGAAGCCTTCTTTAGCACATTAATCCTGGAGCTGATCATGCAAAGAAGTGCTGAACTATACAGAGAATATCTTATAGGCGGGTTCAGAGAGGCCCAGAGGGCTCACTTTATCTGAAATGTGCAAAGAGCATTTTCTGCTTTGAAAACAAACTGCAGGGAGACGAGGGGCTTCTGTTCACGGTAACATCACCAAAACATCCCATCATTCTCTCTGTGTGACCTCTGCAGGGATTATAACACCAACTGTATGCAAGACTGATACATGTGATGCTGGATCCAGCTTCATCTGTTCTGCTCAGCAGCGTTGAGAATGTGTCAAAGGAGCTCAGCTGCTTCTTGTGCATGATGCATGGGGAGATGTTATCAAGCATTGAAGCTTTACAGCAAAATGATACATCTGATTACCTCTCTGTCATCTTCTCAGCTCACTGTACACAAAGCACTGCCTGCACTGGCTGTTATAAATTAGACTCTGACATGACTTGATTATGCTCCCTGCCTTTGGAGACCTTCGTGGCTAAAGTTCCCAGCGGGGTGTATTTCTCCTTCTGTGCGCTGTCTTACCTGCTAATGAGAAGGATGGTGAACACGGTCCCTCCAGATACAGAGAAAGCCATGGCTGCAAGAGGAGCGGAGACACCAGGTGGAGTTTATCTGAAATAAAAGCACACAAAGGACAATAATATATCATTAAAAGGGGTTCAGGTGATGATAGAAGAAAATATGGATTCTGCTCTCTTTGACTCCCATATCCTCCTTTTATTAAAGTATATCAGCAGGAACACACCACAGATAGTTTTAATCTTCACAGTCCACATTTTCTCAAATAGGTTCAACTTAGATTACTTCTTTCACACAGGTAATAGATGTTTCTTTGTGCTGCCTGCTTATCTTTGACTGAATCTCTGATAGACTAAAATGAGGGGCCTATTTACAGACATATTTCTAAACCTTACAACACCAAATTACAGCCCTGACGTGCCTGAGGGAGTGTCTCTCACAGCACAATGACCTCTTCTTACAGACATCACCCCAACTCCACATCAGAAAGCTGCAGACTTTGGTGAAAAGTAATAAAGCACTTTTCTTCAAAGAAAATCTCGCTCCCTCCCTCATGCATCTTTTAAGATGAAAGCAGACAGAAAACCGTCTGAGACCAGAATGACTTCACTACAGAGACCTGACTAATGTGGACGGCAAGCTGGGCCCAGGAAATTTTTAATGTAAGGGTTGAAAGTGAGACTCTGTAGTCATCGTGTCAAAAGCTGTTTCTGTGGGGGTGTTGGTGTGTAATACAGTGAAACCTGTTTGTTGTTGTTACAGCTTAAATTACATAATACTGATTCACAGTGTGTGGCACTCTAACAGGTAAGGCATGATGTTATCACTATTGAGGTAATTGGCCTGATCTTTTTTAACATTTTTTGGTACAAATTAGTCTAAAAGGCCTTTGATCTACAGCTGCTGAAATGGTCTTCATAAGAACATGCATGCTGCAAAATCAGACAGGATGCAAACTCAAAAAACCTTCAAAAGTCCAAAATGAACGCAATGGTGGGAGCCTACCAGAGGCTACAAAGGGATAAAAGTAACTGCACAAACAAAGACGAGCTGCAAAGGCCAATCCAAAAACACAAATGTACTGTCAACTGCAAAAGAAAGCAATGCACACTGGGGCATGCCAAGAAAGTGTTCAAGGCCTCTGTGGGCTCAAAGTGGAAAAAGCTTCATGAAGTATGTTTTTTTTCTCAGTTACTCTTTATTTAAACCAAATAAAGGCTCCTGGCCTGCATCTGCTAACAGCACCAACAATTGTGCGTAGTTTCCCTGCTATGTGTTTCCTCTCAAGGTCTAATTCATACAGCAAATTACACAGATTACACTAGAGCGCATTGAAAGCCATAAGGCTCTGCATTTCAGTAAGGGCTGGGCGATATGGGAAAAAGTTTATCACAATATATTTTTTTCATATCAGTCAATATCGATGAATATAACAATATAAAAAATGAAATTTAACAGTGCTTATTGGTAGTATGCCTTTTGCAATACAATAAGCTACGGCATCTGTGAGGTCTTTGTGTCTCTTCAACGTTTCGTCGTAAGGCGTTGTGCTAGAGAAAGCGGACTGAATGGTCGGATGTTTTGGTTGCACAGGCGCCATGGGCTCCTTGCTCTGTTCGGGGTTTGTAACCTTTTGCGTTGTGTGTGCTCTGCCATGTGGCACTGCTTCAGGTGGTGAAAAACCTTTGAGCTATTCCCCGACTTTGCGAGAACATGTACTCGACAGAATTTGCAGTGCACATTACTATGCCTCATGTCTGACCTCAAAAAACCAAAATACCTCCACACCGCTGACATTTTCATTCTAGTGTTGTTGACAATGTCATCATCTGTTGAGCCTTCATTTGCATTTCTGCCGGGGGTAGCACTCATTTTCTGTTTTTTCTCACCGACAGTGCTGTGAGAAAAAACACTTGGTTGCTACTTCGTTCTAATTCATCACGTGATTGGTTCAACATGGAGCAGACCTGGAGCAACTCCCCTTTTCATTGGCTAGTCTTATAATCTAGAGTATTTGCATGCCCTGCTGCACAGAGCTGCGCACTCTCATCCTGGCAGCTCTAGCTCTGTCAATATATATAATTAGCTCTATGAAAAGGGCCACTCCTAATATGTTTATTGTAAGGTTGATTATGACAAATGCAGTATAAGTTTTACAGTATATCTCTAGCTTACATCCTGAACTGAGAGAAAAAAAGCAACTCATTCAGACTGAGTAGTAAATACAAAAAAAGAAAAGAAAGAAAAGTAAAAGTATATTATTTTCAGATCATCCTAAGGAGAACATCTTGTCCTGATCACTGAAGAGACTCTGCATGACAACATCTCACTTGCCAATATTAAACTGCAATTAGCATTGTCTCAGCAGACAGTAAATATATCACTCTAAATGCGCAGTGATGTTAGCACAGGTGTTAGAAAATTAAGTGTTTCTTGCAGTGAGGCTTATTTGCATAGAGAGAGGCTTGTCACAAATGCAAATGAAGGCGTAATGGCTTTTTTAAGTATATGCCAACAGCACCTGCACACAGATACGCTTTTTGTTTTGCAGTTTACCAGGTGCAGCATTTAACTCTTTGCCAGTGCTTTATGAATGAGATAATGTCTTTTTGATCCATGTTCTGAAATCTTATGCAGATCCTGTTTTACTTTTTTTCATCAATTCATTAAATGTCCAACCAAAATTTGTTACTAGCCCAGATTTGTAAGTGAGTTCTGACTGCTGTATCTTTTCAAATGTTAATACAAAGAAAAAGGGAGAATAAAAACAAGATGGTATGAACATTGTATGCTGGGCAATTGGCCAACCTGCTGTCTCTATCTGTCATTGAAAGACTGTAATTGCTCAGTCACTAACGGTAACTGCAGGGCAAATAGAGCAATAGCTGACACACACTCTGAAATCAGAACCTGAACTGACACCCCAGGGTCAATGTCCATTGTTCCACTGCGCCCCTGGATGCATAAAGCACACTTTTTTTTTTTCTTTTGTATTTTTGTATCCAGTTATTTTCATTAGCAGTATGTTCCCACCATTGCATTTGTTTTGGACTCCAACATGTATCCATGAATGTGCATTATTCAAAGTTTGCAGCATGTTTTACCCATTTATGACTGACTGACTGTTGTAACTTGGCTAGCTTTGTCTGCCAGTGATCACAACAAACGTATGCAAATACTTTTTGAGTTATTTCAGTACATTCTCTCCAGATGAGCTGTGATGGCTGCATTGTCATATTTCATGGTTAACATCTATGAAGTGAGTGTAAGCATCTAAATGGACCCCTGCAGGTGGAGCATTGTACTGAAAATGTCCAAACTTCAAGAGATCACATCAGTTCTTTTTATAAGGGGGATGCTGCTCTCCCGCTGCATTGATAGGTTTGTTTATTTGTGTTGTGACTTCAGCAACTCAAATGGTTAATTGGATCCAACAAAAAATAGCTACAAACAGTAATTAAAACAAAATTACAGGTATAGACAGAAATACGTGAGAGCAGGTCCTGAATTAAAAATACTGGAGGTCTCTTCAACAGCCCAACCCAAAATTACAATTTTGTACCCATGCTTTTGATGTTTTTATGAATTCATAGTGGTTACAAATAATTTTCCAGATATTAAATCTTAACCCTTACGGTCTCAACACACCAAGTGCGAGTAAAATCATTAATGCGAATGAATTACAGTTTAAGTCAATGCAAAGACGCGATTAGATGCTCCTACGACTCTGGTGGTGCGAATGACACAAATTGGGTGAATCTCAACTTGAGCGGATATTTGCTTTGCGGTAACTACTCTGCATGAAGGTTGCCGGGTGACGTATGAAAATGGTCGGTTGTTCACTGGTATATAAAATGGAGGACAAACTGGTCGTGTCGGTGTGTGGTTGCCCCGAATCATACAATTCCTTTTCTTTCAGTTACTGAAACCGGAATAAAAAGGAGCTCGCCTGGAGGCAAGTGAGTAAGGAGGTCGGATTACCTGGTAAATTGTAAAAATACCCTTGTCTATAACTTGATCCCGCCGATTAAATTGGCAGGGATTACTTTTGACGCTGGAATAAATCAAGTAAATACTACTCATTCACACGTCTAGAATCGCATGAATAAAGCAAGTAGATGATTTTACTTGCGCTTGGTGTGAGCGCCCCATAACACTCCGCAGAGGCTACAAAACCAGTAGCAAAAAGAAAACTATCCAGCACTCAGCTGCAATTAGGGACTGATCAACATACCGAGAAATTTGATCCTAAGTGCAGAAAGCATTACAGTGATACGGCATGGCCCACTTTCTGTTAAATGTCTTTGCTGTCAACTTTGCCTCAGTCAAATGAACTGCAATAAATGACGAGTGTTTCTGACAGACGTGCATTAGTGTTTCACTCACTGCTGATGAGCTCATTAAAGAGACATATGACTCATTTGCATTTAAAGTAAATAATGCATTGAGTCTAAATGCAGCATATGGTTTCCTTCCCTTTTTCATGCATGTTTTTAAATCAACTCTGCAATTATAATTCCCGTCACGAGTGACACTGGAATTTTCATATTCCAAGTACCTAGCCTTTTATCCCTGGCATATACACGGCAGAGAACAGTCAGTAAGAGCTGATAGGACATGAAAGGAGAGAGATGAAGGTGCAAAAAGAGTGAAAGGAGAGAAATGTGTTTGTTGCACTTCAAGCACAAAAACTGAATCCACGAAATCACTGATGAGTGAAAATGGTTAACAAGCAGTCAGGCGACAAAACTCGTGCTTTACCTCCTGGATTACCTGTCTGGCACACAGGACAGAGCCAATGTCTGAAAGTGCTGGTGGCATCACAGCAGGATATATATATATATATATATATATATATATATGAATGATTCTTGTCATGTTCCATAGGAGCTTCTTGTCCTCAAAGGCCACCATTGCTTCACCATTGAGCATGGGCGTATGAACATCTAAAATCTGACAGCTGGATATTGCTAAACATTCCCATTTCCACACACTGTACTGTACCTTTTAATAAAACTCATGTTACACTGGTTAATCAAAGAATCTCACTGCTTGTTTATGTAGTATTTGCTTGTTTCAGTTACCTGCACAACAAAATGTTAATAAGTCAATATTTACTGTAGATCTCGCACAGGATATCATTTTTGGTGTAGCAGGATGTCCAGTCAATGTAATTCATTCATGTCTAACACTTGCTTCTTCACAGTGAACATTTTAGGAGGATTTGTTTTCTAATTTTCATTTTTACTGTTTCCATGGTGATTACATGGTTTATGATGCTCTGCCAAAGATTTTGGTCCTTATGGGTACTTTTGAGGGACAAACTATGCAGAAAACAGTTCTCACAGGTGGTCCAACTGCACTTTTCTGATGTTGCAAAATAGATTCCTTTTTATTCTATCCAAAGGGTGCACCAATTTCCCTTCTGTATTGGTATATTTTTTTCTTAGTTGAATTGTTTTGATCTCAAAAACCCTGTATCAGCCGGCGCCAGTTTAGAGCCCACAGTGCACCACTTGAAGGGAATTAAGACTCAATGAAGGATGTAGAAAAAAACAAGAGTAACTTCTGAACTAAAGCATTGGAGAGAGTTTAAAGTAGGCTGGATATTAGAAGTGAAACATGAGCAGCAAAGATAGGGGAGTTAAAGGGGAGATGTATTCAAGCTGCTATTTGTATGTTAAATACTTTCACTATGTATATTATGTACCTCCCCAGCACTTAATGTCTGGACCCCTGCCGAGGGATGTCATTATATATGATAATCTACATATATAGAACAGTAATTCATAAAAGGACTGAATGTGACATTCAGACTGGGGAGAACTTTTTGAACCCTATTTGACTTAGAATGATATCATTCGATTGAGTACTTGAATGCTTCTTTTTTTATCCTTACAGTAAGTCAAGAATATAGCAGGGTAAAATACTGCCTGTGAAAAGCTATGGCACAGTGTTGAAAGAAGTAAGATTATGGATCAAAAGTGATTATGCACACCAAAGGCGAAATGAAATATTCTGATCTGAAGCAACAACAGTGCTTTTTGGGGTGGAAAAAATCCTGCAAAAAAGACTGTTTGCATGCTCCAGTGCACCAGTGGCAACATTGCCCACTACATATTGATCCAAATTAGACTTTAATCCAGTGCAAAGAAAACTCAGAATCCATGCAATGTGCCTGTAACTAGCTAACAAAATGCAAGATCAGTCCCTATAGAACAAAAGTGCAGGTAGGATCCTCTATACGAACGATCCATCCATCCATTAATTGCTAATAAGTGCAGCCTATTCCAGCTGTCATTGACAAGAGTTAGGGTAGACCCTGGAAAGGTCACGGGTTTATCACAGGGCTGACATATAAAGACAGACAATCACTCACATCTACGAGAAATTCAAGGTGACCGTTAAACTGACAAGCATGTTTTTAAACTGTGAGAGAAGGCTAGAGTACCTGGAGAGAATCCATACATGGATGCGGAGATCATGCAGACTCCACACAGAGAGGTAACAGCCCCAACGCTGAACCACTATGCAGTCCTCTTACGATACGTTTTGATGTTAATATCAAATGTTTCCTGCGAATTTTCCAGTCAGAAAAACAAATGCAGACACACCAAAGAGCCAATGACAAGAAAGATAAGACAGTTTGTGTTGTGTTTTGCTTGTTGAGCATGTTCTCCAGATAAATTGAGAGAAGCCCCCCACCAAAAAAAATCCTTGTTGTATGCCAGTGCTATATCCCAAACTTTTGATCAATAACAGTCTAGTTTGTAGCACAGATGGGTGATCAGTAAGACAGCCTGGTTATGATTTAACTCATTTAAGGTGATGAAACAGAATATTTGAGAACATACGGTGAAGTGATGAAGTGCTCATTAGAAAGAGGTTTAGCCAACTCGACTGAGTGTTTGCAGCAAAGCAGATCACATCAGGCAACCACCAGACTGGAATCCCTCTGTTTACTCCATCCTTCTTTCCTCAGCATAAGCATTTGCATTGTGATAACTTAAGACTCAGTTTGTGAAGTTTAAACCCGGTCATTGCTGTTACTCTTTGAACTGCTGTGTGCATCATTAAGGTTCAAGAAGTGTATGGATTCAACTGACTGTGACCTCTTTTAACAGGTTATACATGAAACCTGTACTGGAAAGAGGGTCAGGCTTTTTAAATGTATTTTTTTCTATTTAAAGTACAGTTGGTGTTCAATTTGTAATGACTAATTAAGTATAAACAGTATACAGTATAAACAAGAAAAAAAAAATCAAAAATAGGTCAAATGTAGTCCAGGATGACATACCAGCTTTCATCAACCGTAATCTAGAGACCCCATATTTATTTACATGAATGGATAACTTTATTAGAGTGCGACAAATCTTGTATTAAGAAAAGCCAATCAAAATTTATTTTTCCACCCCATTTGAAAGCATCAAACCATCCTCCATTCATCGGGCAAGGGAGTAATTTTCCTCTCCTTTGCAAGACAGACCCAAAACAGCTTTTACTCTGTAAATTGGCATCACTTTTTCAGCAAATTTCAGACCTGTTATTTGCAAGTCATTTTAGAAAACTGTTTCCACGCCATGGGAGTAAGCCAGAGTGACGCCTTTGTGTAAACGACCGTAAAGCTGAACTGAGACTCAGAGGAAACAGATGAACAGTCACAAATAAACAAATGAATGACTTAGGCATAAACATCTGCAACCATAACTCGTGAAAAGTTGGCATCAGTTTCCAGAGGCATATAAATAATCATAGACAATGATTGCCAATGGGTTCTGCCACTGAACTAACTGTAATTACGAATATAAGTGCATCAAGCAGCAACCGCAGAGTCTGCATAATTAAAACCAAATAGCACATGAATTATGTCACATTAATTCATGTCAGGTCTGTTTTTGTAAGAAATCAAGAGTGGCATTTTTTAGATTTTCGAAGCAGCGCCTCAGGTAAGGCACAGGTTTCTCTACTTTTGAGCTCATGCCAGTGTGTCAAATCTTCCCTGGCACCTGCTCAGACTCAGTGACCAACCAGGTGAAGAATACTTCAGGGCCGGATGATGGGTAAGAGCCCTCCAAAGTGAAGTCTGTCTTTCATCTTTTGTTGGCAACTTGATAATCAAGCGACTGGAAAAGAGCAGCAGCAAATATAGAAAAGATATGTCAGGTAAAACTGGGTCTGTCTCTGTATTTTCTTTCCTTTGTTTCTCTTCAATGTACTTATCCAAGGCAAACTGGATGAGTCACATCAATAGCATGTCAACCTTTGGGTACCGACTAGCAGTTTTAGGACCACAAATTCAGACTGCCCCCCCAGTTCTGTCCTCTCTTTTTACCAGAACTAGAACTCGCTGTTCACCAACATCTGTTCTTATTTACTAAGCCCTTTATATATGCAACCAACATATCTGTTCATTCATAAATAATGGATGCCTGAAAAATCACCACTGGGAACCAAGTTACTGAAACAGAAAAAGAAAACCACATTCGGGTAAATACTGTATCTGGGTAGTGGGGTTGTGAAAGTACAGCACTCTTACTGGACCGTTTTGGTACAGGTTATTCATCACAATGCAGAAGCAGATCAGAATAAGCCTGCCGAGTCCAAATGTCAACAAATGTATTCTAGTTGATAGCATCATGAATACAGAGCTACTTCAATACAATGCCCCAAACCAAACAATTATTGGATTAAATTGAACAGTCAGTATGTTTGCTTCCATTGGGATTTTAAGGTACCGGTATCTCACAAATTTATTAAAATGAAACAGATGATCTTTTCATCTAAAATGAAAAAGCCTGAAGGTAATCCCAAGGCAACTATCGTGTTAGTTCAGATCTACATAATGATCAAAAACAATGTGGTAGTGTTCCTCTTGATCCCAGATTTTTAATGACATGGCTGATTTGAACATTAACCCGAAAAAAGGCTAAAACTTGAGATCAATGACGCCTTTGCCTGAGCTGCCAAATACAACACTGGAAATGACAGACATCAACTCTTAACTGGATGAGGAGATGGAGCCATTTCCTACAGTGGAGAAACCAACATTCAAGTCAGTGCTTCAAAAAATTGATGAACAACAACAGTGCCGCAGGAAATATAAATAATGGAGGTAAAAGTGAATGTTTAAACCTGTCTGCTTTCCCCCCCTGCTGCAACAGAGAGAACAATACAAATCTAGTTAAAGATTTACACACATTGTATCCATGAAGATCTACAGATTACGTCAAATCTACAAAGGCTGTATGCTCTTGCAGGGACATTCCCTCAAAGCAGCAGCAGGTCATGGTGTTTCTCCTGTTTTTCCAAAGCAAACATACGCACCACGTTCTGCAGCACAACGTGACGCTGAAATTTGCCCACTCTCGTCAATGTTTGTGTTTCCACAGGATGTACCTCAGTTTGTCCCAGGAGCCTCGCGTAATGCTTTGATCTACTGGAAATGTGCACCAAGTCTATTTCTGACAAAGCCCACACCCGGCAAGCATCAACTTTAGCGGTAAATCTGCATCAGAACAGTAAAGAAATGTCTGTACTTCATTGTTGTTGCCTTGTCATCATGAGAAATTCTCACCTAATCTGGTTATCTCCCAAGTCCAGCTGCTTTAAGCAGTCATCTGTTGCACTGTACCTCAGGCATGCTTTCAGTAGGGTAGTGCATTGATTAAAGGTAAACTGAAGGGGTACAGTGAACATGCTTGCTGGAGAACCAAGATGAAAGCATGTCAACTTGGAGTCCTCTCAGCTTGTGATTCAAAGCATTGACTTTTTTGGAAGATTTCTTTGATAGTTCTCCTCCAGGTTGGTCGTGCTACCTAAGGGATATTCTGGTGCAAAATTAACTTAGGGTCAAACAAACTGTAACACTGAGTTAGACACCCCCCGAGAGATTAATGTTGCCGACCACTTGCTTCTCTAGTTATACCAACTTTAGTAACGACTGCAGATAGCAATACAGAGAGTCATGTGCTCAACCAAACGCCACTTTATAGCCACAAATAATGCTCAGAACAGCACTTTACTTCATCAACAGTACATATAGGGTCCCAACCATAGCACTAGCCACCAATCCTTTTAGCCTTGCCTCTTTTCTTTAGCAAAGAGACTAAACACAACTCACCTACTCTCTTCCAGCAGCCATTTGTTTGTACTGAGACCTCTGAGCAAGTCCATCGACTGCATCGGCAGAACGCAGCTCAAGGAAGAACATTTATGATCATTTCCTTATCATTTCCTTTAAGTAATAATCATCAAAATAATCATTTTGCACAGCAGACGCTGTAGCTCTTCTGCCTTAGCGTCTCGGTCTGATTGCATTTCCATGAGAAAGTGATCATAAATGTTCTATCTGCACCGGTGACTTAATATATATCCATAACAATATCCAGCTCGTTTCTGCCTGAAAGTTTCAGCTCCACCAAGTTCAGTTGACTTTCCAACAGCTTTCCACCAAACTTTCAGAAGTTTCCCCATAGGAATAAATGATCAAGTCAAACGTTATACCATGAAAAGGTTGAGTAGAAATATGGCGCAAAGGGGTTCCTCTGTTCCAATCCATCCATAATTTAAGACGAGGAGACAAGTAGAAATACAATATGCAGGAGAATTACTATTCTTCCTTCCCTCGCCATATGAAAGTCTTTCTCCTCACACTCAAACTTCCAGTCCTTCTGCTTTAAGATTTTCTTTAGAGATTCTATAAGACGATTATAGAAAAATATTATCTTACAGAATCACCAACATGAGGAGAAAAGTGAGAATAGTTTCAGCTGTTATCAAATGTAGTCGATGTAGGTTCTCTGAGTTTGTTGCTGTTCTCTAACCAACATTTCTTATCGGATAAAAGTGACTTTACGTCACAGCCTCCCTCCTCTCGGTCTCACTTGTTTTAACTCAAGTCTCTCTCTTCCTTTCAACCTCTCACAGAGGCATCGTGACTCTGAGGACCTCATCCAGGCGAGGGTCACTCCTCCTCTGTTTCATCTGAAGGTTCAGAAGCCCCCATTCAGCCTCTGACTGACTGACTGACTGACTGACTGCTGCTTCTCATCCTCCCAGACGGTCCCCAGAGTCCGACACTCTGCTTTATCGCTGTGATGATTTGGCGATGATGCTTGTTATATATACTGCAGTGGAAGAAAGCTGCAGGCCTGCAATTACAGCAGATGACAGCAGTGAAGAGGAGGAGAAGAAATGATGAGTAGACAAGTTGGGATTTTGTGTTATGAAGTTGTTTGATGTTATACAAGGTTTTTACTTTTTCATTGCAGAGTCAGATGAGAAGATCATTAACTCTTTAGTGGCAAGTATGAACCAACTACAGCTTGGCCAACATTGATCTTTGCAGGGAAACTTCACTGATTACCAATAAGCTGACAGGTACAGTGAATTATTGAACTGAAGAAAGAATAAGAATGGAAAACCTTGTGGGCTGGGTATTTAGTGCAACATTTTCATTCTCCAAAGGTTCTCAGCTGGCCACTAACTGAAATGAATAACTTCATAACAGACATCCAACTTATATTCAGAAAGCTGCAGCTCAGCGTCTGCTTCGCTTTGCTGAATGTGCCACAGACAGTATTAAGAGGATTGTGTAGTATAGAGTAAGAGAGTGATGTGCAAGACAAAACAAGCTGATGGATCAGCCCTAAATCCCCCAATTCATGGTTTTCTGCATCGAGAGTACTGGGAAAATAGATGCCATATTATATGTACCTCAATGCATGTATATCTTTCATAAACTCATAGTGACCTAATGTGATGAAGTTTCTGAAGTCTCGAGTCACCAAAGTTTAGGTCTGGGTCAACTCTTGAGGCCCTGGAATTCAAGTCCAACTCAAGTCCCTCAATGGCACTTAGAGTAAATAACTACATAAAGATTAAAAAAAAAAAAAAAAACAGATTGAGAATTTTCTTTGATTAAAAAAAAAAAAGTTTTCACTGTGATTTTTCATGATATGTTACTAAGAAAGACGAATCAACATCTAATCATTCACTAACAATAGTTTCTGGCTGACTGTTCATGTGTCTGAAGACAGGAGGGAAATTACAGTGTTATGTATTCTGCATGAATACATACTTAACTGTCTGATAAACTCAGAAATACTCTTTGTCCCCCTCTATCAGGATTTTAACCAACCGCACATCATAGACCCAGTGGCTGACCCAGAGGGCAGACAGACGCTGAAGCCACTGAGGGAGAGCACAGGGATGGCGGTGAGGTCAGAAATTTCCGGTAGCAGACTTATTACAAGGTTCAGGGTCCACATCATTTCAAAGTTCATTTACATAAAGTAGCTGAAATAATGACCATGAATGTTCCTTTTAGTCTGTGTGAAGTGAACTTTGAGCTTGAACTACAGTTTGTTCATTTATCACGTTGTAAGTCCTTCATGTTTTGAAGAGAGGACCTTTGTGTGTGTGTATGTGTGTATTTATATAGTTATATAGTTATACAGTATGTATATATATTTATAAATGCTAATGAATCCACACCTAAATACTAGTAAAGCACCAAGAAATATACTGAACCTGTATATTGTTCGCAAGTGCTACATTTGCTACTATTTAACTCTCTGCAGGCAAAGCGTTTTTTTTTTTTTTCCTGAAAGATCAAACTATTCCTTCAAGAAACACTAAAATGAGCATAAACTCATAGTCTTTTGAAGCATACTGTATGTAAATTCACCTCAGGGCTTTGGTCATATTTCACATATAATCTCATGTAATCCTTGTAAAGTAAAAGCCTTGGGGAGAACAGCTCAAGACACATCTGGACAGTGTGACAGCTTGAGAATGGCCAATACCAGAAGGACTTATGCCATCAGATGATATTACCGAGGACACATGACAGTGTGCCACAGAGTCAAGGCCAGAGCCCAAGAGACAAGAACCGGAGAGTGACATAACAGCTGCCATGATGCACCTGCACAGCAAACCTGGCACGTACACAGAGAGACTCCAAAAGAGGCCCCAGACTTTGCTGACTCATTAAGTACCCCCATGGCTCATGTGAATCGCATTAGGCTATTATTACATTGTAGAAAATAAACACTGTGCAAGTGTATTTGTCTTTTTTCAAAAAATGTCTCATTAAGCTTAAAGCTCTTTGAGGAATTTTTGGCTGGTTACAAAACAGACTAAAATTAATACAGAAGTCTCTTAATAGCTTTCCGAAGTAAAAAAGACCATCCACACAAGGACTGACGATTCATACTGTCATCTTTCATATACAGGGGGAAAGTATCAGTCCAAATGATTGACCGTGTTTCTTTTCAGTTTCCACTGCATAGAGTATAATCAGAGTTTTTGCAAGTGATTTATTTGATTTTTCAAATGTATGTGACAAAATCAGTGAAGAAATTAGACATACTGCTTTGTCCACAGGGGGCGCCAGAATCAACACAAACAAAAAGCTCCTCATAAGCACTTTAATATAAACCACATTCATGCGACGGGGTTACTAGAATTTTGAATTTTAATGCGATGCAGGTAAATCAAACAATGTTTATAACGTTTAACATTGGCAAGAAAATGACAGAATTCCTTAAGAATCCAAATTGTTGATTTTTGTTTTATTTTCTTTTTCAGGACTGTCCCAGTATACAGGTATTGGTTGTCACACATCATAAAATGGAGGTGAGACAGAGAAAAAGAAGCTAACTGTCTGTGACTTGGCCTGTACCACTTATCTAAAAGGTGATTCGGCACTTAATTCACTTTAATCATTTTTGTAAATCAAAATGCAACATTAGACTTTGTGCCTCTTCCGGCCACTAATGATTGAAACATTTATACTTTAAATCTAAGTGTTTTCCCTCAGTTCCCCATCTACAGGATGTAGGCCTACCCTAAAACAATGTAGTGTTTTACAATGCAGAGAAGAGAGCATTTTAAACACAAGACTGATATTTACTGTTGATTTATGGACTTTGTAATGTTTATGAACAATTATATTCTGTTGCTGCACCTTGTCTTGCAAAGGCTACTATACTGTATTAAATTTTAAATTTTCCATAAATGCAATAATGTCATAATCATGATATTTTATGGCCATGATGATTGTGAGGTGAAAATCTGATATTGTGACAGGCCTGGTGTGCATCATTGTGCAGTGGTGTGAACCCCTTTATCAACAGTCTGGAGGGACTAATAAAAAACACAGACACACATTGTTGTGTGTCTCTTCTGCTCTCTGTCTCTAGCAGACATAAATCCCACATATGGACCTAAAGTAAAAGCTAAAAGGTCTGGACAAATGTCAGCATTTGCTCACGTGTGAATGAAGAGAGTAAGCGGTTGGCAGAAGGGGAAAAGAAACAAACAGCAGACATGAAGAGGTTTGATTTCAGCTCAAACAAAATCAAATCTGGCACCTTCCTGCACGTTGGTGCAGAGCTGTAAATATGTTTTGAAGTTTTTCAGAGCATGATTACTGTTGAAGCACCAGAAAATATCTTCTCAATTTGAAGTTTCTCCTCTCTTTTCACTTTAACGATGCTCCATCTCTTCACTTTATCCCTGTTGATCAACCAGCAGTGCTTGCTGTCTGTCTCTCTCTCCCACCTGCTCATGGCGACTCCTGGTTGCGTATACCTGCACATGACTGTTATTTTCTCATTAGTGTTGGTTGCTTTTTATGACTATCAAATATAAAAATAATGGACATTGTTCTGTTTTAAAGCAAAAAGCAAGAAAAAAATGAAAACCCTGGTTTACATAATTATTGCACTGAGAAAAAAGTCCCTGCAAAGGCAAGTTAGCAGAATTGACCTGTATAGTTTCTTGGGGGAAAGAAACCCTCCTATTTTATGCCTGGTCTGAGATATTTGCAATCTTAATTGAACCTGCCAGTGTTTGTGGGGCTCAGGTGGGTGGGTTTGTCATGAATATCAGCAGCTCTGTGCAATTTTCTACCTCACACTGGTTGCAGGGTAGAAAAGCTCAACAAAGCAGCAGATCTCTGCACGGTTTCATTGCTGCAAGAGCATTACATAATCCAAAGAGAAAAGTTCTATTTTACAATTACAGCCCAGAAACTTTCCTTATCGCTCTTCTTTTTGCATAAACTTAAATATTTGACCCCTTAAATCAATCAATTTTTGTTCTTGGTAGGAAAGAAAAATAATTAAAGAGATCTGAGTCTTCCTTTCATAAATAGTAGAAGTTTTTTTTGAGGAGCCATTAAAATATGGCATTAAAGTTTTGTTATTTTAGGAAGATAAGTTTTAATCCAGAAAAACATTAGATGAAATATGAGCCTTTAATGTTGCTTTTAAAGGTAGCATCAGAACATAAAGGAAAAAGAGAGAAGTACATCCACAAGGGGTCATAAGGTCTCCACCTGCCTGAAGTGATGTGAGTGAACTGACCGAGATAAATCACCAGCCAACTACTTCAGTGACACACAGAAAAGCTCCCATTGAGTTTTTCAGACCACAGAAAGCAGTCAATAAGCAGGTAGAAGAAGCGAACAGAAAATCAATACTGGCTGAGACAACCAAAAAACAAAGACCACACTGCTACATGTCTGACAAAGCACAAACACTGTGATACCTCAATCTGAGAGAGGGGGAGGGAAAACCACACCTCCAGCTCTGGAGTTCTGATAACAGAGAGCCTTTCCATTATCTCTAACCCTTACAAAAATGCCTCTGTTGTTGTGTACAGCCTGTGTGTGTGTCAGCTGGTCTGCCTGCACTTTGAGGACTCAATCTGAAAGGCAGCTGGCAGTTGGGTAAAAAAAAATAAAAATCTGTACCAATTACCTCCCAATCTGTGCTTATTCTGCTGATTACAGGCAGTATCATGTGACAAATGTAGTTGGAGGGAACGAGAGCAGGACTCATCATAAGGCTTCACGGAGCATTAGCGTGATTTTAATTAGTTTTTATCGCAGAAGAATCGCAGCATTGCTGGGAGCATGTGTCTGTTGACTTGATAACTTATCTGTAGCCGAGCTGAGGGAGAAAGGACTTGCAGAAGTAGATATTGAGGTCGATAAGAACTACAGTTGTTTTGATATGAAAACCAGTGCTGGAAACTCCTCTGATACAGCCCTTAATACAAGATCGACTTTCAGTAGGTATGCAAGTCAAGTTTTGATCCACTGCAATGATATATTTATATCAGTTATTTGTGGATCCAAAAGAAGTCACTCTTTGTAAGGCCACAGTGGACATACCGATAACGTGGAGACAGGGTAAGGATACCGTGGAGGAAGTCAGATGTCTGAGCTGAAAATGACATCAAACCTGAGTTACCAGCATTTCAGTTACAAAGTTGGAAAAAAGCAAAATCAGTGGCGCTAAGACAACTTTCGTAGATGTAGCCATCTTGTTTCTGCCTCCGATTTTGCTTTTTTCCAGCTTGGTAACTGAAACGCTGGTAAATTGGGTCTGACGTCATTTTCAGCTCCGACATCTGACTTCCGAGGTAACTCGAACGCAGCACTAATTCACCTAATTCATCACTGGACTACAGCAAACATCTAAAAAGTAGCTTGAGTAGGGGTAGAAGTTAAGTCCATTGGAAGAAATAAATCAAATTTTACAAGACACTTTTGCAAAATCAAAACACCCTGATGGCATGTTTATGCTAGTCTTGCTTGTTGCTGCAAGACTTCTAGAGGTTTTACTTGGCAACACATGTCTGTTGGCAGTAAGTGATATGCCATGGTTGCATGTCCCTACATGTGCCAATGGTGTGGAACTCAGAGACCACAGAATACACTGGTTGTGAGACTAGCGTGCCAACCCCCTCAGTGGTACACCAATTGAGGTCTGACAGTCTAAGTGTGTCTCAAACAGCAGGTGCTGCTCAATCATAGGGGGCAGCGATACTGCTGCATCAGTCCCATCAATGATCCACCTTTACAAATCGATGGAGAATGACTGAATTGTCTTCTTGCAACTCCCATTGCATTCAGCAAAATGCTGTTACCATGCAGCTGTGAGGCTCATACTTTATGTTTTTGCAATCCTCCCAGTAACTTGTATGGTGTTAAAGCTTAGACAGAGCCACGGTCTGTGACCAATTCGGACTCAGGCCTTCCCCCTTCTGCTAATCACTTCTCTTAAATTTAAAAGTCTTTTCACTCTAACAAACACTGTACGTGATTTTTTTACTGAATAGCACACGATCATTTTCTTGTCTGCAGGATTATGACCTGATGAGAGAGAAAAGCTGTTAAGAAGTGACACAGCCAGTCTGGTTCACCTGCCAGTGTAACCAGCAGCTACTTGCTTCTTGAGCATCATCTCTATGGTAAAACCCCATGATCCGAAAAAAATACCCTATGTGGTATATTGGTCACACCGATGCAAACGTCATAGCTTACATTTTACATGACTGAAAGACATCAAGAAATTGTCTTTCTCACTAAACTTAATGGATATTTTGTAGCCTTGCTGATTCACTCAGTCAGCTCATAACAAAGCTCGTATTAGCTAAAGGTGATGTTAGCCTTGCCATAGTTGCTAGTCTGAGTAACTGATGACAGTGAACCCACCTTTTAAAAATACTTAACCTGTTGCGATCAGCATTAGGGACTTTTACTAATGCTTAGACATTGGGCTGCATGTGATGATGCTACAGCCTGCACACCTTTCCATTCCACCATCACCTCTGTTTTAAAGGAGGATTATTTAACTCCATATCATATAATTCATGAGGCTTTTAATGAAGGCAAAATAATCTGTAGATGTCACTGCCTCCTACAAATGTTACTCATTGCTTCTCTAAAACTGTAAAAAAACATTGCATTTTGTTAGGCATAAAGATCTTTTTTCATTGTTTTGTAATAATGTCCTAGTTTTAACAGACTGTGAACATAAATCACATTTAAAAATCTGTGTCATTCATCTTTATGTGCATTATATAATGTCGACAAAGGGTTTAACATAAGCCAAACAAAATCAAAACAGTAATCATATCATGCAGAAAAAGATAAAATAGTTGGTGTTTAGTGTTAAACTAATACACTAGTAATAGTGGATTTGCATATTCATTTAGAGGAAAATAGGGGATTTTGATAGCAGCGTTTTTGTAATAAAATGTTTATCACAGAAGGTTACTTTGCTTGTAACTGTCTCTTTGCTGTATCAGTAAACGCTGATAAATTCTCCATTTATTTCTCCCTGTAACACCCACTTCCCATCACACCACCCTGAGGGTCTCCATAAAATCCATTCCTGACCTTCACCCCTCTGTCACTCTGATAACTGTGATGCTTAAAATCCCCCTGTGTCCAATTAAAGGTTTCTCTCACCAGCCGGACCACAGCTGGATTACTTGATTGTTGTCCCTTTTATAGTCAGCACACCGTCTTAAAAAATGACTCCGCACTAAGAAAACCAATCAATGGTTAAGTGGAGCAAAAACTTGTTACCCTCTAACCTTATTCACATGCAGAAAAGGCATATTTTACGCTCTGGTGCACCAGAAGGCTGCACAGGGCAGATTTAATTGAAAGCAGCAGAATTTGGGAGAGAGACGCACATACGCGTGCATGCACTGAGACGCACGCGTATGCACACATACATATTTGGCTGTTAAGTAACACCGATCGTTGCAATCGTTGACTACGCATGAGCAGGTGATACATTTTTCAGTATTTTTTTGTCTTGAAGAAAGGTTGTTGATACACTTTTAAGTCAAAATCCTCCTCAGAGTTTATATTCCCCCTCTATCAGAAGGCACGCGCTCTTCAAAGGCGCACTTCAGAGGAAAAAAACGCGCCACGGAAAGGGAACAAACATTTCCAAAATATGAAGTGCAGCAAACACGATCATCCTTTCACATAAAAGAAAAAAAAATCCGTCAGAATAATGAAGTCAAAAACATAACTTTACCTGTGACTGCAGATCGTCGCGTACATCTCACACATGTCCGCGCAATTTTGGAAATAAGAGTCCGTAACGTCAAGCGTTGTCCGTCAGATCAGTACGTTGTTGCATGCGTGACTTCCACCCAGTTAAACCAGCACCTGCTGATCCGCGCGCACATATGCCCGCACTAACAACTGGTTGTGCTCTGTCAGCGGATTTCCATTAACCACTGTGGGCTGGCCGTGCCGCTGCGCAATGACGCACGCCATGGACTCGCAGCTGATTTGGAGTTTCCAAAGCTGCCCAAGATGCATGCCCAAAATATCAGTCATGATGCTCTGCTCTGCGTTAACCTACCATTACTGTAGGAGGAGAGATATGGCACTTTATGTAACATCTGACACCATGCAGAAGTATTTCTATCAGCCTCTGTACAGGAGACACTTGCCTCGAGTGGCGTTTGAGAACATTTGTGTCACATCCTCCGAAGGGATTCATATGTTTTAAATCTGAGTGGAATAATAGAGACAATATTGACACACAACCCGTGCGCCACGCTATTATTCCATCTCTATTTTGGTACTTTGAAGAAATCAAGTGACAATAATCCTGTCAGTGCACGTTTAACGCTTCGCAGCAGCACTCAGAGCTATTAGACTTTCTAATCAGTTCCACGGAGGGAAAATAGGTTGCTCTGTTCAGGAGAGGAGACTCAGGACGGAGGACCGAGCTCTCTTCTGATGGATGGAGCTCGACACACTTTCCCACCGGCCTTACCTCTGCCTCTGCCCGCGTGGGTGGACCGGAAACTGTTCACCTCAGGGGAGAGTGAGGGGCGGCCACTCAGGCAGCAGCTGATCCGATCACAGCTCACATGTGTGCCATAAGTATAAGAGCTGAGCGTGTGCTTGGCAGGGCAGGAGGCAGTGGGTATAAAGACACCACCACTCACATCTCCTCTGCTGACAAACAGCTCCAGGTAAATCTGAAAACAGGACGGCAATTCCTACATGCTTCTTTTAGCTTTACCCCCAGGGAGATGCTCTCTTGCTGACCTCTTTCAGCCAATCAGAACCCTGAACATAAAAATAAGCGCCCTGGCTGCTGAAATCTCGCCTTAGGTCTTCTATCTACAAGTGTGTATAATCTAATGTGATTTTATTGACTTTGTTTGTTGACTGCTGAGTTTAGATTCCTCTGGTAATTTCTGTAACTTTGTACTGGCTAACTGGGTTTGTGTTTGAATCTCTAGGAGCCTTTTTTTATTGGATGCTCAGTGGTTTTTAAGTGCGGCGCAAAATCTTAAATCTCAACAACTGCATTTCCCCAAATTTGTGGTCAGAATATCTTATTACTCTCAGCATCAGCTATATGAACTTTACAAGCTAAGAAATAAATCTAATTTCAAAGGGATATTCCGGCGTAAAATTAATTTAGGGTCGAACACACCGTAACACAGAGTTAGACATTCTTCACCTAACTTCATCAGCAGTACATACAGGGTCCCAGCCATAGTGCTAGCCACCAAACATCTTTTTAGCTTTGCCTGATTTCTTGTTTTACACAACTCACCATCTCTCTTCCAGCAGCAGCTTGTTTGTACAGAGACCTCCGAGCGAGTCCATCGACTGCAGCATCATTTTGCTACTGTATCATTTCCTTGAAGTAATAATCACCATTTTAATCATTTTGCACTGCAGATGCGGTAGTTCTTCTGCCTTAGCGTCTCAGTCTGATTGCATTACCATGAAGAAATTATCATAAATGTTCTTCCTTGAGCTGCGTCACCCCGCAGCAGTCCGTAATGGACTGGCCTGAGGTTTCACTACAAACAAGCAGCTGCTGGAAGAGAGTGGGTGAGTTGTGTTTAGTCTCTTTGCTAAAGAAATCAGGCAAAGTTAAAAAGATGTTTGGTGGCTAGTGCTATGGCTGGGACCCTATTGGTACTGTTGATGAAGTTAGGTGCTGTTCTGAGCATTATTTGTGGCTATAGAGTGGCTTTTTGGTTGAGGTTTGTTTATGACTCCTTCATAACTAAAGTTGGTATAAGTTGAGAACCAAGCAGTCGGCAACATTCATCTCTCTAGGGGGTGTCTAACTCAACGTTACGGTGTTTCTGACCCTAAATTAATTTTATGCCGGAATATCCCTTTAAGATACAAGATCACAAGCCATAAACAAGGTGTCCTTTGATTCTTGTGAGTAAAAACTGCACGATTTGAAGCAGGATATTTTCTTTTTCTCAACAAGCTTTGTGGAGCAGGATGTCATTTCAAGAAACTGCCTGATGCAGAGGACAGAGTTTTTATTTATTATCATGATTCTGGTTTTTAATATCTTGAAAAAAAGATGCATCTCTAGATCTATTAGATCAACATAGCTGATATTAAGTATAATTCTTATTTTATGAGGAGTTTGATGCAAATGTATCGAGGTGTATGTGTCATGTTGTTGTTTTTTATTTCCAGGACTAAGTAAATCAATCAATATATCAATAAAACAAATTTTATCTATTTAGCGCCAATTCACAACAGTCGTCATCCCTAGATGCCTCCCAAAGAAAAAGAGCAGAGGTCCGTTTCATGTAGCAGGTTTAGTGGAAACTCCGAGTTTGTTAACCCTGAAATCAGGGAAACTCTGAGTTTTCCGTTTCACAAAGGAGGGTTAGTTAAACCAGGGAGAGAGGGGTAACTCTAAACTGTTTCACGAAGAGAGGTAACTCAACCTCGCGGTCAGTTACCACAGTAACAGACTCCGTGAACCTAACCTAACCCGTGAACCGACGATCGCGGCCGGTCCGATCGCAAATCCCCCCCCACAGACACACACGCACACCAGTCCGACGATCGCTGCTACGGGGTGGGGGTTGCGATCGTCGAAGGGGGGGGGGGGGGCAGCTCCTCTGCCTCCGTTAAAGGTGGGGCTGCTGGGCCACCACCCGTTTTTCTGGCATCTGCCCTCTTTCTCTTTGCTGAGTGAAAGTCTAATATTGAGTGTAGTGTGTGTTAGTTTAATATATGTACATATACATACTGAGAGTTAGTTTAATATTCCTAATCATTTAACGGAACATCATAAGAGAGTAAAATTCATTTTTGAGTGTGAAAAGAGTATTTTCTAAGGGATCAAACTGCCACTTAATACTTACTTGACAATGTAAAACATGATCAAAATGATTCAAGCAGTTTCCCTGCAACAGTCTGTCATTGTGATTGCACGAGACTAGATTTAAAGTTACGCATTGACGCGAGCAGCGATTTCCTCCCATGCCCTCTCCCTCTCCTTTGCAGCTGCTGCTGTATTGCACTTTCTTTTAAAAACGTGCTGTAATTCGCTGTTGGCTTGCTGCTGCCCCCTCCTTCTCCCTGTTTCCATTGGTTGATCATTGAATCTGCGCTCCACAGATGCTGGCTGTTTATGTCTGGCGTGCACGTGCTTAACTCCAGGTCAAACTACTCAGAGTTGTTAAAACCGTCTCAAATCAGGTATTGTGAAACCGGAAACTCAGAGTTTCCTAACTCAGAGTAGATCAACTCAGAGTTAAGGATTTAACTCAGAGTTTGTTGAACCACCTACGTGAAACGGACCCAAGGTCTAGACCACGCTCATTGTTTGATGAATTACCAAGACCCAACCTTAAGATGGGATTTGGCCCATCTCATTTAACAAGAGTGACAGTGGCAAGGAAAAACTTAACAGGCAGAAACCTTGGGGAGGACCAGACTCATGTAAGACAGCCACCAAGCCGCCAAGCAGAGAGAGAGAGGGGAGTAGGAGGGAGGGCAGGGGGAGAGAAAGAGAACAAGGGAGAAGGAAGGAGAGCGAGAATAGGTAAGGGGGAGGTGGGGAGGGAGGGAGAGAGAGAGAGAAAAGAGAACGAGGGTGAGAGAGAGGGAGAAAGGGGACAGCAGCAACATTAAAACAACAGCAACAACAACAACGGCTCATACAGAGTTGTGGTTGCAGAGCAAGTAATGATAAAACAATATAAATTCAATTTATAGGATTAGGATATATGGACTTAATTATGGACAATGTTAAATTAATTTAATGTGACTACAGTCAGCAGGCCTAATAGTAGTAACTAAGCGGACTTTGAGTTAAAGAAAGGTCAGCTTCAGAATCCATCGGACAAAACAACGCGTGTGGGAGTAATCGCCAACTTCTTGGGGCCTCTTGTGATGCAGATTGAGGGATACCATCAGCAACAAGCGCCCTCTGATAACCATCAGATCTGTGAGGCAAAAACTGAGCTGGAGCTGACACACAGAGTCTAAGAACATAAGCTGAATTTGCATGCAGCAGCTTCAGAAGGTTTATGAAAATGAGGTTGACTGCCTTTGAATCTTGGTTACGCCATTACAAATGACTGACCCTTTTCACTACACACTCACTGCTGCCAACTGTACCATATCATGTAGAACATCATGTATTTCAAATCAAATTGTTTTTTTCCTCAGTAGAATGCCTCTGTCCCATAAACTCGCATTGGTTCCTTGTTAAAACAACACTTGACTGATCCCAAATCAGATCTAGTGTACCATCATGCACTAAATCATGTCATTAAAAGGATGCCTGCCCTCCCTTCCCCATACAGCTGAAATAGAGGTGAATCACACTGCTAGGACCACAAACAGAAGCCTGAACTCTCTTGTTATTGAAATCATAATCTGCCCTTTTTGGGAAATTTTGATTTCAAAGATGAGGGGGACACATGTGACTTGAGTACGGATGTGATTCAAACGTCAATGTTCAGCTTAGATTTCTTTTCTTATTCCAGAATTCAGTTCCTGCTTTTACATAAAGCCTAGCAATCAGCACATCTCGCACATACAATAACAGAGGAGGCAATATGGCCAGTGGGTGGATGGAAGTACAAACCTGATACAGGGATGTAAATGAAACCTCCGATGAATGTGACGGTACAGACGGGAAATGAACGCAGCCCTACTGTAAACTTAAATCAGCGAATAGCGATGTTCACGGACTGACTCTTACGAGCAACTTGCAAAACACTAGTCCAGCGGGCATGGAATGACTGACAGCAGAGATAAACAAACAAACAAACAAACAAACACAAAAAATGGCCCTGCAGCAGAACCAATCAAGGACCTTGTGGGGGAAACCAGTTTTCGGCTTGAGGTGCCGCTTGGTCCTAGTGCCTGACGCGTATCAGTTTCTCAAGTCGGTTCTCAAGTCCAGTCCTCGAGGCCCACTGTCCTGCATGTTTTGGATGTTTCCCTGCTTCAACACACCTGATTCAAATTATTAGCTCGTTATCAAGCTCTGTAATGGCTTAATAACGAGCTGATCATTTGAATCAGGTGTGTTGGACCAGGACTTGCGAACCACTGGCATAAAGTAACATTGTTTTCAGATGGTTAAAACTGCGGGGGGACCAAAACGGGCTTTTGAAAAAAATGTGTGTGTGGGGGCATGTCCCTCGTGTCCCCCCCACAAATTACGTCCGTGCATTTGATTGTTAAAGGAAGCATGTCCCTGACAAGATCAGCAAAGACATGAGATTTTTCATGGTTCATAAGGGCGCAAGATTGACACAAACAGAAAGCTGCACTCAGGAGCTTAAAGAAATAAAAGAAAGGTTGGATAAAAATAAATAACAATGTTCTTCAAGAAAGTGTATGCATCTACTCATTACCCTAATTCATGTCCGAATGGGTTTTAGTCTTTGTGAGGTTTTGTAGAAACGTAAGACTCTGCAGTCTGTTCTATGAGGAACAGCTACAGCCTGTTCCTTACACACAGTACTGAAGTTGACTCAGCATGAGTCAACCAGTGTCCTGCATTTCAACCAGTGAAGTGATTGCATCTTTTGCCCTCAGCCCCTATTCCACCTCATGTTATTTCTACCCTTTTTTTTTCTGGCTTTTGGTTGTAATGTCTCTCTGCTGTCTTCGCTTTCCT